TCCGGGCTGTCGGTTGGCGACGTATGGTTTTCATGGGAGAAAACTGGATGGAAGGAGCGTCTGTGGCTATGATCGCAACGATCGCGGGCGTGATTCTTGAAGTGTTTGTCTCCCGTGACGACTGGCGATCGGACTCTTCGCTGATGGGGGAACTCGAGTTCTTGCGGGAACTGATCGGACCGGCGGCGTTTTCGACTCGGGAGTGGATACCCATCCTCCAACTGCTGCGTCGAACAAGTCTGATGACTGTTCAGACTGCTTTGAGAAAGTTGCGGGACTGTGTCTTACTGCCGGAGGCTCGTTCGCGGTGGAAGGACCTCGTTCAGAGTGCGGCGGAGATGTGGGCGTCTGAGCCTGGGGTTCAGCCAGAAATCATCCCCGTTGTGAACCTCGAGTGGTTGGGAACGCCTCTTGGTCATGCCAGCGATGTGTTGCGGGAGCTCTCCGAAGGTGTCGTACTGTACATGCCTCGGTCGGTCAAGGAGCAACTCGTACGCGAACGTTTGGGGTCTTTCAGTAGGCCCGTTTGGTCTGGTAAGTAAAAGCGTCTTCGATAACTTCCATGATTAACAGATTACTGACTTACGAATACACATCTTATAGGGTTCTTTGCCGACATGGACCTACTCGAGCGACAAATGATCACTCGTCAAACATGGGAAAGGCGATTTACGTTGCGTAGGAATTTCGCTCTTTCGTGGTTGAACGAGTGGACCAAGCCCGGGACGGACAAGATGTTGCGAATGCGTGGGTTGATCTTCGGTCTTCATCTCGATCTACCCGGTGGAGCAGCATTGGTACCGCGGAATGTGCCATTTGCCTATTCGCGGCCCGCAGGTTTCACCGAGAGGAGTCTAAGCGAAGAGCGTGCTGTTCGCGAGGTAGTAGATCTTTTCGAGATACCCGACCCGGCAGTGGATGTTGCGGACATGGATCTCGATATTGGGGATGGTCCTGGGCCTGACGCGGACGCTGCTACAGGAGAAGACGCCGGGGACGACGGGAATACCGGACGAGGGGGAGAAGGGACTGACGAGTCCAACAACAACAACAACGGAGGAGGAGCTGACGAGCCCCCCGAGAAGAACGTGGACGAGGAGGTCGCTGCGAAGTCCAAATCAAGGACTCCCGGATCGAAGGAGAGCAGCCCGGCAAAACCCCGTACGAGCAAGAACAGTGCGGGCGTGCTTTCGGCCGGGTTGCCCAAGGATAGGGAAGAGTCCGATGACTCTGACTACGCCGACTCTGAAAAAGGCGATAACGGCGACTCGGGCGATTCTGACGATGCGGACGCCTGGGAAGAAGGCGGATCCTGCGTGAAGAAGCTTGGGGACAAGAAGACCGCGGGAAGGCCAGGAGCGGGAGTCGCTTGGACTCACCAGATCGGGCCGGCTCAAGACGTCAATTTCTTCGTCAAGTCGAACGACCAATACCGCTCGTCCAGCAAGAGCAAGGTCGCGCTGGAGTGGGGCCAGGACGACGATTGGGTAGACCCAACCTTGATCTTGCCTTCAAAAGCGAGTGATAAGAAGTCCTGTGCCACGAAGAAACAGGCCTCGGACGCCCGGTCGAAGAAAGCGGGAGATATTCGCGACGCCATTCACGACAAGTTGATCGACGCAGCAAGGACAACCGGTACCGTCGGTCTCTACATGCAGGTGTATCCGGGTAGGATGGGTGTAGAGATGGCGATAACGCCAAACCTTGATCCCCAAGAAGCGGAGTGGAAGCGTTTGGCTTACGAGTTCTTCGACTACACGAGTGAGATTTCGGCCGACTGGGCTAGGAGGATCCGGGAGAAGGAAGAGGGGTTCAACGACGAAGAGTAAGGGAGATCGAGAGTATTGATACGGAGTATTATAATGCGTTTGAATTGTTTAAAGAGGTCCTGTATCGTGTAGCTTGATGTCCAATATGCCGAAATTATGCATGTATGATTCTCTCTCGAATGGCACAGTCAAAATATTGCAGCACAAGGGATGACTGGGCTGACTTGAAAACATGGTAAAGGATACTCGCGAACGGCGAACACTAAGTGTTCGCGGGCGACCAGGACGTTCGCGGTCGCCGGAATTGTTCGCGGGGACATGTTCGCCTTACAACAAGATGGTGTCTAGGAGAGTTGTACTGATTGGATAAGGGAGGTTGATCATGTGAACTGACATGGGTGTGGAAAGACCATGATTCTGTTAGTATATGTGATTGATGAGAACGAGAGGAGGTCAGGCTAAGAGACTATGAATGATATTGGCAACTGGCGACTTGATCTTTGAGAGAGAGAGAGAGAGAGAGAGGGAGCAAGTCGAATGTGATATAAGGTTAATAAGCTAGTAATTACTTACTAAACAAAGTAATGAGTTAGTAAGGTACTAATCACTTACTCAATTGATTAATACTATACACTAGACGGCTAATTATCAATTAGTAATGCGTGTGATGTGATGTGTGACCGAGTTAAGAACAGAGTACCTTCTGCTCGATCGCTCAAACATTCGCTCAAACATTCGCGCGAACGGGCGTGGGCGCGTCTCTTAGCTTAGTAAGGCAGAGAAAAATTGTGAACCCGAGCGATTGTCAATCTTTCACGCGCGCCAGGGATAGGTGGCGATGAACACCTTCGGTTTCCTCCTAAAGTCGCTCTCAAAATGTCTCTATATGGTGCATATGCATCCAAGTCTGACCTCTTCCCGTACAATCAAGACAACTCTCCAACCCTCTTCGAACGCAGCCATGGGCAAGACGAGATCATCCAAGAACAAGACCGGAGCCAGCTCTCGAGCTTCCACGTCAAAAGCGGAACAACCTACCGCGACCGACCTGATAGGTAAGGACAGGTCGTCGCTCCTCGAACTCGATATGACGGCTCACATCTCTGGCCGCCATAGCACAAGCCCATGCATACCTCGGACAATCCAACTTTGAACAGGCTATCAACAGTCTCGCTCTCGCACTCGACATCGAACCGGCGAACAGGGAAGCCAAGGAGATCCTCGGGATCGCCGAGATCGAGGGTGGGGACGTCGAAAAGGGACGAGAGGTGAGTCCACGACACAGTATACGAAACATTATGCTTGGTGCACGGGCAAAGAGCTAACGTGCTTGTGCGTCTGTCTAGCACCTGACGGGACTACTACCCCCTCACGTCCAAGACCCGGCTCCGTCCACCTACCTCTACCTAGCCCAGACGGCACCGACACCGCAAGAAGCGTTACAGCTCTACGAATCGGCCATCAAGCTGCTCGAAAGCAAGATCGAGGCCTTCTCTACACGCGGTTCTGGAATGGAGGAGGAGGACGCCGATGCCGATGTCGACGTCGATGTGACCAAGGAAGAGTTGATGAAAGAGTGCATCACCGCGCTCGTCGCGATGATCGAAATCTGGATGTCGGACTTGTGGTCAGTACCGAGAACCCCGTCTCGATGACTGTTACTGTCAGGAAGACCACCCAGCTCATTGTTATTGCATTCATCGTCGCCAGCTTCGAACCCCAAGCCTCGTCCGAATGCGACACCCTTATCGCCCGAGCCCTGTCGATCGACCCGAACGACATCGACGCCCTCCTCACCCTCTCATCCATCCGGATGTCCCAATCCAAGGCGGACGAAGCCAAACAGGTCATCCTCCAAGTCTCACGGTTGGTCATGGACGTCATCGACCGGATAGACAAGGCCGAGGACGAGGGCGAGGCGGCCGTCACCTCTACAAACACGGAGACCAGCGACACTACGGGCCAAGATAGGATGGCGGATGAAGCCGACTCGAACCCTGTCGTCCGGGACCTGCCTTCGATCCCCACTCGACACCTCTTGACCCGTCTCTTGCTCGAGCACCACCAATACGTCCAAGCGCTCCGGGTCAACGATTCCGTCAGGCGAGAGGACGAGCTCGAGGTGGAAGGTTGTTACCTGGAAGGATGGGCGTGGTACTGTCGAGGCGAAGCTATCGAGGCTGGGGATGAAGAGGGAGCCAAGGAAAAGTTGCCCGAAGAGGAGACGTTGCCGAGCAAGAACGAGTGTTGGACCGAGGCCTTGAGCAGTTTCATGGAGTGTGCTTCGGTGAGTCGAGAGACGGCAGGTTGGGCTCATGGACGTGCGGGCTGACAGGGCACGGACTCGCACGCAGCTTCACGAAAGTCAGGAACATCCCGACCAAGGTATCCTCGCACATGTACAAGAGCTCATCCCCCTGCTGGAAAAGGCTGGCATCGTGGTCGAAGTCGACGACGAAGAGGCCGGCGAGGACGTGGACATGGCATAGAGTGTGATAGACAAGGACAAGCGTTGTACATAGAGCGGCCCCGAGTCTATTCCATTACGACATCCGCCTTGCCCTCGAAGCTCTGCTTGACCGACTGTATCGACGTGTCGCTCAGACCAGGGATGTCCGAAAGCCAAGCCTCTTCGATGGCCGATACGTTGTGGGCATAGTAGTTGGTCGTCAGGGCCTGCAGGAGGAATCCGAGGCGTAGACGTCAGGCGGACAGGTGAGAGTATTGGAGTGGCACACGATCTGCTTACAATCTCGTCGTAGACAATGGTGGGCACCTTTTTACCGACCAGCACCGAGGAAGGGTGAATCTTGAGGCCGTCCTGAAGGTGACGCGCGGTGTTCAGCCAATCGAGCACGCTGGTGGGACTCGCCTCGACTCACCTTGTCTGATATCCGGTTGAGGACGGGCTGGTAGCTGAGTCCATCCGGCTGCAATCGCGCGGCGTTCATGTACAACCCCTTGGAGAGACACTGCATGACCCGGCTCGAATCCTCGCCAGCCGAGACTTTGGGGTCCTGCCCTGTAGACTTGACGAGCTGTTGCAACTGGGTACGAAGCAGCCTGGCCTCGTTCAACACCCGGAAACTGAGCGAGTGTTCGTTGCACCAATCGGTGACGGCCTTGCGGACGGGCTTGTCGCCGGCAGCCGCCTGTGGATTCTCCTTGCGAGCCTGTTCGAGCACTTCGAGGAACGCCCTCAAGACGTTCATCCCCGTCATGTGGTCCCCGTCCCGATGCACAAACGCCCTCCTCGTCTTGTCGGCCTGTTCACGTGTCGAGTAGGATTCGAGGATCGGATTGCCAGCCTCGCGCAAGGCGATAATGTCGACGACCTCGCTCGTGCATCCGAGTTTGAACGACGCGATGAGGACCTTGGCGAGGAGCGGGTTGATGGGAAAGTGCAGCATCTGTCGGCCGACCGGAGTGATGGTGAACGAGGCCCCGACAGGGATGGCCTCGAGCTGCATAAGTTGGCGTAGCGACGATATCACTGCAGGGGAACGGCAGGGGAGCAAAGTCAGCCGAGCGCAAAAGATCTCGACCTCAACCGGGACCAGAACACCCACAACTGAACCGTTCGGGCTGATCGAGATAGTCAAATTCGAGCGGCTTCTGACCCCAGGCCATGAGCTGCAGCAAGGCCGAGGCCAGGTCGGCTCGCTGGATCTCGGGACTCGTCTCTTGCGGCCGCATCTCGTAGTCGAGTTTGGTGTAGAGTCGGTAACATACGCCGGCGGCCTACCGAAGGGACGGAGAACGTACGCTACGTCAGCAAAGTGATCGTTCCCGAGGCGAATGACCGCGGACTCACGGTACGACCCGCACGACCCGCTCGCTGTTTCGCCGCAGCGCGACTACACGGTAGACTTTGCAACGCCGAGACCGCTGTGTTCGCGAAACAAACACAAGACTGTCAACTACATGTCTCTACCCGCCTCGGCGGCCATGCTGGCCAGACTCACTCCCTCCCTTGCTCAATGGCACGACGTTCTTCTCCTTTTGCAACCCCGAGTCGACGACGTAGACGATCTTGGGTATGGTCAACCCCGTCTCGGCAATGTTGGTCGAGACAACGATCTTGCGCTTGTGGTTCGGGGTAGTGTTGAAGACTTGACGTTGTTTGACGTCGGAGAGGTTTCGATAGAGAGGGGCGGCGAGGATCTGCGGGGTTGTTACAAGGTGTCAGCGTGGGAGAATGCGTTGGCCCCGTTGTTTTTCGGCGCTTCCCGTACTGACCTCGTCGATCCCGGGTGGGAGCTGCTTGTTGCATTGTTCCAGGCTCTTGACCAGACTATCGATCTCTTCCTGGCCTAGAGTTTCCGCCAACGTCGGCCTTGGTCAGCTCTGAACAAATGAGCGACCTGTGCGAGCTTGAACTCGATCTCACCTGGCATAAACACCAAGACATCCCCTGGAGGCAGATCGAGGTGAATCTTCAGACATTGCCGGAGAGCCGCCTGGACCTTGTCCGGTCCCGGATCAGCTTGGGCGTGGTGAATGACGACCGGGTACGTTCGACCTTTGATATAGAGGATCGGAGCGCTGTCAAAGTGAATAGAGGGAGGTTTTCCGGTCGTCAGGATCAGTCCCGAAGATCGTCAACGCAAAGAGACGACCGAACCGGACTCGCCTGTTGAAAAAGCTGGAAAACTTTTCCGCATCGATCGTGGCGCTCATCACGACCAGCTTCAACTCTCTCATCTCGAACCCTCTATACGTCGCCGGATTCGTTGTCACCGTCTGCACCTCGTCCCCGCTACCTTGCCCATCTCGATCTTCATCCTGCTTGCCGCCCCGCCCACGCCGACGCAATCGCCTGGTCAACTCTCTCCGCTCTGCCTGGATCCGCTTCAAACTCCCCAACAAGAAATCCGTATTCAACGTCCGTTCATGCGCTTCGTCGATGATGATGACGTCGTAGCGGAGGAGCAGACGGGAAGCTTCGTCCGGCGTCGACGTCGAGGCTGAGGGCGAGGACGATTTGCCATCGGCACCGGCACCGGCACCAGACCCAGACCCAGACCCAGAACCGGACCCGAAGGACGAGGCCGTCCCAGACGGAGTAGCCGTCTCCAACGAATCCTCGTCATCCCCGCGTTTCCGTTTCGACGACGACGAGGAAGACGCGTGATTGGACAGTTCTCTGTGCGGGGCAAAAGTTGAAGACTCCAGGTCAGCTCGAGGTCGCTTCGTCGGTTTGATAAGATTCAAGAGGGGTTGCAGCGAGGCCGACCGATTCTCTCCATGTCCCCCGGCTTTTCACACGGACCCCAGATCGAGCCTTGCGAAAGCGACAAAAAGACACGGACAACGCAGACTCACCGTAACAACACCCCCTCCGTACAAAACCTGACCTTCGTAACCCCCCTCTCTTTACCCTTCCCACCTTCTTTCCCACCCCCATAGCCATGCGCGGGAACCCTCTCCTTACTCTCAAACCTGACGGCATACCCGACCTCGTCCCCCAGCCTGACGCCCATCTCCTCGGCCACCCGGTTAGCCAACGAGACGCAGGGTAATCGACGTGGTTGAGTTATGGCTATGCTTATCGGGCCAGGACTCGGGGGACGGAGGGTTAGGCGGGGTGGTTGAGATTGAGATTGAGATTTAGAAGCAGAAGAGGCGGTATTATTGAAGGTCGGCTGTCCTCGTTCCCGGAAATAAGCCACCGAAGCCGGGTGAGAGTAGAGTAATTGCGGGATTTCTATATATCGTATTCCGAGGTCAATCACGATATGACGGATCGCAACGCATCGAGTCAGCTTATGATCCTTCTTCACGCGAGGATCGATCCTCAAGAAAGAGAGATTGTATGGGGAAGCCGCAAAAGAAGAGCCGACCGAGGAAGAGATTGCGAACGAGAACGGAAAGTGCAAAGTGCAGAGTGCAAAGTGCAAAGTGGGAAGTAAAATCGGAAAGAGCCCCCGAAGAACAATCGGACCAAAGAGTGCCCATCGAAAAACAGAGTCGGACAAGGACGAGGGACTCACGTGTCGATTTCCCAGATCCCGTCTCGGCCATGACCTAGACCATCCCATCACGTCACATCGCATCCCATGACATCCCATCCCACAAAACGATATCACACAGAGTTCCAAGCAAGCGTTAGCCATCTCGGCCTCTCGAACATGCGCCATTCGCATGCGGCCGAAGAACCAGAAATCCAAGCATGAAATGCAATGGAAAGGAGGAAGCGGGAGAGAGAGCAAAAGGAGGAGAGGTGGGAACGGGTGGACTTACGACGACGGTCTCGTTATCCAGAATATGTTGGACTAGGGCGTCCTTGGCTATCGATATCGATATTCAACCAGATTCGGATTGAGATCCAAGTTCAGATTGAGATCCAGAGGCGGGGTCGGGTTCAGGGATCAGATTGGGGACATCGAATGTGACGATAAGATGAGAGATGAGGGTTGACGAGCGTCGAAAATTGAAATTCGGAATCGAAGGTTGAAAAAACGAGATTCCACGAGGATATAGGATAGAGAAAAGGTGTAGTGTTAGATATCAGAAAAAAACGCAGGTATCAGCACAAGCATCGATACGACCTTAGGGATTATTATTCGACGTCCCAGTCCCAGTCTCGTCCCCCAACACCGACACAAAACCAAGGACCGTGCCGTGGGGCAGGATAGGAAATGTCGATCAGACCAGGCTCACCTTCATTGACAGGCAACCTCTGCGCATCATTTTTCAGCCTCTCCGACGTCCTCTTCATCTTTTCCCTTTCCTCGGGCGTCAATCCCGTATTCGCCCCCGAAGTGATTTTGCGTTTCTTGGGCACAGGTCTCGCCGTCGTCATTGTCGGTACTGATATTGTCGATGATACCGGCTGCCCATCCTGGTCCTGATCCTGGTCTGCCCGTGACCTTCGTTTGAGACGTGCCATCTCCGTCTTATCCGGGAAGACCTGCTCGTTAGAGTCCGGGTCTGATTCGTCAGAAAAGTCTACCGATGTGGGTGGGCGTGCCATCGTCGCTGGGCTTGAGGTTGTCCTGATTTCGATCGTCGTTGCTAGAGCAGTATCGTAGGATGTTGTCGCTTCAACTTTTGTAGAGAGATGAATTTCGGAGGAGAGCGAGCGAGGGAATTGATTATTATCTTACGGGGGGGATCACTTGGTTGAGATGACACGTCATCGCACTGGTCCTCGTACTTATCAATTTAATGTGTGGGTCGACGACCCGTTGATGACGTCGATGACGAGGAGGATGTTGTGCACGATAATGTAATGATGATGATGTTGATGGATTCGCGACAACATCAACCTCCTGAACAATCTCCTCACCTTATACACACATACACTCTCACACACACACATAGCACATCCACCCCGCACACGCTATCGCCACCACCATGAAGGTCTACTCCATCTCCCTCCTCTCCATCAACTCGGCCACGCCCGCCACCTCGACCGTCCTCTGCCAAGTCAACGACCTCAGCAGCTTTAGCTTTTATCAACGAGGCAGCGTGGGAGAGTTTATGGGGTTTTTCACCAAGGTCAGTCACGGGAAACACGTCCGAGCAGAGGGTGTAGGGAGTCGAGAGCTGATTTGAGGATCGTCTTTTCGTCTTTCCATCGGATCTTCTTTCATGTTCACATCACACGCTCGCCACACCACAAACCCCATCCCCTTCTTCAACCTCACCTTTCAAAACCGCCGCAGACCGTCGCCGAAAGGACCTCCCCCAACACCCCCTCTTCCGTCGAAGAAAACTCTTACAAAGCACACGTCTTCCGGACCCCCTCCGCACCCGGTAAAACAGGTTTAGCATGCGTGATGATCACCGACCTGGAATACCCTTACCGACCGGCTTTCACGCTGATCACCAAGATCTTGGACGAACAATCCTCGCTCGTCTCTCAACTCCCTACTCCCGGCTCCTCTTCCATCGCCGGTGGAAGTAACCCGTCTATGGCGGCCTCGGGCGGCCTATCTCCGGCCCAAAAAGGTAAACTCGAAGCCACCCTCCAACAATACCTGACCAAGTACCAAGACCCCACCCAAGCGGATACGATCATGAAGGTCCAAAAAGAGCTCGACGAGACCAAGATCGTGCTCCACAAGACCATCGAATCCGTCCTCGAGCGGGGGGAGAAGATTGACAACTTGGTCGAGAGGAGTAACGCGTTGAGTAATCAGAGCAAGATGTTTTATCGGACTGCCAAGAAGGTGAGTGGCGAGCGCAGCGGGGCGAGGCGGGCAGAAGGCGAGGGTTGAGGATGTTGCGTTTGAGTATACGGGGGTTGGCGTTGGCGAGGAGGGAACAAAAAGCAGGATTATAACGACCGGACGGCAAGCTGACTCTGAGCATCAACCCCTTCCTTTCTTGTTGCACTTTTCACTTGCGAACGTGTCTACCTCGTAGCAAAACTCGTGCTGCGTGGTCATGTAATGTGAAACGAGAACCTTGGAATCGGGATCGCCAACCTCGAACCTCGACCGTGGACCTCGATATCCTTTTACCCTGTACCTGTACCTTTACCTTTTTCGACTTTTCTTGTTCGACTATTCTTCGTCGGCTTTTTCCTTCTTCGTCGGCCTCGTCTTCTTCGAAACCTCGAAACCTCGAAACCTCCAACACTACACCCACCCCCCCGTATCAAACTCAAACACCTTTCCCTGGAAATCCCTTCTTCGCCACGCCCATTAACAACAACAACAATCGCAATCGCCATCGCCATCGCAAAACAAGCCCTTGAAGCCTGGACAACGTCCACCATCCTCGTGCTTCCTCTTGAATCGGGGGTTATAACCCGATCCGGGCTGCGATTTTGAACGGACCGGACGGAAGAGTGCAGGAGATACGGATCGAGATCGACATGGTTACGGTTACAATGCCGGAGGGGGATGAGGATAGGGATAGGGAAAGGGATTGAGGATGAGGACGAGCGCGGTGGTAGCCCCAGAGTTTCAGCACTCGTATCTCGCTTTCTTACTACTTCGACATGCGAGAGGTGCGAGATGCGACATGCGAGAAAACGTATCCATCGTCGATCCTGTTCTTCTATCCTATAACCTACTCTCCGGAAAGTCTTCTTAGTCCTTCTTTTTGTGATTGTTTTGTGTGAGAGAGATCGCTCTTGTTCGGGTAAATTAACGTCGGCCTATGTTCGTGATATAATGATGATGAGTGATGACGACGGTATCCACTGCGGCCTGATACGAGCGTGAAAAGGGATCTGTTAGGGTTGCTTCTTCTTGGATGCAGATCAGATCAGATCAGATGGTGCTGTTGGGGACGGTTCGGGCAAGGGGGGCGCGACCCGGCTGCGGGGGTATGGACATGAACCGTACATAAGAGAAATACTAGATAGTCATGTCATTCTTGAACTGAACTCTCAGAACGACAGACATGCATCACGATCCGGAATGTGAGCCGTTGCCGTGGTCGGGGGAAGGAGACGGGATCCGTGAGAGAGCGACCTGGACGTTCGAGTGGCTCGCATTTCTCGATCGGTGAGGGATTCCATCGCTTTCTGATCCTTGGATCCAGATCAATCAGTCTTCCTGTTCGCGGGGTGATACCGGTCTCCAAGGTCTCGGGGATACAAGTAAGAAAGTGGTCTGATTAATCAGAAGAATCTGGTCAGTGCAAAGCTCCGTCCTTCTACTGTAGAGTATGCTGCGGTATCATCAGAACCTAAGCTTGCCATTTCGGCCTGCAGGACGACCCTATGCTATAACGCCAGGGACTGTCCTGGGCTCGTCATCCAAAGGTTCAAGGGCATAACACCCGCGTGTGGATATCGAGCCGAACTGCTTACCGTCCAGCATATCTTGCTGTGTGTCATTTGCGCCGACTCGGATCGAATTATAATATTAAGATGATCAATCGAAGATCGCGGTGGGCATTGTAGCGCGAGCGTATCGATACATCCTTTGCACCGGGAAACAAGCAAGAATAGCTCGGTGCACACGCTCAAGGTCATCGCTCCGTCGCTTTTCGACCTAGACTGAACTTGCGCGAAGAAGCACATGCAGTCCATCGTCGAGGAGGACATGATCCGAAACAGACGTCGAACGGTTCAGCTGCATCGAGGGAAGTGCATATCTATGTACTATGGCGCGAACGGCGCAGGCGGGATCACGCCCGAGACAGTCTGGTCGTCAAGCTCTGGTCTCCGATCACATGCACAGCGGTTCCAGGTTGGAGCGATTTCTCGTGTTCGAATCTCACGTCAGGTCCCGTCGTCGTCGTTCTATACCACCCGCCCCGGAAGTCGTTTCAAGGTTTCGGGACCAGATCAGCCTCCATCACGTTTGCTACGGAACCATCTTCGTCGGGGAGGATGGGCAACAGTCGGGAAGGGGTTTGGCATAGAATTGTTCAGGTTGATGAGGACGATCTCGACAACGAGGATAGGTCACCAACCTTCCCCAACTGGTGGTATACGGAATCCCTCGTACCAACGATCGCGACATGCCTCGATCGACCCGCTACCGATCCAGCCTCGCCTTGATCGTCGGGGCTGGGCTGATCTCGCTGATACTCTGGTACACGAGCCTGCAGAACGAGTCGCGCGAACATCTCAATTCGTCGGTCTGGAGGACACTCTGGCCATGCGAACAGGGATCGATAGGGGATTCCAAGTGGGACTGTATCGATCGCGATCGTGCAAGCCGACATACAGTCGATGTCGAGCTTCAAAAGCAACAGTTGGACGACCTGGTCGCCGAACGAAAGATCTGGACAAAGTGAGTCTGGAGTAACTAAACTGCCGCTGGACCTGCTGTTTGTCGTCTCCCCCTGCTCACGCTCGAACGCCGCAGCAACCGCGCCCAGTACCAGAACGCAGACAACCTCGAGTACGCCCGCAAATGCCTAGAAGAACCTGGCTCATGTCCATCCCGACCCTTGATCGTATCTCACTATCTATACGTCGAACTCCTCAAAGCTGGTGATCCTCTCGGAGGGGAAATGGTGTGGATGGAAAGCGTGATCGAAAAGCTCGAAGCTATGGGCTACAGGCTTCTCATCTTGAGGCAGTACCATGAAGTCGTACAAGCCGCTCGAATGGCTGGCAGTCTCATGTACGTCCCTCTCGTGCGCCGTTCTCCTCGGATGAGGGTCCAAAACTTGCCCGCACGATCGCATCTCTGACTCTCCTACTTTGTGTTTGCTCTGCTACGAAACACAAAAGACATTCCTATTGGGGCGATGAACGATTCGTGACGGAATGTGTCGGCGATCCTCGCTGCATCGCCGACTATCAGCCTCCATACGTGACGACCGAAGACGAGCCCTTGCCATCGCTCCCCTCCGGCCTGGCCTCGACCGAGGGCGAACAGGAACACTGGGTCAACTTGGACGGGAAGGAGAACTGGGAAAAGGTGCCACTCGAGGAAAGAGGGAGCCTCCCCGTCCAGAGACTCTTTAGCGTGCAATTTGTTCGTCGCGAGCGAGATGTGCGCCCCGAGCAGACGATCTTCTGACACCTGCTATCTGGTTAACCTCCCCGCCTTAGTGGCCAAACGCTCCACTGGAACAACATCGGGCGGACGACTATCAAGGTCCGGGTCGGGAGATGGCGGCTCCCAATCCATTGGGCAACCAGTGGACAATGACGTGAGTCACATAGCCACGGACACGGCTGTAAACCCTTGACCCGGCTGAACGTGTCTCGCGTCTTGCCATACTGTACGAGTAGTCCGTTCCCGTATCCAGGTCATCTCTTCATGCCATGGTCGGTGGAACAGGCTTGTCATCGAACTCCTAACGTGCCTCAATCGGAGCGGCAGCCGCGTGCAGCCATCATCTTTGCCAAGTATACCTGTGAGCGTCGGTGGAACGGTCACTCATGGTCCAAGATCGGCTAGACGCAGCTGAGCGCCTTTCACCTAACGTCTACTGTAGCACTCTTCCATTGGCACACCGACCCGAAAGCCTGGAGTAGCGAGCCTTTCGTCGAGAGCGGTATCAAGTTTTACGCTACCGCAAAGACCCACCCTGATGGCGAACTCCCCGCTGGCATCCAGAACCTCGGACCGCTGACCACGGACGTCTACTCGGCGACCGTAGCGGGGATGAGGGCGATGATCGGAATCGGGGCGCCCAAGTTTAGTCCCAGCCCATACTTTGCCCTGTGAGACAGGCCTTTTTCGACTACAGTAAGCTGCTTACAAGGTTTGTTGTGGGCTGACCATCGATGACATGCTTCGTCACAGGTGCAAGGGCGTGCCGGTCGTACTATGGAGGAGTGACGATCGGGAGCCTCGTAACGAGTGGGAAAGGCTTTTACCGTCAGTGAGAGACGCTGATCGACACAGAAACGATGTGCGTTCGACTCATACCCAGTTCTTCTAGTGGACTGTCCCAACATGGTCCAGTGGCCTCGCTGGGCAAGCCCTACGTATACGAGTACACGGGCAATAATGTTACCCAACTGCTTGACGCGGTCGAACAGGCGGTGTCGAATCCGATCGAACCCTAGTCAGTATACCTCTTTCCAGCGCAAGAATCATTGCCACAACCTGATTCTCGCTGCGCGCACCTGTCGAAGCATTCCACCTGTCATGCGGGACCAATACGTCGCCGAGCATATCGCTGCATGGGCTGAAACCGATTTCGAGGACCGTCTCAATTCGTGGATCCGGGAACACATGGGCAGGAAACCCCGTGCCACATTGATGTACAGGGAAAAGTTCGGATTGCTATAAGATCGTCGCTCAATCACGCGAACATGAGACCCTACCGGCCCACGTGACCGGTTTACGCTGCCGACCTGACGTTTCCCTCTTCCATTGGATTGGTATCAAGCAGCTTTCGAAGGCGAGACGAGGTCGTTGGCCGCAAGGTGGTGACCAGAATCGTCATACGCGAACAACAAGGCAATGTACCCTTACATCGCTCAAACGCGACGTGTTCATAGCATGCCAATGACCGACGGAAGATTTCCAGGTAGAGTCGAATGATATACAATCTCTGTGATCTGTACACTGCTTGTACTGCCGTAGTACAACAGCCTCGCTTGTGGGTTCTCTATCAAGCGCAATCTGAACCGAATTTAGAGCCGTTTTCGCGGCACCGACTGTCATTCATCTATGCGCAAATCGACCGTGGCGACACTCGGTGATCATTACGCCAGGAACGCCTGCAATACCGATGAGGACAGGAAGACTTGAATTTCATGCTCTCTTCCAACTCGCAAGCACCCACGAAAGGCTCACCTGCGCACCGTCGCCTGGATCCATCCACGAGCGCCTCAGGTGAAACATTGTCTGCCAATCCAGGTAGAGCAGAGCGCGCGTCCGGTCACGCACAGCGGATTCTTTCATGCGAGGTACTGATGGCAGGTGGTCGCACGGAGCGATCAACAAGACGGCGGACCTGATACGATCCCGTTGCGACTCACGGACAAAACGTTCGATGGGAGTGTCGATGGCTTCCTGCAAGACTTGTTCGAGGCGCACGAAATCCCCTCTCCTCTACGGTTCAATGCCGGCCGTTTAGCGAATCACAACACCGGGTAATCGAGAGCCTTTGGAACCCACCACATGGTAAACGTATGGCGCCGTCAAGTTCAGCAGACCACTAAATTGCACTCTGACGTGAGCCTTGCGTACGATCAAGCCCACGGATTTCCAACGTACTCGTGTTGCCCTGTATCGATCAAGGAACCCGGCTTTCAGCGGCGAGTTGGGACAAGAAACGGGTCATCGAGACATACCTCTCCAACCAGACTTGTCCTCGGGATCCCCTCCGTTCCAATGCATGATTGGGTGTATAAACGGCAGACCGACTGATCAGGAATAGTGTCTCAGCGTTCGTATCACATCACGACGACGGGACGCGCGACATGGCTCACGACACAGGGCTTCGTATGGAGTGGGTGACAAGCGAGGACTACCGACTCCCAAGACGGCTTTGCTATGGCCGACCAAATCGTAAAACTTATCCCTTGGCAGGCGTCCGACGTTTTCCACCGACTCGAACGGAAACGTATCATTGATGGTATCGGCGGCGGCGATGAAATCGATTCCGGTATGATCGTGCATGTTCGTAAAGATTTGCTCGTCCGACCACCAGGCGTTTGTGTCCTGTAATATGAGCTCGACAATCAGACTCGGATCCGCACAGACGATGTCGCTCGAACAAACTCTCACTTTGTTCTGTATGAAGCGGAGGACTTTGGTAAAGATGAACGCTCGGCCGAGCCTGTTCTCGAGGGGTGGCGTAGGTACCTTCATACAGTCAGACTCCAAGGTATAGCCGAGGTAGAAATTGCTGGGGTCTTTGGGATCGACGCCAGGAAATTCTGCGTAATGCTCTGGCGACAACGTCCACGCATGACCGAGCTATACGAGATTGGCACAGGGTCGATAAATGGATCGTAAGTGACATGCCAGACTCTTCTGGGGCCTCGTCAATTTCGGTCACTGACGGGATGATCCGTGCCCGGCCAAAAGTTAAAGTTCAACATCTTCCAGATGGGTATACCTCGCTCGAACCCGGCACGCTTTGCGCACCCGTCGAGTGGCGTTCTTTCCCGTTGGTCGTTCATTCGCAGCCAACCCCATCTGGCGACAAGAGGATCCTCTTCCTGTTGATCTGCATCCATGGGTATCCCTTGCTCGCGAAGCATCTCGGACGCTTCTTCGAACGAAACAAAGGTGTACTTGTTGCTTTGATGTTCCAGCTGGTATCCAGAAACCCGCCGAGGGACCTGGTAGTAGCCACACTCCTGGGTCGAACGCGACTCCCATATGATGGTAGAGACCAACTCTGGTATGTACGCATAGACATCGGCCGTTTCGTAAGTGTCATAGGTGTAGATCACTGTATGGCCCAGAGCTTCGATCGCTCGGATGGTGGACAATGCCCTGTGACGAGTCGGATATTATTGGTCTGACAATTGCGATGAAACTTGGGCACGCAGCCGACTCGCCAGATATCTTCCCCTCCGTTCCCTTCTTTGATGGAGAACGGCCAGTGAGAGCTGCCTCCCAATACGATCGTCGTCTGGCCTGGTCTGCAATCGTTGGCTCGAAGACAAACCGCCATCTCGCTCAACCGTTCGATGTTTCGGATCCGCGGGATGTCTTCTCTATAGTATCATCGCGAACGGACCACGGTCATCATCTCGTCGTCTTTCAAGAGGAAAAGGGGTTACCGCCCGGATGTCTTACATGTAATATGATACTTTATAATGAGCCACCAGTTCTTCTATCCGCCCAGCAAGCTCCATCCTGCGCGAAGCAGTCATCGTCCCTCGGTCGATACTCGCTCTATCCGCCTGCCCAGACTCGGTCTCGGACCATGCGAGCTCGCTCAACCGCTGTAATCCAGCCCGGCCTTGTTCGTCCAATTCGTCCGTCTCTTCGAGCGAAAGTGACTCGGCGTCGAGAAAAGACCCATCGTCGTGCAAGAGACCGTGAAGGTTGGCTCTCCAGGGCTCCAAGTATGGACCCAAGGAGAGTCGATGTCCGTGTAACGGACGATACGACCCCTTGAAGCTTGGTTCGTGCTGAAAGCGATACGGTATCCGTTCGGTGAAGAGCAGGTGAGCGATGATCAGGAATGACAACAGGCCAACCCCGGCGAATACACGATGACGCCCCGGAAGCCGAGCGAATGAGGCGAGGTTGGACAAGACGTCTTTAGCCATGTCGCTTCGCTGCAAGGCAGGAGCAATGCGATCGTGGTCGTTTTTCACTAGGACGTACTCCGACAGCACGGGACTTGCAGGTAAAACGTATTCTGACAACATGCGTAAGACGTGATCGACGAGTCGTGCATGCCGTATCGCTTCTCCTCGATCTCACCGACATCGGCCTGCCCCTCGACTTGACGACTCGTGTTTGGGAGAGTCGCACTTGCGAGGGCGTCATTTACCTCCAGAATACAGCCACCTTTCCCCCCCGGCGTTGGAAGCAAACCCTTTTAAAGTCCCGTACATATGTATCGTATTATTATTGTACCTGTCTCGGAAGCTTAACCCTCCCGTTTTTTTTTTCGTCTCGGGGGGTTTTTGCCCGGAACCGTGCAAGTCGTTCGCGAGAAAAGTGATAGGGCATGACCACCGATAACGACTGAACACTGGGAAGGGACTGCTGTGCTGCGAGCGTCTGCGATCAGATGGAGTCATCCTCAAGGAGTCATTTCGGGACTGTCGTCACGTCGAGAGTCGTTTCCTCGGCCTTTACGGACAGCGATGATCACGAGGTCGACGAGCGGATATATTGCGATGTCTTTCGGATGGTCGTCTCGTAGTACAGTACGACGACGGCGACGATGACACTAGCCGAAAGGGTGGGAAGAAGAACGATACAGGGTCAAAACTGAAGACCTTTTGAAGATCGCATCATTCCATAACCCCTCGCACTCTTTGTATACAAACCAGATCTAATCAAAACACACCACACTAGCCATAGCAAGGTTCTCCGCCCACGGTGTATCGTCGTCTCGACCGCTGATGCACCTGTCATCGTCGTCGATCTTGACACGCACCCAGCTCGACAAACGTTCAAAAGTTGCCTCAAACCCCACATGTACGGCTTTAGAGCCCAGAGATGGCCTGTGCCATAAAGTCCCATCCCGTCTCGATCAGAGCATGAAGTCCGTCCTTGTTCTCGCCGGCGATCGAGTTCGAGACTGCAATGCCCGCACAACGTCAGACCGCCGTGCCGATAACCGTAACCCACCTTCGCTGAACCGCTCGCTCACCAAGTAAAGCTTCTTCTCCCCGACCTTCTCCCCTTCCCGGCACGGTTTTCCCAAAGTCGTCGAGATCGCTCGGCTGTTGAGAGATCGTGGTTGTCGGTTAGTCTCGGTCGGTTCTCAATCACGTCCCCCACTCCTCCTGCCGAGGTGACTCACGATTTCGAGGTTACTAACGACGATCAAGTCGCCCGACTCCGATTTAATCTCGCTTAGCTCACTGTGTGTGTCGTTTCGGAAAAGCGCGGAACAAACACGCGAGAGAAGATTTATTAGCCCGAGACAGCGAGACAAAGTTTCGGTCGGTCAGTCACCGATGACGTACGAGAGGTTTCGGTCCCGGTCACCAGAGCTGCTGAGATCTGTCGTCGGCAGTCGAGACGTGGTATCGTGGGTTCGGTCGACCTGCATGGCAAGGGGGGTGGGGGGTGAACGATCAGCTCGGAAGCATCGTGGGCCTGTTCGGTCGATTTCCGACTCGCCTTGGGGCTGGCGACTTTGCCATCGAGGGGGAGCCATTCGTACAGTTTCCACATGGGAATACCTTGATTATCATCCGAACCCCGACGCACGCACGCGTCTCGAGCGTTGATGACATCCGCGTCCGTCTTTGAGGAGGACCTAGGATCGAGGGACTGGAAGCCGTAGGGCTGAACTTGATACTCGGTCTCCCATTGTCGAGCGAGGACGTCGATCCCCCGGGGTTCGAGTTCTGCCTTGCTGATCCTCACCGTACGAGTGCTGGTCCTGCTATCGAATTGATATCCAAGGACGCGGGCGCCCAACGCGACGTCCTCGTCTTCGAGCAGGACCGCGTGCTCTGGGTCACCAAAGTGGACGCACGATCGGACGTCGGCTTCGGACGCAAGCACGAGCTTGATCAACGAGGGAAACCTATCGTAGAGGTCGGCGGCCTGACCGATACTCGAGACGTAAAGCGACCTATTTTCTAGGTCTCCGTTGGGGTCCATGGCCGATTCGACCCTGATATGATGTGGATCATCATACCCCATCAGTGACTTGGGGTGAGATCGCGTTCACATGCCCGCCGACTTACCACGGCTCGGAAGCGGTACCGTCGATCAAGCCCGAAAAGGGCGTGCCCACCGCCACAAAGATGTCGAGCTCTTCCTCGTCACACGCCGAGAACCCCTTGCTCTGCTGGAGCAGATCTCTCTCACTCTTGCCAAAGAGCAGTATACCGGTGTAGTCTTCAGTCTCGGAGAGGGAAGCGAGGATGCAGTTGTGAAGACGCTTGAACAGGGGGAGGTTCCAACGGTCGGCATGAGACAATATGCTATAGTACCACGAGCCGGCGGACGTGGGCCAAACATGAGCGTAATTCGTCCGTATGTCACGATCGACAACGGCTCACCCGTGTTCTTGTTGCTTGACACTCTTGATCTCATCGATCTGATCCCTCAATTCACTAACCAGAGCCCATCGTGCGGCGGTACTGAGTTGATTCCCGCCCGACTGCTGAGGAGAATGATCAGCCCCCAAGTCGGTACGCGCGGCGTGGATGGCCAGGTTGGCGAATGCCTTTTGACGTGCCATTTGATGTCCCGCAGATAGGGCTGCCGACTCGACAAGGGCAGAGTAGGACAAGGCAGTCAAGACTGCGAGAAGAAAGTGCCGAATGGAGTACATGGCGATGATGAAGAAGAGAAATCGGGAGTAGGGGTAGCGAAAACGGTAGTAGGAGTTATCGTCGCGTCTGTTGGGCAAAGAAATGGATCACGCCAGGATATGGCTCTCGCCTTGACCCCCAACACCCAAGTACCGTCTGTATATCTACCCAGTCTCAAGGCGGGATGGCACAGCGCAGTGTTGACGTCGACCACCCTTTTGGAAAATGGAACAGGATTGGGCGGGAGGACGATGAGCGCTCGGTGTCAAATTAAGGTTCGCGGGCGCGATCCCAAGTTTCATGCGGAGCGGGCGGGCCCAAAATCCATGAGAACTTCCAATCCGGGAGCGACTTCCCTCATGATTGCCCCTTCAGGCTTCCGACCCCGCCAGTACGTAGGTAAACATGCGAAGGGGGGGGTGGCGAGGGGGGGGGGGGGGGGGGTCCCAAAAGAGCATCGCCATTCCTACTAGAGTGAACCGGGGACGAGTCTTTTTCGATCAAGAGCTGCTCGAAGTTGATTGCACTTACGTTTTCGACCATTTGCTTCTCATCATCGGTCGTTCCCAAACATGTCTGGCAGTACTCACCTCTATCGAAGGCTGCGCCTGATCCTGGGTCTCACGGTCATCATCTCGCTGCTCACCGTTCTGTCCTCGCCATCGACTTTTCCAGCCCTCACCGCGGTCGACATAAGGACGACGCATAGGGTCGCCGCTCGACAGGCGCAGGACCCACAATTCTCGCCCTTCAAAAAGCCAGACCTCTGTCACGGTTGGACGAGCAATGTCACGAGCGATGACGATCCAAAGGGTTGCATGCGAGCCATCAAGTATCGTCAAGTGGAAAGCCTATCGAGGGACTTGCTCCGCGAGATGACGTGAGTAGCCTTTGCTGAGAGGTTGGAGTGATAAACATACAGATCGTCTGAATCCGGTCTGGATAGATGGTCCGACAAGTTACGCAAGCGGAATGTCGAAGCCATTGAGCGGTTACAGGCGTGTCTGGGCGGTGTAAACGTTACGAAAGAGGATTGTCCGGACACCACCTTTACCGTGATCGTCGGATCCTGGTGGTGGTGGGACATGGCGTTGACCGACGAGAGCGAGTCAGGAGAGACGGTATGGATGAGAACGATAGTGAGTGTCGGGGCAAAGGGAACGGCTTGATCGATCGTTCAAACTGAAGCAGTACACTGGCGCCTCTTCCAGACAAACGTCCTATCCGAGCAGGGCTACACGCTATTGTCCTGTTCCCACTACTTTTACGATCGCCTAATCGAGCTCCATCACGCATTACCGGACGTAATGTGAGTCGTTTGGGTCAAACCCTGCTCGAAGGCTCAGCTGAAACGTACGTCTGCAGTTCGCTCATCTGGGCGGAGGATCGCATCGCCGTGTCGTGCATTGCCGATCCACGCTGCGTGCAGGGACACGCCGAGGCAGTCGATCTGCCTATCGAGCAGCGTCCTGGAGACATACCGTTGTGGAAGATCTTCACGTTGACCTATGTGAGTCTTAGATGACGGTCGGTCGATCGCATCCACCTTCTGACGCGTCCGGCATGACTTGTCGCTACACCCGAGCAGTGGGGCGCAAGACCATCCACCCATGGAAAGCAGAGTAACGAATGGGGCAACACGCCAGAGTTGGGCGAGTTTTCCTACAACCCGCTCGGGAACGCCTGGACAATCTCGTCGGTATCTCGTGACAAGTGCTGCGACGTCCCCTCACGGGTTTTGACACCGATATTTCTAGGCCGTGGGACTATCCCGGACACACCTACATCCCGCTAAGTATCGAGAGGGAATGTACAAAGGCAACGGTTGTTCCACGAGATCAGCGGAAAGACCAAGCCTTGGTGTTGGCCAAATTATTCAGTGAGCGTACAGTCGGTTCCAACAACCATCCCACCAGTCCAAGCTGACTCTGCCTCGCTGCCTCGCGATAGACTACTTTTACGCAGAGACGTTTACGGAAGCCTTGAATCCTCGACTATGGGCATCTTTCGAAAACACGACCGGCCTCAAACCGATAGGCACTGCTGTCAACCTCGCCAATCGACACTTTGAAGCCCCTGAAGGACTTATCAATCTCGGTTCTCTGAGTAGGTCAGATTACGATCGGAAATTGGCAGAGTCCAAAGTCCTCTTGGGGATCGGCCGGCCAGAAATCTCTCCCAGTCCCTACTCTGCTCTGTGAGTCGAGTCGTCAAAGCAAGTGTGTGATAGGTTACCGTCTAAGGTCGAATCGTTGCACAGCTGCCAAGGCGTACCAGTGGTCATTCCTTACTACGGGGATTCGCCAACACCTCCCGGCTGGGACCTATATCATCAGTAAGTCAAAACCCGAGGAAGCGACCCATGCACATGCCCAGACTAACCATCTCGTCGGCAGGGAACTCGCGCAACATGGACCCGCCGCGCTTCTGGGAGAGCCCTATGTCTACAGTTATCATTACAAGGACACGGAAGAGCTGTTCGAAAAGCTAGAACGAGCCAAAAACACGCCCATCGATCGATAGTACGCGGGAATGACCGGTCGACCATCATACTGGAACCTGAACGCTAACCTACAGGCCTGCCCTACAATCTTTGCAGTATACCCTCCGGTATGACCTTTAGGCGCGCTCAAACTGCTACGCTTGATGTCGTCGAGCGTGACTGGGAGGCCGAGGCGAGCGCGATCATTGGGATGAAACAAGCGGGTGAAACCACTTCCGCGCGCCACACCCTCGCGCTGCCAGACATGATCATCGAGCGCTGTTTCAAGAAGGGCAACTGCGTTCGCTTGAGCGCAGACAACAAGCAGGTCAAGACTCGAACAGACGCTGTCCCTACGTCTTCGCATACTTTGTAAAATTCCTATAGCGTATGTTTCCGGGATGCATAGACTGAACGCCATGTTTATTACGAGCGATTGCCCGATCGAGACATTCCACACAAACACACGCTCGTCTCACCACCCGCGCGCGCTCCACCGCGGCTCCGACCAACGGGACCAGATGCGCGGGCAACCTACCGGACGCATATCTCGATTTCTCACACGCTGCCATGAGTCCACCCGTCGTCTGTTTCGGGGAACCTGATGTGCTTCCTTATACTACCGCAAACCGTTCACAAGCGTTCTCGAGCGGTTGTCTCGCACTTTGATCGCAATGCGCGCCACTCAGCTGAACGTTTCGGACGTAATATATACGGTTTGCGTCCCTACCGGGTGGTCTATCTGATCCGTAGACGGTACTGAAAATGGAGAGCGCGCCTGTTGCCTGTATGTAAGAGATCTCCCAGAGAGCCTGGAAGCGATCCATCACAGTCTCGTGTAGTTGAACTCGATAGTCATAACCATACGTACAGTGCAGCAGCACCGATCCTCCCAGCGTTCAACATGGTCTTCCAGAGAAGCACGGCAAAGCGACGAACGGTCGCATTCTTCGGAGCGACCATATCTGTCATCACACTTGCAGCCCTCAGCTATACTCGCATTCACAACCAAACCCATCTTGGCAACCTGTGTGATCACCTGGCTGCCCGTAGCACCCCTTTAGAGGCTGAGAGCGAGAGTACCAACGATGTTCCTTTCACAAAGGTGATCAGCCACGCAGCGGGTTTTACAGTGTTGGAAAATGCATACTGGAAGAACGACACCTGGTATTTCGTCTCTGAACAGCCTTGGTCGTTTCCGGATCTGGCATCCGTGGTGACACAGGGACCGTGGCATGGTTCCACGCCATACACGGATGCCCGGGTGGTACGCCTGATCACACTCGACGAGGCTACCGCCATGGGGATACAGGATCATTCCGAGCTCAAAGGTAGCACGGTGAGTCCTTACGTCGTCTTCTGGGTCTACCCCAAGTGATCCAGAGGGTTTAATGATCGGCCACGTCCTCAGTTGTTTTTCAATGATCGAATCTGTGAGGCAGCGCAGTGTCTTTCGCGATGATGCGCGCAGCTGACAGCCATACGTCGATCCTATAACCTCTCTTCTAATGCAGACCTAGACCACTGTACGTCCATCTCCGCGAGCGACGAACCTCTACGCACGGTGATCGTCGCGCTCATGCCTCTTACCATTCGTCTGCGATGCGGTTCCACCAGTCTATCACGTAGTTGGGGAAATGTTTCTCGGAGCCTGGAGGGCGTGGCAGAGCGCCACCTGGTTCACCTCGAAACCCAACCCGGATATCGCCAGACTCGCCTTTGCTCACGTCGACGATGACACGTTCACGGATCACGCGGGGATGAATCATTACTATCTGGAACGGTTCTTGTGAGTCTGACCATCACGAACATCAAGTTGGCCGAACGCGCCGACCGAAAGTACCTTTTCCTTCGGAAAGCCCAGCGGCCGAGCTCGAATTTGTAGAGAGTTGGGAAGCCCGAGCGAAGACGGGGAAGTACTACCGGTTGCCCAAGGTGGTGATCGCGGATCGCAAATCAGGTCACCGAGGTCCAAAGACAAGGGGCAAGCCGATGGATGATGCGTTCGCGCTGCCGGTGCATGGCGATTGGGTGGCTCCTTTGCGGCAAGCTATCGTTGGAGGCTACACCGGGGCGCCAATGCCTGACAAGGGCCTTCCTGTGATCACCTATCTATCCCGCCAATCGACACATATGAGAAAGATGACTCAGGCATCGCACGAGAACTTGGAAGCGGAACTCAAGAAGCTGGAACAAGACGGTATTGCAGAGTTCAATACCGTCGAATTCAGCGACAAGGATCCCAAGGATTATCAAGCGGCCGTGCTCGCGCGAACGACGGTAAGAGGCAGGGGCGCGCTGTGGTGTCATCGCGAAACGTGCCTGACCTTGTGCAACGTCTCTGATAGATCCTGGTCGGGGTACATGGCAACGGGTTGGTACGTATGAGGATCGCATATTCGAGCCTTGCACATGTCCAGTCACTCATCACAGGTGTACCGATCAGACACACTTGATGTGGATGGTCCCGAACAAGCTCTCCGCCGTTTACGAGCTGCAGCAAAAGGGCAGCCGCGTGGACGACTATTCCATTCTCTCGGAAGCGATGAACATGAAACATTGGATCGTCAACGTAGATACGTGAGTCGCAAGGGCGGCTGACGCTCTGCAAACCACACGATCCTCACTCGGATGTTTGATCATTAGAATGTGTGAACGGCGAGATTGCGGGCCTCGCGGCCTCGACCCTTCGGTTCAGATCGGATCGAACGAGTATACCGTCGATGCGGCTTATCTCGCTCAAGCGATCAGGACCAGATTGGCAGCTTGACTAAAGAATAGAACCGAGACCCGCAGTTGAGAATTCATACCGATGTATTCTGCCCCTCGATTAGATGACTGTATAGGATAGCGATGGCGGTTCGATTCCGAACCGACGACTGCGACCGTGCCTTCCGCGCGGCCCTTGAAACGCGGGCCATGCAGCTTCTTCCCTCGTGGTTTCGCCTCCAGATCGCAACGACCGGAAGGATCCGGCCTCCACCGACCCTGCCAGCTCTGCCCCCTTTGCGATTCGGCAGGGGCTAGACAGGACGATTCCATGTCGGGCGGGGGCTAGCCAACGCGGTTCTACAGCCCATGGCTTTGTGCGCCATCTGATTCGGGGGTACTGTGTCGTGTCTGCTGCTTACTATACTGAACGAGTCAGGAAACAGGGGTCGTACCTCCTATGAGAAACAGGAATGAAGGGATCGGCATTGGCCGATTTACCGATTCGCCGGATGCGTCTTTCATCGAGCATCTCGTGCAGAAAGAACCCTCAAACAGATGATCAGGTACGAACCACGTCCTCGGCCAAGTTGTTTTGTTGTTGATGACGGCAGGGCGTCGACGATCTTATTGGTGCACGCCCTGTACGTCAGGCACTCGATTGAGGAGTTTTTGTTTGCATCGAGGGCATTGTGTTGTTTCGATGGCAAAGGCTCGATTCCACTTGGTCGTCCAAGACGTACTAGAGGTACTTAACATACGACGTATGAGCTCGATGACCTTCTCTACGCCACCGACATAACATACCACAGACATCAGGACGGCTGAGCCATCCCGAATCTGATCTTGGAACGACCCAGGAGGCCGAACACCGAGTGCATATCGTCCACGGGTACCCTCACATCACACTCTCTTGTTTACATTTCACCCTACGACACGATGAGAACGGCTTTCCTAGCTACTATTCTCACTTTCCTGCCTTGTGCTCTTGCTGGACAAGATGCTTGGCATATGGATGTGCTCGGTACACTCGTTCGAGAACAGTTGGATCCCATCGTCAGCCCGAACAAGCAGTCTTCGCATATGCATCGGATCGCAGGTCAGTCTCTTTGTTTAAACAAAGCCATTACAATCACCGTCGGATGATTCGACCGACACATCGTACTGTATCCTCTTTCTATCAGGTGGCTCCGCTTTTGCAGCCAACTACGATTATGAAACTCAACTCACTTCCAGCTGCACGACGAGCGGCCTTACCATCGACAAATCAAACTACTGGATGCCTCAGTCAGCCGAACCTTTTGCCTCGGAGACTCAGTTCCAGTATTAAATTCGCTCGTCACACAGGCTCTACTGGGTGAACAGTAGTACCTCCTTTTATCCTCTAACCTCGGTCAACCGGTTCTACTACTTTCTCGGGCGAGATGTGAGTACGATCAGGCCGCCCTGAAACGCCGTCAACCTGCTGAAAAGATCACGACGTGCCAAAAGGATCCCAACGTCCCAGTCAATCCCTTTCCGAAAGGATTGAGAATCCTTCAAGGCGATCCGAACGCCAAGACATCGATCGGTTGGAACACCTTTCAATGCCAGCGATCAACGACGGATCAATACGTGAGCTGACCGTCGATGATGCGACTGCGAGTCTAGCGTCTGACACCGACGCGCTCGTGTTTGTTGTGTAGAATGGCGACAGTTTCAACTTCGACACCCCCTGCGCTCAGGGTATCAAGACCGAGGTCCGTTTCCCGCCGTGTTGGGACGGAATCAATCTCTACAAGTCCGACGGGTCCCACATGACTTGGCCGAGTATTGCGCCAGGTTTCGGGAATTGTCCGTTGAGCCATCCAGTGCGGCTGCCCCAGATCCTTTTGGAGTATACCTGGCAAGTTCCTGCTTTCGCCCGGGGTATCAATACCAGAGGCAATCTGGCTTGGGCCAATGGCGACACCACCGGATATGGTATTCACGCCGATTTCCAAAACGGGTTAGTTTGACCTGTAGGAAGTATAGCGCTCAATTATCGCGAGCTCAAAGTCTCTGAACTGCAGGTGGGACTACGAGATCTTGAAAGCGGCTCTTCAGGATCCGGCTTGTGTTGGGTTAGGCAACTCCATGTACGTCATGCCCGTTCATCGCCACTTCCGATACTTCTTCAGGCTCACACCAGCTAGGGAAACCTACACAGCGCCATCATCGACTGTCCGACTTTTGCAAACTATGTGAATCTGGCCGCGGCCAAGGCTTGTACCCGCCCCGATCGTGGTTCTCTGACCGAGCCTACCGGCGTCACGGACTGGAGCGCGATCTCCTCGCTTCCCGGGTGTAACCAGCTGTGTGAGTGTGAATGTGAGTCGATGATCACCGGCCGGGTTTGACTGAACAAGACGTCGATATCAGGGGGAAGCACTGGCTCCAAGCCCACTTGCAATCCAGCAGTGCCAGGCCTGAGCGTCGCGGGCCTCACGGGCACAGATGGGCCTTACCTTGCTAGCGCTTACGGTCAAGAATCGAGCTTCAAACTGCCCGAAAACGCCACCGATTGGACTCGGGTCGGATGTTTCTTTTCCAACTCCAATCCGACGTTGGACAATACGAACAGTTTTTACGATGCGTACATGACACCAGAGCGTTGCACAGCGGCATGCGGCAAGACGGGAAAGCCCTTCGCTGCCATGCAAAAACGAGGGGATCCTTATGTGAGTTCTCATAACTGCTCTCACTCGGACGACACAGATGTTGACTTGCGAGCTTTCAAGGTATGCATGTGTGGTAGCGGTCTCTCGAATTTGGCAGCGTTGGAGCCATCTCAATGTACACTTCCTTGCCCAGGCGACGCTTCGCAAACCTGCGGAGGAATGTACTTTTGGGAAGTGTACTACGGCCCCAACACCACCACCCGAGACGGAGGATGCTACATGCCGTCCGCCAACCCGACGTCTCCCGGATTTGACGCAAGCGCGACGTACAGTTTCAGTTCATCCATGATGACCCGATCCGTTTGCTCGAGCGCGTGTCAAGATCGAAAGTCTGACTGGGCTGGCCTTCTGAACGGCAACACGTGAGTCTCGATCAAGGCGACAGAAGCTCAATTCTGCCGAACCCTGAATTGCCTCGATAAACGTTCCAGTTGCTCTTGTGGGAATGGCTACCCTGTCGGAAGCGGTACCTTTTCGCCCGATGACCAGTGCAACACAAAGTGCAACGGCAAGTATCTCAGCAAGAATGACTGAAACATGCTCGATCGAATTGCTCACTCGGCTCTGCGTCTCACAGGTAACTCTAGCGAGACCTGCGGAACGCCCTCAAACCTGTTCATCATGCTGCTCGGGACGTCGAACACCACTTCATCATCCGAGATCGATCGAAAAGACGGGAAGATGGGGTGCTACCTGGATTCCTCGTCAGCAAGAGCTCTGACGGGGTCGACTTACAAGCATCCTTCATTGATGACCCCCGACTATTGTCGAGAAGGATGCCTGGAGATGGGATTCTCCTTGTCCGGTGTGGAAGCAGGGGATAGTACGTCATGGAAATTAGCACCCTTGCCGCTGGAGCTGATCAGGCGACCCCTCTATATGCCCCCCAGCTTGCTACTGTGGGAACGACAACTTGTCCAAACAGATCATGCCCGAAAGCCAATGCGGCCAGGCCTGTTCGGGCAATTCCTCATTGACTTGCGGAAACAGTAACAACATCGAGATATACAACACGTCCAGCAACGTACAAGCTCTGGCAGCTATCAAGACCTCCCGCGCCAGTAACTGGCTCGGTTGTTGGGCCGACTCGCCTGTAGGAACCGCGCTCACGCAATATTCGTACTCGTCCTCGGTCATGACGGGAACCGCTTGCAAAGAAGCTTGTGCAGGATTCGGGTACGCCTTTGCTGGAACGGAAAATGGCAAGAGTAAGCTCTAGAACGGGAGATCCTCTCGCTCCGTTGTTGATGCCTTTCCCCGATTGCAGCGTGTCGTTGCGGTTCCCAGATGCCGACCACACAGCAACAACATTCAGCAACGTGCCTCAGTCGCTGTGCCGGTAACGCGACAGAATTTTGCGGAGGCGGGTTCTCCATCGATCTTTATAAAACCGATGATGTAGAAGTAGATACGAACGGTGATGATCATGGTCTGAAAGGCAAGTCTCGTCCCGGCGGGAACTCTGGGTTGACTTTCGCGGCTCTTGTACTGACGACGTGAATCACAGGCTGTTATACGGACTCTGGTACCTCCCGTACCCTAGGCAGCTACAGCTTTACCAGCTCTAGCATGACCAACACCATGTGCCGGACCGGATGTGCTCAGCTAAAGTATGCCTTCGCTGGTACGGAGGGTGGCAACCAGTGCTACTGCGGGCAAGCGATCGGTAGCTCTGCTGCTCTTCAACCCAACTCTGTCTGTTCTACGGTCTGTGCTGGAAACTCTTCGCAAACCTGTGGAGGTGGTTGGAGGATAAAGGTCTACGCTATCGACGACTACCATGTTCCGATCGAGCCAGAAGGGTCCCTCGGCTGTTACATGACCACGAACCCATCCACCAAAGCGAATGGTCTATCCGCATACAGTTACTCGAACGGAAACATGGACACCAGTCTGTGCAGGCTGACGTGCCTCTCTCAGGGCTATTCGGTAGCTTCTCTCAATTTCGGAAACAGTCAGTAGAGGTGAACCGTCCCAGCGATGCGCGCGCTTACCGAAAATCTTATGCGTATGCTCCTGTCCATCTCACTTTAGAATGCTCTTGCGGTAACGCTTGGGTCGGAGGGGCACAGATCGCGACCTTGCTCTGCGATACCAAATGTGTCGGTACGTGACCATCGGTCGGTCAACATCATAAAACTCTTGCTGACATTGTCGGCTCTCCAGGCAATTCGTCTGAAACGTGTGGCAACGGTTGGGCCAGCACTGTGCTATCTACTGCTGGTGCCGCTTTCGTACCTCCTGCGGACGGAATTGCCGGCTTGCAGGGTTGCTTTGCGGACCCCGCGACCATGAAGGCATACTCGTATACTTCGACCATCATGTCACCAGGACTGTGTGCGCAACAATGCAAGATGCTAAACTACCCTTTGTCGGGTGTGCAGAATGGTAGTGAGTCCGCCAGGACGAATCGGTAAAGTCCCAGCAAGCTCCCTTTACTGATTGACTCGCGGCATGGCTCTCGGCAGACACCTGTTTGTGTGGATCCTCGATGCCCAAGGCTCGTTTGCCGCTGTCATCGTGCGCAACCCAATGTGCCAGTACGTTCGACTTCTCCATATTTCGACGATCTGAAGACGACTCACTTGCGGTAATTTGCCAAAGATGTCGCCAATGTGACGTGTGGGGGAAGCACGACTGTAGCTGCCTATCTAGTGGACCCTCTCGTATCGCAGTTGACAGCGGCTGGACAGCTCATCGGCTCGAACCCTGGTGCTCGTGGCTACATCGGGTGCTATCAGGACGCATCCACCGGTAAACTGCTCAGCGATTGGAGCTACTATACCTCTGGCTTGACGACGCAGACATGTCTGCAGCTTTGTGCTGCCCAAGGATATGCTGTGAGTCTGGATATCCTTACTGTGGCCGGCTGCTATCCGAGCTGACTCTATCGTCTCGACCTTGACAGCTGGCCGGAACGACGAACGGCAAGACCTGTTACTGCGGGAACGTCAAGACTCCCGGTACATCAGGTTTCCTTCGTGCGGATTCGGAATGTGCGACTCCCTGTGCAGGTAAGACTATCGTCGCAGTTCGACGCCGAGTGATCTTAGGCTGAGGTCTCGATTCATAATAGGCAACACTACCGAGATGTGTGGGGGAGGCTACAGGGTTTCACTTTACGATACAAAGGCGGCTAGGGTTTCGACCACTCTAGTCAATCAACCCGGACTTGTCGGTAAGCGTCCAGTGGATTATTGCCTTGCGCACCGGTGTGGAGAGCTGACAGCGATACGGTCGCTGCCCCCACCATAGGATGCTATGAATCAGGCAGTCTTCAGGCCGCTCCACCTTACTCCCTCTACTCGGCCACCATGACCGCTAGTACTTGCAGATCTACCTGCCTCAACCGCGGATATACGACTGCGGCCTTGAACAAGAACAGTAAGCGTGTCTTCCAAGGATACATGTCCGACAAGCGTGTTCACTCGTCTCGTCCTCAGACTGTTACTGTACGACGGCCAAGACGTGGGGAGGAATAAGGCCGCTAGGTGACTGCACTCTCACGTGCCCAGGTGAGAATCAAAATACGTCAGGGTACAGACCAACTCGCGACTGCCATCTGACTAGGGCGTCTCGTTCTCTCAGGAAACGGTGCGCAACTGTGTGGGGGGAACAACCTGTTGAGCCTCTACAACACTTCAGACTCGCCGGCGTCGGGAACAAGTTCGTTCAGCACCTCAACCCAGGCCAGTAGCTACAGTCAAAGTTCCTCCTTGACCACCCGGCCCATCACATCCACACAACAAGCTACTGGCACGTCGCCTTCGTCTGTTCGGTCCGCTACCGGTGTGACCTCGACCATGCGAGGTACCGTTCTGTCTTCGATCTCCTCATTCACCTCGATGTTCTCGGCAACGGCTACGAGGGCGTCTGTCTCGTCTTCGGTATCGTCCACTACGGTGCCATCGAGTAGCTCGGGCTTCACTGCTTCCATCGGAACTGGAGCCGTCACAAGGGTTGCGACAACAGCCGCAACATCCATCCTCTCTCAGGGATCGTCGGTATCGCGCTCAAGCTCCGTAAGCTCCATCAGCTCGGCTTCAAGGACCCAAACGGGTACTGCGTCCAGTACCGGAACGCAATCGTCCATGCCCGTCCAGAACGGTATAGCCTGCCCGCTACAATCGCAGCCCGCGGCGCAGTACATTTACATATATCGTACCGAGACTGCCACCGTAACCGTCACCGCAAGTCCCTCATCGACCGTAAGTCGCACTGCTGGACAGATTGTCGCCATTCGACCCAAACTCACGCTGCTGTGGGACCTCGTTGCAGAGTGTCGGTTCCAACCCTAAGCGTTTCGTCAAGATATCTCGCCCCCGGCGCTAGTGATCTGCGGCTGGTGCTTCGAAGAACGCCCTTGTCCGGCTGGTACGGATAGGGCAAGGCCTTAACTCGGGCTGTGACCAAGATATTGCCCGATAGTGTCACTCTACGGAGTTGTATGTTCCCGACAATGTAGCACAATGCAGCGACCGACGATGAATTATCTGTTTCCGAAGTGATAAGGTTGCTTCCGTCAACGGGATCGGCTTCGGAGGCAAACCTTGTCTTTTGATTCCCTGTACCTGTTCTGCGGGACGGAAACTGACTCGTGGCGGAGCCAAACCCTATATCGCCTGGCTGTCTCTGCCTGATATTTGCCGACCCTGCCCTTTTCGACGGCCCGGCTCACACCGCGATCGACCACAAACATCATCATCATGCATCATCCAGCTTGTTCACAGATAGACGACCTGCACATGCAACTGATGCTAGTTCTCCTTTGACCAAACGAAAAGGCACCAGCTATGGATCTCAATAGGAGACGGAATCGGATCTTGCCATTCGTGCTAGTGGGATTGGTGATACTGTTGGCCGGGCGATACCAATTCGACGGCGGTCCGAACACGCCTCGACGTGATTTCGAGACGGCCTTTCCACGTCCCCAATGGGCCTCGGACCATCCGAACTACCATTCGAGGCATCTGGCCGAGAACGAATGGAAGATTAGGAGGATCGCAGCATGTGTCGAAGCGAACAACTGCCCGCCTCACCGAGACGAGGTGAGCAGCATCGCAGTCGTCTACCCCTTCCCACGTTGTATCAGCTGACCGAGATCATCGAAGCCAGGTCATCATCATGGCAAGTTGGCATTGCCATGTTGCGCGGTATGCTGGGTATAGAGGGGGAGAAGGCGTCTGGTGCGGGGTCTCGGTCGGGATATATGGCTACGTCCTCGGTCCGACTGACCATCTCACCTCTGCAGGTGTCTAGCTATCGTCGACTGGCTGGAGAGAGCTGGATATACCCTCCTATGGGTTTCTGATGACTACGGTAAGCGACACTGACGGGAGCCCCTTGCGACGATCCTTCATTGATGAATATGACCCCTGAAGAGGAAGCTCGGAGATTACATCTACAGATTCCCGATCTCACCAAGGTCCGTCTCGCATGGATCGATAGTCCTGCTCGAATACCTTCTGATATCCCTCGACCCTCGTCATGCTTTCCCGTCAACTTCCGGGCACAGATGGTCATCGGAGGCGGCGAGCAAAGGGCCAAAGACGTCTTCAAGACAAAGCAAGATCCGTCGGGCATACCAGCGTGGAAAGTGCGTATCTGACAAGAACTCGCCGGTAGACACGCCTGGTTCATACCTGACCAGCTCGATTTGGGCGTCGTCAGCATATCGATTTCTACTACTTCCCGACGCAAGACAGGAGCCCGATCTCGGATGCATGGATCATCTGCGCAGAACCAGAAGCTTTCGAGCCGGGACGGGGTGAGCCGCGCAAGCGTTCGCAGTGTCCTCTGCATCTTTGCTGACCGTCGTCAAATCCTCAATCAGGCTTTACGTACATCGGGTGAGTCTTCTGTGATCGCCAAACTCGATATACTCGCCGAAGGCTGAAGAGCTTACTGCTTGCTTCCTGGACGACAGGTACCCACTGGTTTGCAACACGTCGCAGGTGGTCCCGTATGAGAAGCGATCCAATCGAGTCTGGGTCTTGACAAAGCGACTACAATACTTTTACTCTGTCGACCCAGCTTGGGAACCCAGCTTTTTCCGCCGCGCTCATGACGTATTGAGCAAAGAATTCCCAGACTTCGAGTTCGTTGCCGCCTATGTCGACGATCGCTCCGAAGAGCAAAAGAAGAAGAATCCGGAATGGGTGGCCGTCGACGGGGTTCGGAACCTAGGCTCGTTGAATGCGGATCAGTTTCAGCAAGAAGTTGCTGCATCCAGGACGATGCTTGGCATTGGATCCCCCGGACTAAGTCCGAGCCCGCACATTGCCTTGTGCATGGTGAGTCGGAAGCACGTCGAATCGATGAGGCCTGACTGATGAGAGGTGCGTGCACTGTCTTCCCCAGGGCGTATCGTTTATCAATCCGGTAAGTACCTCTCGCTATGAACGATCTCGGGGTATCGAACACCCGGGCGGAACTTATGCTGTCCAACCTTGACAGTTTGTACTCCCCGGATTCGGTACTATGGAGGATCGCCGAAGCTGGCGGTTTGCTCAACATGCTACCATGATGCGCCTGGACCCTCCGTGAGGAATACGATCGAGTCGAGCTCACTCAAAATCGCCTAGACTGACCTCCCGTCCCTTCTTGCCTCGATTTAGCTTTGTCTGGCACGCGCGACGATTCGTGTTTGAAGAGTTCCTACAGGCTATCAGAGAGTCGCTGCAGACTCCCACACCGAGGCAAGTCGAGTATCGCATTGTCCACTCGGCGGCGACGAGATTGACGACGGACTCGTTGCTTCAGTTACCAATGGCCTCACATGACATTAGAAGCCTTTGAAGAGCGAATGCACAAGTTGACCTCGCGCAATCTTTCCGCCGAAGCAGAAGTCATCTTCCAGCAGGCATCAGGGGACAACACGGACGACCCGAGGCGAAAGGTGAGCGAGCGCGCGCTCTACCCTGAGATTTTCGATCAACTCTGGGCGAATCTGATCGGTCGAAGCTTTATCACCTCAGTACTGGGTTTTGTGATCGACGAGATTGGGGTACCAGATTTGTATCGCCTTTTGAAAATGCTCTCGAGGGTCTCTATCTCAGACGTCTCGGGCCAGGTGGGCGAGTAACCTCTGAAACTCGATGCCATCTTTCCTCCTACTCTCGGCGCACGGCAGGCATACTTGTCTCGAAGCCTTTGTAGTTGGTTCGCAATGGCCCCATCATGATGCGAAAGAGTTCGAAGCATGCTCGAGGGAGGCCCGGATCTCGTAGTGTCACACCGCTTGCATATGATCAGGAAGAGTCTATCTACATTGGGTCCTGAAGAGGACGTCTTCACATTTTTACATAAAACAGCTAAAGAAACGGCCGTCGTCGTCAGTCCGCTTGCCTCGCGCAAGATGATGAGCTAGGAAACGCGGCAGAAGACTGACCTTGCCGCCAGATTCTTTCCTCCTCTCCAACTCTTGAACAGCTTCGTCGTACCAATCGGTCTCCATCAGAGCTTGCATTCTCAGCTCGTGTTCAGCTTGTGTCATGTGAGGCAGGATCGTCCTCGGTATAGGTACCGTCATCGCCTGTTTGAGAGCACTGACCAGACCGTCGTAATCTTTGCTCTTCACGTGGTACACATATCTGACACGAGAGCATATTGTCTTGAGCTGACGCGCCCCGCTCGAGTCCGAAGATCGTGCGACCGAAACCTACGGAGGATCCCACGTGACCAGTTCTGGCTGCTGAACATCCCAATTCCACCGTTCGTCCGGTTTGGCCTCGTTCCATTTCCGAACCTGTAGTGACGGTCACAGCCGTTCAGATCGTGCACAAAATTCGAGCCCGAGTATCTCGCTCGTCGAAGCTTACCACGTTGATAAAAGGCACCCCCTGATATCGATTTCCGACCATCACGACTCGAGCGGTTTCAGCAGGAAAACACTTGACGACCCGAACGATCGACCGCCTTGTGACTCACAAAGCACAGGCTATAAAACGGCGAGGGACTGTACCACGGATCTCCGACTCCGAGGAGGACTCGAGAATGGCTCAACTCATCGTTGAACTGTTCCGGTCCGATCCGCCCCACGTTCTCGACCCCCACCAGACCGCCGGGTACATTATCAAAGTGCCCATCCTTGTCCGGGTTCCATTGGTAGTGCTCGTCGACGCTAAAGGCACCCTTGACCGAGAGACCAGGGACGTCCCTCGTGAGGTTGTTAAACCACGTCCGTTCCCAAGCAAAGGCCGACTTGTAAAAGTATGTCGCTTGCTTTGCGAACAACCACGCTTGTTCAGGTCGATCTGCCAGGGGTACGAACGGCACGGAATTGCAGTGATCCTCGATGGAGTAGCCGAGGTAGTTGTATGAATCCGAGTCGTAGGGATGCTTGACCGCGTTGATCGTCCATTTTCCTTTGAGAACGCCTTGACCGCGATTCGGGAAGAACGTCATCCAGAAGACTGCGAGGCGGGGGCATGATTCGAAAGCACGACAGGCGGTGAGCAGATCTTGCTTGGCCCAGGGGGATTTGGTCCGCTATGCGTTCCTGGAAATTCGCAGAGGATGCTCACGTTTCCAGATCGGTATCCCATCGGGATGTTCTACGCTCTCCATATACTTTGGATCCTGATCCATCAAAGCTGTCCGGTCCAACCCAAACGATCAACCTATGCTCGACAAGGTCGTTTGCTCCTCGCTATTGTAGACGAGGCGAAGCGGGTCTAAAATACATTACCAGCGCAACACTCACGGACATGCTCGGTGATGATGATCTTGACCAGGTCGGGCATTTGCCTGTAGTACCGATATACCTCGTCTATTCGAGATCAAGCTCGTCATCTTCTCTTTTCTCCGTCGTGACGAGGGTAGCGCGGATGCTCTTGGACTCACCTACGCTGATCGCGACGATGCATGTGTAGCCCAGGTTGGTGAGAGAGTTGTACTACTCGGCAGCGGGAGCAAGGGTTGACCGCGACATGAGCAGGAAACCACGAAGACAAAACTCAGAGAGTCTCACTCACTATAGATTGCCCCCAGACACCTGAAACGTATCACCAGAGCGATCAGTCGGCGTTCCTGGTCTCTGGGAGCAGCAAGGAGAGGAAACTCACCTTCTCCGCCTTTCCAACCCTCGGCGATACCTTGTCTGAACCAATTGCTGTCCAGTATCGCGACCTTGGCTTGGTTGACTCCACAACTGCGAGTCGCCAGACAGGCGTGGAGGTTGACGAGGGCGACCGTGTTGTATTGGTAGTAGTCGGTGGGGATCGCGTTGGGTTTCAGCATGAACCCCTTGAACAGCTCAGGGTCGGCCTGCGTGATCGTTCCAGACCGGGGAGTCGATGAGCTGGTCGGGAACCATGCTGAGATCTGATCGGTCCCGTAGAAGGGCCGGGACAGGAATGGAAAGACGACGACCGTGCCGGCGAGCGCGACCAGTAGGGTCCTCCATAACTTGCGTGTCGATGTGGTCGCCATGAGAGAGAGATGGATCGGTCGAGAGGCTGTTGTAAGGAAGATCCGGCTCGCTATATGGACGTGATCTTCCAGTCCATGCCATATGAATCGAGTCGAGAGGGGTATGCTGTATGCATCTTCGAGATCTTGGGATAGGTGAGGGGGAGAGGGGGTGTTGACCCAAAGTACGAGGCGCGGAAGTAACAGTGGTCCCCCCCGGAGGCTAAACCTTAAAATATCCATCCCGCGCGCCAGTGTCTCACCGGGAACCTCGGTATCGAAATCTAATTCCGCGACCCAAAATCCCGCCGACGACCGATCACACACACACACACACACACACACAGACCGCACAGACACACACATGCACAGACACACACAAGTACGTCTCGACCAGATACGACATGTCGATCTTTCCTACCTTCATCCGACCCGGCCCGACAGTTTCCAGGCGAGTACCTACATAGCCAACCAAGGCGATATACCCAGTGGCCATTCCGCGATGCCCATCTCTCTTCGAAACAACGGCTCGACTCGCGACGACCCTCGTTACAGGTTGGCCGGGCGGTCTCGTTATCGCTTACTATTGTTGACAGTCGTGTCGATCTCGCTCTTTGGCCTCGGATGTCTGACATATCGCCATGGACCCGTCGTCTCGAGTACCGCCTTGTCAATTTCGGATGCGGGTAGAGGTATTCGTATAGCCGTCTACGAAGGCTCCGGGTTTCATGACGGTGAGTTGGTTCGAGCCGTACACAGGATAAACGGGGAGATCGATCCTCCCTCGACAGCATCGTCTCCATCTCGATCGAGAATCTGTTGTCTCCATCTCGATCGAGAATCTGTTGCTGCGTCGCTCTGACGTACGATCGCTACCTTGTCTACATCGCTGACCAGTTTCCCCTCCACAACGTTCCCAACCAATAGACGTAGCGGGCGCATTGATCTACACTGCCGAACGGTCCGGCGCGACCGTGACGAGCTATCGCACACGTTGGTCCCAGAATTTCGGATCATGACACGGCTCGTCCCCCCGAAGAAACAATCCAGACTGACTCGCCCCCACTTGTCTGTCTTGTCAACAACCCCCCAGATCTTCGAGTCTCGCCCGACTACCCGGGAGGATGGAGGTTCGGGTTCGGCAAGATCTTATCCGCGTTTCATGACGGTCCTACGATCAGCGCCCCTCCGAATTCGGTGGACAGTCTAGAGTCCTCGATATCCCGCGCCGAATTCGACGTTTTGATCATTGTCAGCTGTAAGTCCCTGGACCCCTCGTGTCTATCAGGCCCGGATAATATGACACGGAGCACGAGAAATGGACCCTGACCCTGATCCATTCGACAAAATCCAGGCGACCAACGATGGTTGGAAGATTCCCTAAGAACCGTTCTCGCGCAGCCGAGCGACCTCCAGGTCGTCTGCATGCATCACGAAGAGAACGGCTTTCACGCTCACCACGAGCCCTTCCACAACCTAGCCAGGGAAGGTCGGATCCAGTTCGTCTCGTTGGGAGCGCATACATCACGTATGTACGCCGAACACCTGACGCAGTGGTCCACTCGGGATCGTAATACGGGCTGGGCGGTACATCCCGTACAGACTTTGGTCACGGTTCGTCCTCGCTCTCGTTCCCCGGAGAGAGAGGGAAAGGAATCGAAAGCTCACGAAGAGGGTCCCTCGACTGTTCCCCCGCCCGCTCGTCTCTCTCTGGTCTTTGTTTTGGTAAGTAGAGACTGCCGATCTCCGCAGACATCGTCCCCCATCAACAGGACAAGAAGAAGAACAGGCGCACCGGCTGTGATAACGCCGTGATCATGGGCGACTTGACCTATGGCCGTCGACATTTCGATCGAATATTTACCGACCTCGAGTCGGAGATCATACGTGAGTAAAGACCACACCCATACTGTAGCCGGGGAAAACCGGAGGCCTGGGTCGTGTAGAGTCCAGCACAGCACGGTACCTATCGATTCTGACTTGACTCCCGGTCTCATTGTTCTTTTTTTGTCACGGGCGTGGCGATTCTCGTACAATGCAATAGAAGACCCGTCGGCCTGGGGTTACCGGTACGACCCCGCTCTCAAAACCTTGACCCCCCTCGACCTGGAAAGCGAACCCACCTCGACCTCGACCTCGGCGTTCAAATTACACATCCTCGGTAGCGACAAGGGTAAAGTCCCCATCCCATCGCTCTTGGTATCCGGCAACGTGGTCCAAATCCACTCTCACACCACGTACGAGGAATATTATTCCATCCTCGGTCGAATGGTCAGTCTCTTAGGCCCGGCGTCGTGTCTCTCATCACATCCACATCCACCCCCCTTGAAATTGAAATTTCGCAATGCGATAAAACACGGGCTGATATCATCTAATGCTCGGTTTGGGGGGCTTGGGGTGGACTTATATGCTCGATCTCGAATAATGTTTTTTTTTAGGACCTAGCGATCCCCGCTTGGATCGATAACGAATACTGGGCCAAACGAGCGAGCGCCTCTATAAGCGCTGCGATCAACGCCAAGGTAGGTCCGTTCCCGGTTTCCCTTTTTCCCCCCCTAAGATCGTCCACCCTAGATTGGGTCCACAACAATTTGTCCCGCCTTGATTATAATCACTTCGCTGATCCCTGGGGGAACTGGTTTTGGGGGTTGATGTTGGGGGGGGGGGGAATGATTATAATTTTGACTTCTGACATTTTTAGGTACCTACCTTGGTTTACCGGGCGATCATCGATGCCTACCCTTACCTCCACCCCGTCGCGTACGTTTTACATACCGCCGGGGAGAGCGAGATGAAGAGCGTCCTCCGGCTCAGGCTACGAACCACACCTCCTTCAAATTTAAAGAGCCATAACGACGACGACGATGGGTCCGGATCAAAGTCAAGATCGGTCGATGAAGATGACGCCCACCCGCCTGGAATCACGCCTTCCTGGACAGGATCCATCCCAGCGTCGGCGGATTGGGACGAATATCACCTGGTCCTCGATCGATGGAACCTCGATAACCTGGAACGGGTCCTCCATCGTGTCAAGCCGCAGTCCGAGGCGGGTCGTCTGGTACTGTAATATATATGAAACAAGGCCCTTTGCTCTAGTCTGCTGTAGGCGTACCGATATTCTTTTGATACTGTAACTGTAGGATGTGCGAAAAAGGTCCCGATGTCACACTTGTTCGGAGTGGGGCGTGAAGTGACCGTCAGTCACATTCGACATGAGAGTAATAATGTTGTGCAAGTAGTAGTAGTAGTGTAAATAGGTGGTGGATGAAACACGATACGCGAGTCACGTGATCACCCAAGACACACCTCGCTCGCAGCAACTGCGATACTGTTCACTACTACTGTACTACTGTGTACTACTTGTGCCCCACTCGATGTGATCGACTCGATGAACGGATCAGACAAGAAGTGTACAGCCGTCTGCTAGCTGCTAGCGAATCCTCCTCTTGCTTTTTGCTACCTCGATCACACTCATCCTCCTGCCCCATATCATGTCTTTCCGCTCGCTTGTCGGTCGTCGGATCCCGCCGTCTCTCATCCGATCTATATGTACTCGCCTTGCGTTGCGACCTTTACCAGTCACTCCCCTCCGTGCACACCGCGTGACCTCTCCCTCTTCTGCAAGCTCTACTCGCTGTATGGTTGAAATCTGCTGAGGGCTGTGGGAGGGGGGGACCGTCACGTCCTTCTACCCCGAGAGGTGTAAAAAGCGGAATGTTTCGGTCGAAAGTAGCACCGAGATCGACGAGAACACCTACAAGGTCATATAGCATATAGCATATAGCAAGTTGAACATGTACAGCAATTCAGCAATCGACCCGGCCTCGACTCGTACAACAAATCACTGGATAAGTGAACATCATTCCTCTACCCAGTTATGGTTCTCCGACAAGCTCTCGTGACAGCCGTCCTGCTGACAACCTCGACCTCTATCGTCGCTCAGGTCAGTCCATATCGTGAACGCCGGACCCTCGTCCCCGGATCCCCGGATTGCCATCAAATTCGAACTGAAGACCCATGTTGTGTTGCAGGTCGACTTTGAGCAACACGACTGGTTCTACGAGTTTCCTCTTGCTAGTACCAACGTGTACGTCCAACTCGTCATCCATATCACCTCTGTTCAGCTAACCCTTGCCTGCAATCACGCTCGTGACATCCTCCCATCCCGCTATTAACCTCTGGTAGCCTCCCAACCGTCCCCCCTCCCTCATCATTCACCTGGGACTCCATCTTCCTCCCGCCCGGTATCTCCCTCGCCTCCGCCAAAAGAAGCCCGTTCCACGTCTATCATCCCGATTTCCACCGGGTCATCGGGGAAGATCCCAGGTTAGCTTTGGTCTTGGAGACCGAGGGGTATTATAGCGCTCACGAGGCCCCCGGTGAGTCTCCTGGTTGAGGTTAAAGGTCTTTGCCCCGTGCTATACCTTTAATTTACTTTTCTGGGATCTGGGATATACCGATCTTCTCTGAGTTGAGCTGATCTTTCCACGTCTCTCTCTCTCCTCTCTCTCTCCACCTCTACCCCCATCTCCATCCTCATCACCATCTCCACCTCCACCCCCTGACTTCACACTCATACCCGTATTTATAGTCTACCACGAACCCACCCAATCATTCTTCTTCTGCTCCAACGCCGGTGCCCCCTTAGGGTTTTCCGGTGCTGAGAATTCTAATCGGGTTTTCAAGATCTCCTTGGACGAGGTCGAGAGCTCCTTGAGCAATAAAGAGGGCCAGGTCTACTTGGACGAAACCACAGGGGACTGGAAGGCGGGGAATGCGACGTTGGTGGAGATCAGTGGGGAGGATGGGACGGAAGGGAGGTTGGTCAACGTGAACGGAGGTGAGTGGGTCTTGAAAAAAAGTTGGACGTGGGGTCCGACAACTTTTGGAAAGGAAGAGCCGGCTTGTGAGATTGACGGGTTTACTGGCCCATGATATAAAACCTTTGCTCTGCAGGTACCAATTACCGAGGTAAGCTCCAACTCTTGAACTCTTTCCCCGGGGCGCTGCCCCGCGTTCTTTTTACAAGCTTGCAAGGCTGATGAGCGTTCGGTCTTAATTTCGATACACGCCCTGCAGACCAGATCGTCTTCCTCGCTCAGGGTCGGGGGGAAGAGTTCCCACCTACGATGACCTTGGTCAACCCGTACCCTCCTTACAATTCCACCGGTCAGTCGGAAGATTCCGCAACACTCCTCGGGTTCATGTCCCCTATGATATACATGCCGCTGACGATCCCCAACATCCCCTCCTCCCGCCCGCAGTCATCCTGAACAACTACTTTGGGAGACAATTCAACTCGCTCAACGACGTCGCCCTGCACAGAGGTACCGGAGACCTATTCTTCACCGACCCGGACTATGGCAACTCGCAGGACTTTCGACCTACGCCGGATCTGCCGTTACAAGTTTATAGGTGGAACCAGACGAGCGGTAAGCGTAGCGCTAGCACGTTCGCGTATCGACATTGTTTGCGAGGAAAAGTAGTTACTGATGAGATGGACCCGCTCGCTCGCTCTCACGTCTCGCCCCGCACTACAGGCCTGGTCTCGCTCGTGGCGGACGAGATGGTCCGACCGAACGGGATCGTCTTCTCGCCCGACGAGACCAAGGCGTATGTGGCGGATACGGGGTTGGTAGGGAAAGATCGGGATCCCAGACGTCCGGCCACGATGTGAGTCGGGGCATGGATCTGAAGCATCTCATTAGGGGTGCAGCGTTGCAGCGGGATTCTCTGTCTCTAAGGTTTGCGCGGGTTTTATCGTGAATTGCTAACGATTGGTTTGAGTTTTATGTAGCTACGAGTACAACGTGGATGAGCAAGGAAACTGGAGCGATCGAAGGACGTTTGCGTTCAGTAGGTGCCCTTTCCTATCTCATCTCCGGTCCGTTGAAAATGGATTATGAGCTGAACTGAACCCCGACGCCTTCAGTCAATACCGGTGTCCCCGATGGACTCCGATGTGACGAGTCGGGCAATGTTTGTGAGTCCGAGTCTCAGTCCTAAGCTTGTTCTCAAGCCGAAATACCCGTACTGATTGTATCCTTTGTATACTTCACAGATGCTGGTCAGTCTATACGTCTGCCTTTTCAGCCGGCGGCCTCGGTTTCAGGTCAACGAGCCATGAGGGTTCCCGATCGCTAACACGAGTTGAACACGGATTGCAGGCACCGGCGACGGCGTGACCGTGTTCAACCCGCAAGGCGTACTCTTGGGCAAGATCTTTGTCGGTTCAGGGAGTGCCAACTTTCAATGGGCCGGTCCGGGCAGGTGAGTCGGCTCTAGAGAACGCTATATCGCTATTGTGGTCAGTTTGAGGGAATACGACTAGGGCTGATTCGTCATATCTCGTCGTGCTTGCGCTTCGCCGCAGGATGGTCATCCTGGCCGAGACCAAGGTTTACGTCGCCAAGCTTCTCGCCAACGGGGACCCTGTATGGAAGTAGAGCGACGTGGTGTGGGTGATCTGATGCTGTGTAGCGCTAGTCTCAACACGACGACGATGGTGAATGGATTGTAGCAACCCCGAACGAGACGTATGACGCTCCCAAGACAAATATCGCGATTTTGATCCCGTGTCTCGTAAATTGCGCCAAGCCCGTACAACCCGAAACCTTGGTACGAGCTCTCGATCGCACTCTCCCACACTGCTCGTGGTGCCCCCGGCGATTGGCAACGAACCGAATGGGACTAACCACTTCTGGCTAGGACGTCATCGGTTGGGCATACTCACTTGTCGATCCTCCATGGGGAAAGAAGTTAGTTCGGGGGCGCCGAAGCCATGGACCGGGAAAGGCGTTCTTTTCGGATGAGGTCGATCGCCAAGACCGAGGTCGAGAAGGACAGTAATATCTCCGACGAGAGCGTTCATAGGTCGACAAGCAGCGTCTACAGGTGCGATGGGCGAACAAGTGCTCCCCAAACGGGCCAAATTGAATTGCGTGACGAGCGTTGACAAGGCGCACCTCTTGGCAAGTTCTTATGGCTTGCTGCTTGATCATCCGATTCGGATGTACGTCGTCTCGCAGCGAGGTCATCCCGACGACTATATAAGGTGGGCTTCGGAATGGCTAAGCTTGCATCCATCCAAGTTTACCTTGCATTCACAACCTACACCACCACACGCCAACAACATCCTCGTCATCATGCGATTCGCTGCCCTTGCCCTCCTCGCCCTTCCCGCCTTGGCTATGGCCGCCCCTTCTTCCAAGCGAGAGAACTGGGGGAAAGAGAAGGAGCACGATGACATGCACGACCACAAGGAGTACGACGATCACCACGAGGACAAGCACCACGAGAAGGAGCTCGTCAAGGGCGTCTTCCACTTTACCTCGACATACACTGCTTGGGCGGGTCCTGACCAGGTGTGAGTGAAACGAATGACCGTGTTCTGTTGGCTATAGTATTGCGCTTGCAAGTTGTGCTGAACATCAATGCTTGCCCGCAGCATCAACAACTCGCAAGTCGCCGTACCCGGTGAACCCGGCGCATACGGTGTTTACAAGTTCGGTATCAACGCGGACGAGGACTTGATCTGCTACGTGAGTCCAGGTCGTTGCCGGCTCATCATCTTCGTTCGATCTTCATGCTCATCCGCGTTCGTCCTGGGTTGTCAACGTAGAACATCTCGGTCTACATCTCGGGAGACTACCAGAGCCCGGCTGTCACCGCCACCCACATCGTACGTTCCACCTTTGCTTCATCGCTTCCCTTTTACATTTCGTTCAGATGCTCATCGGTGCTACGTTGCTCTTGACTATCTCAGCACGAAGCCGTTCGTGGCCGAGCTGGTCCCCCCCGGATCGCCTTCCCCAACCCCACTGGCGACTCGCCCTTGACCGAACAGGGATGGAGGACTTCGTACGGTTGTCTCCAGGGACCTTTCGAGACTGGAGTCTTGGCCAATGGCAGTAAGTCCATCGCACCTCGCTGGTCTTACAAGGGACGACGTCACAGCAGCTGAGGTGTTTTATAATCTTCGTCTCTCTTTGCAGCCGACACGGCCGAAGGATTCACCCTCGCCCAGATCGAGGCCAACCCCGCTGGTTTCTTTGCCGATGTTCACACCGTCGCCTTCCCTGCCGGTGCCATCCGTGGACAGATCCAGTTGGACGAGTCGGCTTACTGAGCAGACCATGCACCGATTGAGCGTTCGTGAAAGCAAAGGACAATTCGTTGAACCCATTAGTACAGGCAGGAAGCGTTCACAATGAAGTAGCAAAGCAAGAGAATCGGTTGTCCATAATCCAGTGTTAGTTGTCATAATTATGCCACAAAGCGATACCAATCAAATCCATCTATTCCGACGCCAAGGGTCGGCTTACAAACCAGAGACTTGCACGTGAATTATAAAGTTGTCGAACATTTCGGTCATCTACCGATCCACAGTACCCTTCGCTACTTGTCCCTACCCGATCCGCTGTTCCCGCCAAAAACGTCCCCCTCAACCCCCTCTGCCTTAATCTCCACGCTCTCCCTGGGCGCATCCAACTTGCTCTCAGCCATCAACCGGGACATGCCCGTATGCTGCCGATGAGGCGTAGGCGGGAGCGTGAGCGTCTCTACCGAGTCCGGATCTTCTGCTCGACCCGTCCCCGACCCAATCCCCATCCCCATGCCCGTCATCGTTGTCATCCCTGTGCCTTGTGACATCCACGCTGGGGGGATCTGTCGGATAGGGCTGATGGTGGATTCCGTCATCGTCCTCTGCCTCGCGCCCGTCCCGCTTCGATCTTGGTCTTGGGCCTGGGCCTGTTTCTGGTTCTGATTCTGGTTGGGTGCCATGGGTGTGCCCGACGTCCCGACCTGTTGGACCGAGAGCACGCTCGCTCTTCTTCCCCTCTGGGCTCGCCCTCCGGTCCCTCCTAACGAGTAATACGACCCCGTCTCAGATGCACCCGTCAACGCCCTCGGTCGTCGAGGAACGACACTCCCAGGAGTCTGAATTTGGGGCGGTCCAGAGCGTTCCATCATCGTCGGGCCCATCGGTGTCGCTGGCAAGGCCAACGGCGGGGCGAGCCGACTGGGCGAATCCACAGGAATGTCGCTGACATCGACGGTAAACCCGGATTGACGGATCGAACTGGCATAAGACCCGCTACGCAGTCTCGAGATCCTAGAAGACGGGGTCATGGGCATGGCAGGTCGTTGCAATGGAGTCGGAGGTGTCTCTGGGTTGGGCACCAGAACTTCCCGAGGTTCCGAGTCGGACGATTCCTCCGCATTCTTCTCCTTCTCCTTTTCGGCGATGCGTTGTACGAGGAGGTTGTGCTCGGCCTGCGAGCCTAGAGCTAACATGGCGATAATAGGATTGGTGATGATCCCGAGCAAGAACCCGTACACGCACTTGATGATCTGTTCATAGATTCCAAGAGGGCCAGTATCTCAGCCTGGGCCCTCTGTCAAACCCCCGGAACCTCGAAACTTCGACAGCCTTCGGAGACTCCGAGCCTGTACCGAAACTCACCTGCGGATCCCACCGATTCCCCATATCCCTCATCCCATAAATCGGCCCCAAGATCACTATGAACAAACACCAACACGGAAACCCCACAACCACCCCCAACCCTACCCCTTGTAGAGCCGTCCAAGCCAACCTTTTCGGGAACCGCTTGATCCCGGCGTCGAACAGCATGTTATTCTCCGTCCCCTCAAAGATGAACCTCATCAACATGGCCCAGTAGTAGCCGATGGTGCTTCTTGGCTGGGACGAAGAGGTGGAAGAAGAAAGGTGGGAGGAAGCGTGGTCCGGGCTGCTAGTCTTGTTCTCCAGGTCGGATTTTTGACTCTTCTGCCGGCCCTTGAACAGCCTGTGAGGGTCCGGAAGATGCTCGACGTGCGGCCAGACAAAGGCCAGCGGTTTTATCATCGAATGATGTAGATCGGTGTGTACCAGGGTCGAGGTGATGATCATCTAGATTCGAGACGAGCGAGCAGCACGGCGTTTAGTTGACATGACGTATGTCGAAGTATTGGAGGGCTGGAGAAAAGGTTGGTCTTACCGACACGGCAGTCTGGATGATGGGCGTGACTCCGAGATCTGATAGCAAGTCGACGATACATCAGCTTTCGGCCCATCCAACTTCCACCCTGCGTAACCCTACATACCCCCTGCGATCGTATTCTGAACCCGGGAACAACGACCATCAGCCTCATATCATCATCTCCCTTCTGTGTCCAACGGTCTCATCTCTCGAACTCACCTGAGAAAACACCCACATCTTGACCTGATCCTGCCCATGATACATCGCATAGGCGATCCCGAAATTGGCTCCTCCATCGATGATCCCGGCGACGAGGCATTGCGTTCCGGCGATGTAAAACCATTGTTTCGGTGTCAGAGGCAAGGGGAATGGGAAGAACATGTTCATCTCGCTTGGTGATCGCTGGTCGGTGGCGGTCGTCGTGGTTTGTCGGAAGGTCAAAGCTTGTCGACCAAAACTTCCTGGGTCCGAGGTCTTGTTGAGGTAGAATCTACCGATGAGCCCCCCGAGGTGCCGACAGTTTGGGACCGGATACACCCAGATAGCTGGATACCAGATATAGCTAGCAACACTCCAGACTGGCCCAGATCATATTCCATAGACCGTGTGGTTATCATACAGATAGATATGCTGATCGATATACGTCGTCGTACGTCGTCCAGAGTCCCCCAAACCTTACATCTGACCACTTTCTCCCTCCCGCCCGCCGGTGACAGACCCCGAAGTTACCCTTTCCGCAGCAAAACAGACGACGTAATCCGTTTCACGAACGTCGTTCTGACAATCGACAAGACCTGGCATCATCTACTACCTAGTCCACGAGAACGATCCTGCCCCTTCCACAATCATGCCAATCACCTTTACCCCTGCCTCCATCCTCGCTCAACCGAAAATATCCGTAGCGAACCTCTCCGCCTGCACAGCCTTCATCCACTCCCGACCCTCTTCCAACTCGACCTCTTTGTAATCCGCGTAGATCCGTGCACACGTCTCCTTGACCCCACCGGCCATCCGTCCGCTGCCGCAGAGGTAGACCTTGGCCCCGTTCTTGAACATTTCCGCCAATTCTTTACGTTCGTGATAGACGCGGTCCCTGTCGGTGTAAAGGAGGAAAAGTGTTGGTACTTCGACTCGACGAGGAACGCCGAGAGGGACCTGACTCACTGGACGTATCTACACCCCTCAGACTCTTCCGGAGCTCGAGAAAACGCATGGAAAACCTCGACGACCCCCTGCCGCTCCCACTCTCGCATCTCCTCGTCGTACAGAAGGTCCGTATCCGGCGATCGACAACCGTAGAACAACATCGCCTTTCCCACTTGACGTCCGGCGGCCCTGCAAATCAACAAAAAGCAAGGCACAAACACGATCAGATACGTATAACGCGGCTGATTGACGATCTGACGAAAGTCCGCAGAACCCGGTGCTCACTTTTGCAACGCTCGCTCCTGCACGAACCCTCTGAACGGGGCGATCCCCGACCCAGACGCCGCCATCAAAATGTCCACCGAAGGGTCCGCGGGGGGGTGAAACTGTTCTCCAGACGGCTTGACCCCAGCTCGGATCAGGCTGCCGGGGACGAGCGAAGAGAGGAAATGAGTGGCCGTCCCATAGTACCTCACGCCGCGACCCGAGATGTGGGGCGCATCGATCACCGCGATGGTGAGTGCGGCTCGTCTGGGATCGTCAAGGGGAGACGAAGAGATCGAGTACTGTCAGAACGTACAGTGATGGTCAGTATCGCCAACAGCGCGTGGCAGCTTGATATAGAGCAGGCCGGCGCCGACTCACCTGCCTCATCTTGATCGACGGCATGGCGATCAAAAAGTCGGTAAACGGCATGTCGAGACGTTCCAACTCTTCGACGAGGGACAACAGGTCGACCCGCTTGTCACCAATCTCCGCCTTGAAGACGTCTGGCTTGCAATACTCATCCAGCCGAGCGAGTTCTTGGCTTTCCTTTGCGGCGTACGACTTCAACTTTTCGACCTGTTTCAAGGTCACCGGCGATTCGAGCTCGACGAACGCGGCCAAGAGGTCGAACGCGCTGATCGGCACGTCCAGTGGCAACGTCCACGCTCCTGCGGTCCCGTGCAGGGTCACCACGTCGTCCATGTGCAGACCGAAGCGCACCAAGACCCGCTGAATGACGGGGATGGGGTTCGCGGGCAACAGACCGATGTAGTCACCCGTCCGGTATTCGACCCCCTCGGGCAGCTCGAGGACGATCTTGCGCTTGATGTCGACGTCGCCCTTGCTGATGACCTCGTTCGAGATGACCTTGCACGACAACAGCGACTGCTGCTGGAGCAGGTTTTTGCGTATCTCGCTGTCGATGTCGGCCGTGAGTCCGGGTCCATCAGAGTCACTCGCCTGTCCGCCGGCTCTTTCCAAGAACCCGGCTTCCCAATCGTCAAACTGGTCAAACAGCTCGGCCACAGCTGCGTTCCCTTCGCCTCGATCGCGCAACCTCTCGGCCCCGCAATCGGCCAGACGGTCGTCGATCAACTTGGGAATGGCGTGAAACGTCGCCGCCCAGTCCGGATGACCACACCCAAAGACCGCATACTTGACGCCCTTTTGCGTGTCGGCCTTGGCATTTTTGAGCCATTCGACGAAAAAGTTGGCATCGTCTGTTGGCTAGTGTTAGGGAGCCAGGTTCAGCTCGGACCCCGTCGGAACCCGCAGAACGCAACGTAACCCCTCACCTGCCCTTCGTAACTGGCGGTCACGATCGCCACAGGGCGGTCCCGAGGCAGATCACCGGAAGCGACCGAATTGAGTTGTTCAATCTCGACGTTCATGCCGCGTCGGGTCGCTTCGCCTTTCAGCTTGTAGGCCAAAGCCTTGCAGGTACCGGCGTTGCTTCCTGAGAGGCACAAGGCAGCTCAGTACGAGGCGTGGAAGGTAGCGGATAAAGCTCACGTACCATAGTAAATGGCCAATTTAGGGCCTTTGCCGTTACCTTGCGATACGGGAGGCTCGTTGTCAGACTGGTCTTGGCCTTGACGAGAGTCACTGGCAGCCGACGCGATGCTGGTAACGAGTCGATCTCTGCGCTGCTTCACGTGCATGTAAAAGCCCTTGGGTTTGATCGTCAATGACGTCTTGATCTGAGCCGTGCGCAAGAGACGTTCAGCTTGCGACACCCCAGAACCTGCTCCGACCACGGAGACTCACAGCTAGTTGATAGGACTGGTCGTCCGGGCGCATATCAAAGTGTTGAAAGAGCTGTTTCCAACGAGAAATTCAGATTCAAGCCACGTTCAACGCCCTGCAGCTCGGACCGAGCAACTTGCCATGCCGACGACCAACAACGATTCTTGCCAGGCGAACGGTCTGCCGATACACCCTCGCATACCGTTACCTGAATGCGGACCGACCCAGATGTCAGCTGGACGACGCGCAAACGCCCGAGCACGGGACACTGACCGAACGGTTTCCAAGCGTCCGGTGGCAAAGCCTCGAACCGCCCATCCAGCATGCGTTCCGGTCTAAACTCCTCGACGTCGTCCCCCCAGACCTTGGGATCTCGATGCAGAGCGTCCAAGACCACGACGATGGATTGACCCTTGTCGACCTTGTAGCACCCGCCGATCACCTCGTCCTTTTTAGGCACGACCGCCCAGGCCGGAGCGGTACTCTTCAGCCGAAGGGTCTCTTTGAGCGCCGCGTCGATGTACTTGAACTTCTGCAGGTGTTCGTATCGGACCGACTCGTTGCCACAGACCCGATCGACCTCGTCCCGGATGGCTTGGTAAGCGCGGGGGGTCTTCAAGAGGTAATGAAAGAGGAACGAGAGCATTCCCGAGGTCGTCTGGGTGAACGCGGGGGTAAGTGAGGGTCGGGGTACAGGGGACAAGCCGTTCAAACTCATATAGCTCACTTCGTGACCGGCGATTAGAAAGGTGACCAGCTGGTATCGAATGTTCTCCGGGATCAACCCCTTGCCTAAATAAAGGTTCACCGAATGCAGGTTAGCCCCGGGACGTGGGGCGACCAGACCACAAAGCCAGACTGACCGGTCTTCGGGTCTTTGCCGTTCAACATGGTACTCAACAGGTCATCCGGAGCATTATCCTTCCCCTCGATCCGTTCTTGAATGAGCTGCATCGTGATCATCATACCAAGAATATCATCAGTTCACAATGCCCCGTCCGGATTTTACGTCTTCATCTGCCGACGACAACTCACCTCGTCAGCGATCCGATGCTGCAAAGCGATATCATCCTTGTACCGTTGATTCGCCTTCCCAAACATCCAGCCTGTCCCCGGTAACCGCCTGTTCCTGACTCCGGCTTCGTGCAGGGACGAGGCCATGGCGTGGACAAAGGGAGGTTCGGCTTCCGTGTAGAAGCTAAACGTGGGTGTACACAAATTCGGTGTGAGCGTGCCAAAATGGAATTTCCCGAAACCAGATGAGGATGCGATCAGCTTGGGACGAGACGCATAACCATACCTTATGGCAGGAAACGGAGAGACTCACGAATTAAACCGATGAGAAAAGGTGCACAGGGCAATAGCTAAAAAGTCGGCCGCGAAGGTCGAAGAGGTAAACGTACGGTCTGGGGGTTCGACATCACGCGAGCTGGGTACAACTCACTGTCCAAAGTCAACCTGGTGAAATCGGCAGTCACGTCGATCCTAGCGTCTCCAAACCGGGTCCACTATGGGTTCCAGGTCGAAGTCGAGGTCGAGGTCGAGGTCGAGGTCGAGGGCGAGGTCGAGGTCGAGGGCGAGGTCGAGGTCGAGGTCGATAGCACACATCAATATATCATACGTCAACATTTGCCGGGAAAACAATTTGAGTTCCACTTCGACTATAACTTGCCTTGTCGACCAGCTGAGTAGCGATATCGACCATCCCTTCAAACATGTTCCTGATACTCAGGGGTCCGAAAGCTGGGATGAGGATCCGGTGAGCGATAGCCCTGCGATTACGCAAAAAGAAACAACGACAGAAAAAGGATGAATGAGAATGATCAGCTCAGAAGTCGGCCATGGAATTGATAATAAAATATCAATGGGCGAGAGGGAGACTTGCCACGATTCTTCCTTGCTATAAGCGGTGAACAGGCCTGCAATTCAAAGAGAAACGTAAATAAGCGGGGAGTGTTAAAATCAGACCAGGCCAGACCAGACCAGAAGATGATCTCCCCGTACGTGCAAAAATCGATCAAGACGCCACGCCGACGTACCATCCCCAGCCAAACTCCTGACCTCCTCCAAAGCCCCACTGACGACCTTTTCGAACCTCTCCTGATCGGCTATCTCATGTACGAGCCTCTGACTGCCTACGAACAGCCTGCCGTTCTTGGGCCCGTTGGGGACTTGGAGCTTGACGATCTCGCCGTACCGACGGATCATCTGGGTGATGGAACCTATGGCATCTTCCTTGTCGATGTCCGTCAGGTTGCCCAGGAGGAGACGGGGAGGCGGTTGAGGGATAGGTCGGAGTTGAAAGTCGCTGGTAGTATCAGTGGTGGTGGTAGTTTCGGAAGACATGATGATGGTTCAAAGACGTTGCGTCGAGTGGATAGGCGCAAGAGATGCACGGTCATGGAGGATCTCGATGTCTCGACAAACATGTTCGTGGCTGTATATACACCCAGACCCAGGCCATAGGAGAGACTACCCGGCAGCCGACGTTCTGCGACCGGTTACTGACAGATTGTAGGTGATTACCGTGTCCCCTATCCAACCATAGCTCCCAGATAACACCATCACCACCATCGTCGTTACTAAGTAGATCGTCCGTCGACGGGCCCGCACTTGCCCGAGACCGAGAAGGTAGATCACGTGATCATTGCCCAAACCGCTCAAGGCTACACTGCTACCACGGGCGCTCTGTCAATTCTGCTGCAGCCGTGTCATTTGTCACATGTAAGAGAGACAGTTCAGCATAAGAGTGTGTCCTATACACAGCTTGCCAGGATCGTTGATAGACTCGGCTCTCTGCCATCGGATGGATCCACAGATCGCGCTTGGTAGCTCAAATAAAACCCCTTGCCCATCGTCCTCACGCCGCAATCCATGATCTGTCTATCGTTTGGATCCCTCGCTCGTTCCCGGTCTACAAACGGTCTGGTGCACCTGGTAATCGTTGGACCTCTCGAGCTCGCCGGAAGCCCGCATGACATCCCAGCGCTCAGCGCTCGTGGCTTGTGCCGAATGTATTGCACCGTAGGTATGGCCCATGGTCGTCTCGGCTCGGAGGGCCCCCCCGTTCCGAAGCTCTTCGGGCCGACTTACGTAGTATGACTTACAATCACCGTTCGGGACAACGTCCTAGAAGTATGTATATAAAGTACTGTTAGTAGATCAAGAACCCAGTGTTCTAGACGAGAGATCGATTCGGGACTTGATGAGAAAAACCCTTCGTCCTCCACGATTGTTTCATTGATTGTCCAATCTCATACCGAACATCATCATCATGTCGCCTTCCATCGCCCCCAAGCCCAGAGTCTTCAGCCTCGAACCCCTGCATTCGGAAGCTCTCGCATTGGCCAGGGAGAGGTTCGATCTCGTACTTCCCGGCGAACATGGGTTCGAAAGGTGGAGGCAAGAGGCCGAGGGGTTGATGGCCAGGAACGCGGTGGTCACTAGGGAAGACGTCGAGGTCTTGGCGAAATCTCGCTTGAGATATATCAGCAAGCAAGGTCAGTCTTCCCGCGCCCGGTCATGTATAAGTTGGACTGCAACAAGACGTTGCATGTCTGTTGGAGGGATCATACTGAGCGGTGTTCTTACCCTGTAAACCCATACCCATACTGATAGGCGTGGGAGTGGACAACTTTGATCTCGATGCGCTCAAGGCAGCTGGGATACCGTTGATGAACACCCCCGGGGTCAACGCCCGTGCCGTCGCCGAGCTCGCACTCGGTCTGATCCTAGAGTACGTCCCGATCTAACTATTACATTCCTAAATCGCGCGCGCATACCACGTAGCGCCACACACGATTGACGAAATGCTAACCCTGTGGTTGATCTCGATGTGTATTCTTGTTCTTGTTGTTTTTTTCGGTTTTCCATCGTACGCTGCACTGCTCTGCATCGGTATCGGCTACACAGTGTCGCCCGACAGTGCACCGCGATCGATCGCAAGATCCGAGCCGGGGTCGCAGTCACCAAAAAGGACGGTTGGGCTGGACAGGCAAGTCGAGACGGCTTTACATCCATCGTTTACGCTGCAGCTCTACGAGGAATTGACTTTGATTTCCATGTCGGTCACGAAAACGCCGCTCGCAGACGCTCGAAGGAAAGACGATGGGTATCGTAGGAGGTGGGAACATTGGGTTCTTGGTAGCCAAGATGTTCCACGCCGCTTTTGATGCCCCGATCATCCTCTACGATCCGTTCATCGACGACGAGGCGCTCCGAAAGTGGCAAGGAGCGATCCGCGGTGACGGCGCTTTCCGTCTTGTCGACGCACTCGATAGGCTCTTGGAACAAGCCGACATCATCAGCCTGCACGTCCCATTGACCAAGAGCACCGAGAACCTGATTGCGGACCGGGAGATCCGGTTGATGAAGCGCTCGGCGATACTCGTGAACACCGCCAGGGGCGGGATCATCCACGAGGGAGATCTGGCCATTGCGCTCGCAGAGAATCGTATCTTTGGTGCCGGTCTGGACGCCTTTGTCAACGAGCCGCCTTCACTCGAGGCATACCCCGAGTTGTGCAGAGAAGATAGGGTCGTCATGACGTGGGTCACTCGATGCATAATCGTCGTCCGCCTGCGGGGCATCTCGGGAGCTAATAAGAACGATCGACCTTGCAGGCCTCACATTGGCGCTGCCACTGAAGCGGCGCAACAAGACACTTGCCGATCCATGGTGGAGCACCTCGTCGAGGCATTCGAGGGTAAAACCTTGCGCGACCGAGTGTGCTGAAGAGCGCTAGAGGGATCTTAAGCCCGATCATCGTAGAATCACATGTAACACGATCCCAGATGTCAATGGTGCAAGGACGTCTTCTGTGTACGCTATCGTTGTGCAACGAGCATGGTCGGATCTTCCCTATGCATCTGCTGCAGAATACCTTCGACCGCTTCGTTCCACTCGAGCTCGGACATGTCTCCGAGCGGGTGAAAGAGAAAGCCATCCAGGGGGTTCAGATAGGTTCCAGATATAACATCTTCTTGATGAGGAGCAAAAAGTCCCGGTTCGATGATAAAACTTGGCTCCAAGGGCATCTGCAAAATTGGCTGTTCCGTCGTCGCGTCCATCGTTGCTCCGATTGGAAGGTCGGCAGCGGCGCCCTGCGTGATGTGAGGTCGATGTGCTACTGGAGAGATCGGCCGTGAAGCACCGATTGCACGGCTGTTGGAGCTGAGATGGCGAAGCACCCCTTCAGAGACGTTTTCGAGCGCGTTGCGGATGCCGTTGGTCCCGGGAGTGGTGGCTGGTAACGCAACAAGCCAAGATTCCTCTGCGTCAGTCGGTAGAAACCCTATAGGCTTGCTCCCATCCAGATCGACTGACCTGCCAGACCCTCCATCGTCGCAGAACAACCTTGTATATCGAGCAGCGCATCGATCAAGGTGGGAACGATCGTCCAACCCTGTTTATGCGCCTGCCACAGACTACCGAGGTAGGTGACGCCGCTCATGAACAGATGGTACATTGCAAGCCAGTCTAAGATCCAGCGCAGAGCGAGCTCGTCAGCCTCGATAGCGTCCGTCCACGTTGTGAAGCAATCGCTCACTGAAATTGATCATCTTCTGCCGAAACATGGCCCGGTAGATCTTCATGATCTCGCTGCTGCTCTGAATAGCCCTCTTGGTCGTGTATCGGTCTGGATTCTGGTTACCTGGGCTAGGTCTGCAGAGGTTCATGATCGTCATGTGATAGTTCAAGTCCAGCCATAGTTGGCTCATGAAAGTCGTCGTAGTCGTCGCCATCGTCCGCCAGGCCTGCACGCGATCGAGCATGGTCCGCTGCCATTCGGGATCGGTCGGGTAGGGTCCAACGCTGGAGTAAAGGCACTGGTGGATCTCGGACTGTATCCTCCTCACGGCAAAATGCTGATGTACCGCAGCCAGTTTGTCAGATGAGGGCATCCCCGCCTCGATGCCTCGCGAAGTGATGGCAGAATCTGGCATAAGGGACGGATACTGCGTGACAAGCATGAAATGTTCATATGCACATGTCAGCTCGTTGAGTTTCAACTTCGGGCGATGTATCCTTCGACTCGCCTCGGCGTTGATCCAGTTGTCTGGAACGGTCGTAGGTCTTCCCAAGGCGATTGCAAGATTTCGCTCGATGGCATATGTACTTTGCGCAATCACCATCAGTGAACACGTGCACACTGATTATCGCGGTACTCAAATATCCCGCTCACGACCAGAACAATCGCCTGCCCATATCGACAGCAAGAGGATCATCCTTTTCTCGCCACCCGCCCTGGGCCAGTTCGTGATGGAGTCCCAAGTCTACAGCTGTCCGCATCGCTGTACCCACGAGTTCCCAGACGTCTGATGTAGATCGATAGACGGGTAAACGGGCTGATAATCAGTGTGTCGCGCCGCTGACGAGCACCTGCACGTCGAGCCTCACCACCTGCGTCCGGATTCAACAAGACGTAATGTAATTGTAACAGTCGGAACTGCAACCTGGTATAGTCCGAACGGACCAACATGGCGGGAAGATGCTGCGAGCGATCGGCGGCCCGTTTCAATACCCCTATCTCTCTGCACGATATCGTCCGAGAACTCGTCACCTTTTGAGCCAGTCTCCACCATGCTATTGCGATTGCAAATCGGGATTCACTTTCAGCGTGTCAGAATTGGTCGGCTCGAGCTGTCACGGCTGGTAGACGACGTACCCGTCGACTTGTCGCGGATCTCACGATATTCGATGACGTCCTTCGGTAGGGACGAGGCGGACACCGCGCTGACGACTACACCGCACCCCGCAAAGACGCGCACGTAAGCTGACTCCCCTCGGATCTGATGAGAACCGGGAAGGGGAAAACTGACGAAAGAGCAGACAGGTCGCATAATCTGTCGGTGGGGTCCCTTGCTCTCGGTGATATACCGATTCCAGATCCCGTTGCAACGTCGGGCCGTGAAGGATGGGGAACGCAGTATTGGTATGCTCCAGAATCCGATCGAGAAGGATTCGGCGTTCGTCAAGCGATGGTAAGAGGTTCGAGGTAGGCCCTAGCGCTGCAGTATTCGATACAGAGCCTTCAGTGACGGTCTCGTGCTGTCGCGTTGTGGTCGGGTCCGCCGACTGTTGATGTGGAGAATAGCCCAACGGATGGATCCGGTAGACCGTACCCAATTCTTTTGCGGCTGGAAGTCTGTCGACAAGCTGAGAGTTGGAGGGTAGATAGCTTCTGTTGCTCTGCCCACGTGGCAAGCGAGGCGACGAATGTCGAACTGGTTCAGATAGAATTGGATGAAAATCTTGAAAACCTGTAGGACTCGATCGACGAGTCCGGGCAGGTGAACGGGATGACGACTGTGCAATCGAGGCAGAATGGTGGTTGCTCTCGAGGTCCGAGCCGGAGCGAGCGTCGGTCTGGCTTCCCCGTCGATCCGTATGCCGTCTTCGCTTGCGACGATAAGGGCTAACAAGGGGGTCTGGTGAACGGTATCGATGCTGGATCGGCTCGTTTGACCTCTCTATCTCACGTTCCATCGGTTGTTGCGACGAGTCAGCTCCGACGAGTTCCTTGATCCTGGCTTCGAGCGATGCTACGTAGCCGCTGCGATTCCTCGTTACACAAGGTTGCGTAGGGGCTAGGGTCGATACTTGTTGTAATGCCATTCAGCGACGAACGAGACGAGATGCTCACGGTTCGCCCCGCTGAGGAGGTTTAGAATAGGTACACTCCCGATTCGCTTTGACGCAGTAAGCACAGGCTGGTTTCTCTGCCGAGCACTGAGCAAGAGGGGTCCGCCGATCAGTAACGGAAGCGATGCCAAGGTCGAATGTAGATGACGCGGTATCGAGAGGACGACGATTACCTTGGTCTTGCGAGCTCGACAAGAATCACAGGCCGTGCGTATGTTGGAACCGGGAGCCCTGTCCATGTCGATGTTATGGGACGACGACGACGTGTTCACTCCCAGATTGCCGATGTTCATGGGGCTTACAGCATCGGTGGCTGACCTCCGTTTGGGAATGGGAATTCCTTGATGACAAGACGAGCGATTTTGAAAGGCCAGTGCTTTTGCTCCAGGCCGAGAGGAGGGGGAAGTGAGAGTCGATCAGGTGCGGTCAAACCTCGTAGACGACATGACGAACAACGCCGAGCGATCACCGATGGGATGCAGCCGCGAAAGGGCGCCGATCGCGCTTAGATCTCGGTGGGTAGGTCCGAAGCGTGTGCCGAAACGATAGATTTGTACAAAATCAGTTAGAGTTTGTTGTTTCTTGATTTCATGATGATGTTTACGTGGGTATATATATAACCTAGCAATCTTGTATCTTGAGCAACGGCACCTTTGATGTGTCTGTTCCCTCGGTTCACCGACCACTACTATTCGAACACGACTCCCACATGATGACTATGTCGCCTGCCCAGCTCGCCCTCAAGAACGCCTTCAATTCTGACCGATGTGCGGTAGGCACCTGGGTCATGTTCTCGTCCGCTTGGAACGCTAGGATCGTCGCGTCCACCGGATGGGATGTGAGTGTGTTCCTCTGGAACGGAATCGAGGGTATTCAAGCTGAACGACCTCTGTTGACGCCATGCGACATCTCTTCCGGTAACTCACACTCATCTTTGCGCGAGCAGTGGATCGTGGTCGATTGCGAACATGGTGAGTCGGCGTCCATTCGCCTATACACTCGCTACTATCGATCGGTCTAGCTGAGCTACTGTCTATCGTTTCACGATCTCGCCCTCACAGGCAATATAGGAGATTCTGACATGCACGACAGTGTCAATGCCATCGCCTCGTGCGGTGTCTCGCCTATCGTACGGATCCGGGGGAACGATCCAACGCTCATCAAGCGAGCACTCGACTGCGGATCCCAGTGAGTCTAGGTGTTGATCATAATTACATTGCTCCCCATGTTCTAATCGGCGTGAAACGCGAACAAACAGCGGGATCATGGTTCCCATGGTTAACACGGCCGCCCAGGCCCGAACCGCGGTAGCTGCCTCGAGGTTTCCACCTCTCGGAGAGAGAGGACAAGGGTCTCCGTTCTCTGGAATGGCTTGGGGCTTGACTACTCCAGAGTACCTCGTACAGGCCAACGAGGGGGTGCTGGTGATCATTCAGATTGAAACGCTGGAAGGTGTCGATAACGTGGAGGAAATTTGCGCTGTTCCTGGTGTCGGTGAGTCTTCAAAGGCTCGAGCGTATTGAGTTCGGGATCGAACGAGTTTCTTGTCTCCACGAAATTGTTACTGATATACCGTAAACGTGTTTTCGGTGACCTCACAGACGCCATCTTTATCGGACCCAACGATCTCGCCTTGTCGATGCTGGGTTATGCGCCCGCCCACTACACCGAGGAACCCTACCTCGCCGCCATCGAGAAAGTCAGGCAAGCAGGCAAGGTCGCCGGAGTCAAGGTGGGGATTTTGGCTCCCGATGGGGTCAAGGGTAGAGCGTTTAGGGGACGCTTCGACATGGTAGGATGTGGCGGCGATGTCAAAGCTATGCAAGGCTGGATGCAGAAGGCGATGCGGGATGTACTGTCGACCGAAGAGTAGACGGGATCTTCTCTGCTTCATGATCGTAGAAGAATGAAAGTATGGCATGTCAGTTCGGTTGCTTGCTGTTGATTGTCGAGCCGAAAGGGTGAGGAGGCCGCCCAGTCATCTTGATCAGATCGTCGCTCGAGAACGATCGAAACGACAGGCACGCGCGCGCCAATCAAGGGGGTAGGGTTCAAACCATCAATCTGCGATCACCGACTGTCGGGGGTGACCCCTATCTCAACGTTGACGAGAGCAGCGTTCCCGTCACTATCTCCACGCTGGTAGTTGTTGTCCGCTCCTGTCAACATGTTCTTTCCTAGCGTGTCTGGTCTGGCGAACCATACAGAGTCCAGGAAGCTGGACCGCGCTTCTCGGACATGCCCATACGCACACCCACGCCAAGGGTCCTTGGCACGTGGTCAGGAGCGACCATCCGAGGCCTCCGATCGCCGATCGGCTCACACTATGGTCGCTAGCGACCCTCCGAGGACGGGGAACAACGAAACAAACGGTCTCTACTCACACGTCCCCAGTTTAAACGACCACTTGTCTGCGATCGATCCCCTCTCTACAATCGTTCATAATCCAAATGTTATTTAAGAAGACACAATCCGAGGAGAAGTCTTCCAGGCCTAGGCTGAAACCGGGATGGTCAGCCGGACAGAGCAAGGACAGAGCTTTAAGCGATCAACGGAGTGACGCACCTTGCTGGACCTGTACTACCATCGCATAGGAAACGGTCAAACTCTACTCATCTGAACTAGCCACTTGGACAAGCCGCTCGATATGATGGTCCACTCTCTTCAAAAGGACACCGACAAGGCCGAGGTCGAGATGAGAGAGTACGCCCATACGGCCGACCAGGACAAGGCGGATTTTGCCCTGGAAGGTCGACGGGAAGATGACGAGAACTCTCCCGAGGCCATTCTCGAACGATACCCCTTGCTGAGGGACATGACCCCGGCAGAGCTGGACAAGCTCAATCGAAGGGTCCGTCGTCGGATGTAAGATGTGTCCACACGCGTATGTGTTTGGCTGTATAGAGGCTGATTTGATCTGCATGCATAGCGACATCTGGATGTTACCCATGATCACTTTCATGTTGTTCAGTGAGCACCGGATCCGTTCGAATGAAAGGGGACCATGCTGAGCGATCGTTGTCTCGTCGTGCGTGACGATTTACAGTCAACTACCTCGATCGCTCAAACGGTACGCACAAACATGGATCGAGGCGGAAAGATGACAGCGGGAGTTGACCTGAGAAAGATTCGCTCGGCGCTCCTCCCTTTACAGTCACGAACGCCCGCATCGCTGGCATGCAAAAGGACCTTCACATGACCGATGTCCAGTGGTCTGCCGGCATCTCTCTGTTCTATGGTAATTCGTTCTATGACTCGACCCCGAGGCAAGGATTGATGGCCGAAACTGACGTATATGGGTGGGGATCAGTCGGCTACATGTTGACCCAACTTCCAGGCTCTTTGTTGTTATCGAAGTACAAACCGAGAATCATCCTACCCCTTACCATGTACGTCACACAGCGGGCAAGAGTCCGGGAAGCGGTCGAAACACATCACTGACGTGACCAAGCCCGCCTTCCGCTCTTCAGGATCGCTTGGAGTATTCCAACGATTTGCTTGCCCCTTGCTACAAATGCCGCTGGGTTCATGGTCTGCAGATTTCTCGTTGGATTCGCCGAGGGTAAGGCTTATGTGAGGCGAATGCTGTCAAACACGAACAGGGTCTGATCCGTCTGCCTCGTTTACCAATCACAGGACCTTTCTAGTGAGCGAAACATGTCGATACCGCTGGTGCGTCTTGGTTGAGTACCATCTGACTCGCGTCGAATCCTCTCATTTCATAGTCCTGGCATTGCGCTGTTAACCTCATGTGAGTTTCAATACCGCTGCACCCGCGCGATTTGACAGGTAGACGGTTGTTGACAAGACTGGATCTGTGATCTCCCCGTTGTACAGCGTGGTATGGTCAGTTCATGAGCTGAATCTTCGATCGCCAGCCCGTATGGCAAGTCTGACCTCCGTCTCGACACAGTCAAGGAAGAACTCCCTTTCAGGATGGCCATCTGGCAAGGCGCTATCACCTTGTCGTCAGTATGCTGGTCCTCCGTGTCTTCAGTGTGTTCCGGTAATTGACGAGTGCGATTGGTGAGCAGCGCCGTTTTTGGAGGACCCTTCGCCGCATCTATCTTGGAGACGATGGGCGGAATTGCGAATCTGCCCTCCTGGAAATGGTGTGAGCAGCCTTCGCGATCGAGAGCAGTGTCTTCTTTAGCCATCGACTGACCCTCGTCACGTCTAATCACTCTAGTCCTGCTCATCGAAGGCGCGATTTCGATCTTTGTTGGAGTCGCCTCGTATTGGTTCTTGCCAAACTGGAGTACGTCAGGGTGCCCAGACGAGGTCTCGAGTTGCGATGAGACTGACGATCTGGATTGGACAGCTAACAACACACCCTGGTTGACCCTGGAAGAGACTGAAATGGCGCAGTATCGAATCGTCAAATCTGCCGGAGGTATAGACGAGATGCAGGTGCGTTGGTCCGGAGGTTGCGGTAACAGACACGACCTGGGTCTGAGCGATCTTGTTTCAGGGCGACTACACGCTATTCCAGGGCGCCAAACTGGCTGCGAAAGATCCCTTTACGTGAGTGCTCGCTTTCTGTCGGCTTGATCTAGGGGAAAAAGCGCTGATACATGCTGGGTTCCAACCATAGCTGGTTATTTGCTGCCCTGCACTTTTTCCTCATTGTCGGCGTGAGTAATTGCTGTAAGGAGGTTGGCAGGAGGAGTAGCTTATGCGATTGTTCTCGCGACCCTCAGCAAGCCTACAAGGAGTTCCTTCCTAGTATTCTTCATACGTTTGGCGAGTCCAAACTAACGACCTATCTGGTGAGCTAAAGGTCCTAAAAAGAATCGTTACCATCATTTTACTGAAGTCAAGCATATGCTCAGCTGCAATCGCCTTGCTACTTCCTTGGGTACCTCGTGGGTCGACTTGAGAAACTCTCGATTCGGACTTTGCGCTCATGTGAATTCAATCTGGCATGGTCAGGCCACCCTAGGCGTTGGATGGTCTTCCGGGCGATTCAAGGAATTTACCTATCACACTGTGAGTATGCATGCGTGTATCGTTGCTTGTCGATCAATGCACTGATCACGGTAACCGCCAGGCCGTCCCCTTGGTACTGAGTATCGTCGGAGTCGCCATGATGATTTCGACCGAGAACATCGGGGTCAGATACACCGGCATATGTTTCCTGATCATGGCAAGTCTTGCCATCAGGAACAGGAACCCTGATCGCACCCGCTGATAGCGATATTGCTGGCTTGCAGGGCACCGCTTCGGGTCTCAACATGCAGGTTAGCTGGGAAACGACCGTCATACCGTCTCCGCGACACAAGAAAGGTGCGTCTCCGAGCTTGTCTGTGGCGTCCCGGCTCGTCCTCATCGACGTCTTTTGCAGCTGCCGTGATCGCTATCGCAAATATTTGCAAGTCTATTCCGGTCGCCTTTCAGATCGTCGATCGTACTGACCATCCAAGCATGTACACAGTCTCTTCCACGTCCCACTGGTTCAGTCCGTACTTTTTCCTCCGGAATCAGGAGCCACTCTATCGATTGGCGGGCGGGTTGCTCTTGGTCGGATGTGGCGCTTCAATCCTATCGGTACTGGCTGTGCGGTGGAGGGTCAACCGGCTGAACAAAGTGCTCGACTCCCAAAACGATGTCGAAAATGAGCAAAGAAGGGAACGAGGTCAAGCCGACAAATCGCAGGCTTGGCGTTTCCCCATCTAACGACCGGACGGCAGCAACGGATCCCATGCGAAAATGGATTGGATCGCTCAGCTGACCGGGACCCGGTGTCTTAGCGTCTGTGTGGTATCGTTTGAGAAGAAATCGCGAATTATCATTGTACCCATATTTGAGGATCCTATCCGAGCTAGTCGTTTGTCCTGCGTATTCCTGGAGGTGCAGTATGAGGGGAATGAATGAAGGCGTCGAGTTTCCAGGTCTTCGAACGTAATTATTCCATATTGCGCCATTTCCTATATTGCCTGATACATTCGAGAGATACATCTGTCACGTCCCGCCTCGCCACCACACCCTGGATCATCTCGGCCGGACGACCTTTTTGATGACCGTCTCCGTAGTGACCCGTGCGCCTGCGACCGCATCAGGTCCCGGCTGTACGGCAGCGGCGGCGGTAGGATGACCGTGTTTCAAGAACATGGCTTCAAACTTCTCCAGCTGCGCCAACCGTTTCTTGCTGATCTGTACCGTCGAGTGTCCAAAGAGGCCCTTGACGAGTGACCACAAGTAGAGCAGGATGATGGTCACCAGGACGGCCGAGATGGCGGCCCGGAGAGGATCCTCCATGACCCAGCCGATAGGGTCGAATTCGCCCTCGGCGGCGTTGGCCCGGACGTTGGACGTCGTCGTGCGGCTGTTGGATCCGTCGCCTCCGGTCGTGGTCGATGGGGTGCCCGCTTCGTCAGTCTTGCTGGCGGCAGAGGCGGCCTCGGTGGGTTCTACAACCAGAGTTCATCGCAGGTCGTCAACAGCTGAACCCACAACAGACGTTCCAACAGCGGCTCACCGTCGATATCCTCGTCGTTGCCGCTCGAAGGGAACTCGTCCGGATGCTCCTTGATGTATTTGCGCAAGTTCTTGGCGAGCAAGTCGTTCCACTTTTGCTGCCCCGTCTCGGCCTGCCCGTTGATGGTGCCTGCAAGGATCAAGTCAGGGCGTTAACCTCGAGCGATGTCACGACACAACCAGAGACTCGGGAACCTACTCTTGAGCATGCTCTTGCCGGTCCATTCGACCTGATACGTAGCGTGCATGAGCGTGCCCCCACCTTCAGCATAGGTGAACACGGTCTTGCTACGAGTAAAGAAGCTGCCGAATGCCACCGCACACAACAACATATCAGCCCGTTGTTTTTCAACCCGATTTCCGAAACCACGCACCTCTTCCCCGCGGGCACCCCGGGCGTCCTGGTGATCCCCTCGACACCCCACCAATCCTCACACCCGTCCGGCTGGATGATGGTCTCTTCGCCCTCACACTTGGTGCTCCCGATCTTGCCTCCCAGGGGCCGACTGTACGAGATCGTCCGCTTGCCATTGGTCCAAGGTTGAATCTGGATGTCTGCGCGCGAGACGTCATACGGGGAGAATCAACACCGGTACCTTGCACGCTTCGCTTGTCTAGAATCCCCGAACCGCACGCCGGTACTCACTGGTCATCCCCTCGCCCTCCCAGATACCCCTCAAAAACTCTTCCTTGTGGTACAAGAGCTCGTAAACCTTCTTGGGCTCGCTAGGCAACCTCGTATGCAGGGCCTGTTTGTCCAGATCCGGAGTATCGGCCTTGGTTGCAGGGTGAGGTCCTCGGGAAGACCCATCCCCGCCCGTCGACCCGCCGCCTTGTTGTTCGACGCCGGACTTGTCGCTGGACCCGTTCGCTGCGGCTCCGGACGAGGTGTTGTTGTTGTTGTTGTTGTTAGGGTGTCGGCCTACAGTCGAAGCGGACGAAGAGGACGAGGAGGATTCGTACCCTCTATCGTTATCGTGAGTGCTAGCGGCGGTACTAGCACTCCTAGGTCGGTTCCCATCGCCATACCGAGCCAGTTCGCTCGCATCCCCACCTCCACCGGAGATGGCCCTTTCATAAGCCTCCGGAGCCTGTTTCCTCCAAGCCCCAACGAGGATGCCCATAGTATGATCCCGTTTAGGCAGAGTCGTGAACAACGACCTCTGGGTGTCCCCGTCATTGTTGCTGCTGGACTTGATGCTCGAGTTCCGACCGGGAGCGAGCGGTTCGTGTAGGATCTCGATGGCGTTCGGGATGCTCCCAGCGACGTTCTTCGGTGAGATCGAGGTGATGGAGGAGATGGGGATTTGTCGCTACAGTCAAGCCCCCACCGATAACAACGTATCATATCATATGATAACGTATCACGTTCGTACCGAGTGTCAGTGCCTTGCCTTGGTTCTTTGCCCAGGCCAATCAACAACCCTGGGGGGGTGCTCACCTTGGTAACGATCCCAACAATATTAGCCCTGAAATAGATATTCCTCTCGGTCATATAAATCCTCCCGTGGATCATCACCCCAGAGACGACCAGGGCGCACCCATGGGCTGTAGAAAAGAACAACAAAAAAAAAAAAATCGCAGGTCTCACGAGATCAGCCTCTCTGACATTACATGACCACAAAATCTCAACAACCCCAACCCTCAACAACCAGATCCGCACATCACATTACATCTCTTCTCTTCAGAACACCTCTCATTTCGAGAACAACGCCCGTTACTCACTGCAAACCACCCCCTCCCCCTGTTCGATCTCGAAATGTTTATTCCACTCCTTGACCCTCTTTTCCTTTACACAATCCTCCCCATCCCCACCTCCGATCGAAGATGTGCCGGTCGTAGTCGCGGTGGTAGCGATCGAGCGGGTAGTCGCTGTCGACCCTGCTCGATCCCTCCGGACTTCAGCATTTGTAGCTCGGAGCGAGTCAGAAGATGTTGCCGGGTTGTCGAACTTGACGGAAGAAGTTCTTGCCATCTCGTCACCGTCTCCTTGTACGTGGACATGGGCAGGGACTGGTTGAGGTTGGACGATGGTAGTGGCCGATTCCACAACTTGAGGTTGAGACTGAACGGGCAGGACGTGTTGAGGTTGGTCGGAATAGACGACCTGCTGTGGTTGTTGTTGAACTTGAACGGGCTGGACGTCAACAACGGTAGCGGGTTGACCGGGGTTGACGGTGGTATAAGAAGTAACCGGCGGCAGGTTCAAGTTCGAGTCGTGTTGTTCGCCGTTGCTGTTGACGACCCCACCGAGGGTAGGTGCACCGAGTTGGATGGACATCCTTTAACCTTTACTTGATCTTGTTATTATTATTATGCAAGGACTGATGGGATGGGATGCAGATGAGACGTGGTGGGACGATCGCGGAGATGGTCCGACGGAGCAGAGCGGGGAGGAGAACAAGGTTCTTTCTCTCCTTCGGCGTAAAGAAAGGAAGTGGGATTTGCTGTGTATACTCTGTGTACCGTCTGATGAGGACGATGTAACGCTGTGCTGTGTAGGGTGTATTATGTGCTCTTGAATTGGGGTTTGGAATGAGAGGTGGTACGATCAGCAACTACGACGACGACGAAGGTATATCAGAGATCTGAGATCGATGTGGAGTGAATGACGACGCAAGCCCGCGCTCAGAGCTGCGGGCGATGATGCCGTCAGCCAGAGCCAGAGCCCGGGGCCGGCGAGTTCCCCCCCGGAGCGCAGCTAGACTGTCTGTCATTCTTCATACACACGACCAGCCTCCGATCAACCTACGTTCCTCTCCAAAGCTCCCTCGATATGCTGTAAGAGCGAGAGGTTCACGCTCGATGTCGCAAATCGCAAACCTACCATCGTTCTCTCTTTCGAATCGCTGATGTGTCGATTCTTGATGAAGATCCTTCCCCGACGACGACGATGTTCGATGATGATGTCATCGTCATCGTCCGACCCACCCCAAGGTTTTTGATCACCGAAGCCCGATTCTGCTCATGTTTAGCTTCCGAGACATCGCCGAGACCTCCTCGAACGGGTTTCAGCCGCCCAAGTCGCTAAAAACAGCTTCGTAGCAGACTGTGATGATCTGAAACGGTGATCGACAACATCCCTCTGTCCTATATCCTCGTACGGTAAGGGGTGATCGGGTGGGCAATGACGATGTAAACGATGATATCTAGGTTGAGCCAGAGAGAGAGGCGAGCAACAAGACACGGGTCTCCGCTTAGCTGGTAGACTTTTCCCTGAGAGATTACGGACGACAGAGCGGGAGAGAGAGAGAGAGAGAGAGAGAGAGAGAGAGAGAGAGAGAGATGCGGCTACATGACATCGCCTCGGCATTTCGATCAATGCGATCCCAAGGACTGCCCATAATGAGCGGGCATGGCAGGTCCGGCAATACATCAGCCGAACTGAGCCTGAAGCGGCCTTTAGAGATGGGTGAGCGCAAACCTCACGAGCTCAAAGTTGAGAGCCCTACGGTAAAGAAACGGAAATACAAATCGATCAGATCAGATCCGGGTGCCTGTAGATTGAAACGCATCTATACCTTCCACATTAGATCACACTGTGATACGCTAACATCTGCATATCCCATCTCTCGCAAGAAGCCCATGTTATCATAAGCATAATTACAAGCTGATAGGCTCATTTAACTTCGTTTGACACGACCACAGCCCCGGGCGAATGTATCGACATCGAAATCATCAGACTGCCGCTTCAACTCATCTCCGCCGTCTGCGTGCCATAGTGCCGTAGTTGCAGTATCATCTGTCGACTTCATCGTGATTCCCTCTCGCTGTGGATCTCGACCTTGGCAATGATGGCTTGATATGATATCTGCTTAAGCACAGTTCATTGTGTCATTATCCGGCAGGCGACAGTAGCGAGAGTGAGATAGCTTCTAGGGGCGGCTCGGGGACAGAAATAAGAACAGTCGGTTCATTGCAGGCGCTCGATGCCTGCCCGGTCTTGGCCGGTCAGCATATGAGAGATCTTCCCGCAGAAGCTTGTTGAATCGACCGTCGGGTCGGGAAGAATAAGCCTGCGACTGCGATTTGGGTTCGAGGTTTGATATCGTGCTGTGGGGCAAGAGGGACAGGTTAAGTCAGAGGCGGCTGCAGATTTCGTAAAGCTTGATGGTGTCATTCCTGCTAACAGATAATACAAGGTTCTTGAATAATTGATACAAAAGGTAAACACAGTCCACAAGCAGCTGGCTATCCTTAAGCGTTCGTACCTCACGAGGAAGCGCCCGAATTGGAATCGTTTGTGTTGCGAGTGTAGGCGGAGACGCTCCCGCTCCCAGTGAACCTCGAAAAGAGGTTTGACGCGGACGTCAGCACAGAACGGGCGGTGGAACCACGAGTTTCGGTCGTAGATTTGAGCGATCCTTCGGGACCCGCCTCCAAAGTCTTCAAGGGAGAGAAAGTTTCGCCTGCGAGACGCTCGAGCTGAGGGGAAGACTCTAGAATCATTTCCAGTTCCGCATCCAGCTCGGAATCGTGAACAGGAGGCTCTTTAACAGAAATCTCGCCGTACGTCTTCAACAAGGCCGCTAGCCACTCCCTCCGCTCGCGGAAGTCCTCGTCCTGCAATTCGCATCCTCGCAACGAAACCTTCGGAACCACACTCGGTCGACTGAGAATTCTCACAAAAACGGGAATTCTGCGATGAAGTTCGGCCGCTTCCTTCCCGGTAAGCTCGAGGGCCATCTGACGGACCATGCAGAGCTCCCAGACCCTAACCGTGTACTTCAGTGCGGTAGCCTTCTGTTCATTCCCTAGACGGTGTTCCTTCTCCAGATCTGTCAGCTTCTCGATGGAAGCTTTCAAAATCCTACAATTTTGCACCTCCAGCAACTGCTGCGTCGTTGGGTTGGTCGACAGTCTCTTCAGCTGTCTGTCGACACCATCCCATCGGTCATAGTCCATCGAGAACTTCGCAAGCGCATCGGAGACATTGCTTTCGATGGCCAAAAAAATGTCGTTCGATAGGTTGCTCGTCGTCATGGTGTGTGTAGGTAAAAGGTCCAGTAATGCAGTGATGAAGGATCTCATCTGGGTCGATTGCTATCTGATCATCTTCATCTTGCTGCAGGCTTTATAGGCATTCGAGGACACCCTTCTAGCTCTGAGAATCCCTGCCTTCCTTTGATAGGCGTGGTTTCGTCAGGCAGACCCCCTGTTTTATCATCAGCTGATCACGAAGATCGTCAGGTGACAAACGATGAGATAATGACACTCCTTTCTTTGTTGTGTTGTTATTAGGTGATTACCTGCCTGTCCATAATCCGGTGACGAGGGCACTGACTGCTTGTCATGTGATTAGGGGTCAGGGTTAACCGACAAGGTAGCGAGAGAAGGTGTATTCTTACTGACTGAGACCCTCCAGACGAGGTATGGAAATCATTTCCAAGAGACGGCATTTGGGTTGGGACGGTATGGACGGGTTCCCCGCAATGCACTCCATCAGCTAATTCTTACCCAACACTGGGACGTCGGATGCGCTCTTCAGATAGTGATCAGGTTGTTATGTTCAACTGATTCGGGCGTCATCGTAGCGGTCGAGAGAGCCGATAGGTGTCGCACCAAGAGGACTGAGCGTATAGCTTCATGTGTGGGCCAGGGGGCGCAGGATACTCAATGACAAAAGCATATACCTTGGCACAAGGCGGGGTAGCGAGACGAGCACGGAAGTCATGAGTGAACTACTCGGGCCCATCAATATAGCCTCGTACGAGTCACACGTCGCGGGCAAAAGGTCTTGTACAGCGAAATTGTCATCGATTCCCACTCATACCGATACCAACAAGCGCATTACATCCTAACAAAACGACTGCTCAATGGCGTCTCCCGGCAGGATGATCCCGTCAGTCTCAGCCAGCTTGCGCCAGTTCCAGTAGTCGACCTTGGTGCCCTCGTCGTCGATCTTTGTGGTCGTATCTCCGTGCAAGTCTCGTGTCTTCAAATGGGGTGCCCTGGCGACTCACCGAAGACGCTCTCATGTCCGCAGAAAGCGCCTCCAGAGAGGTCCTGAGATTAGGCATACTGTTGACTCTGGTACAACAACGCCCTTCCGTCGAGCGTGTCATTGTAGATGGCTTCGGAGGTCCACTCACCGACAAAGCCGGGAAAGTCTGTCTGGGCGCTCGATGCCTGTCCGCAATCGATCTCGGAGATGATGTCTTCCCCAGATACCAGCGGCGTTTGGGAGAAAGGTGAGGGAGAAGACGAAAACGTGTGCTTTGAGCAGGACGACGAGTTTCGCACGCTTGGTCTCGTTTAACTCAGAAAGGCCAAGAGCGCGAGTGAGACGTGATGTACTCGAGTACTCGTACAGTACGTACAGTATATCTCTTCGTTGTACAGTACGTACAGTATATCTCTTCGTCACGGCTTGATTAGTCTCCAGACTACATCCACCATCAAGCACCCCATTCTATTATCTTTGTGAAGCGTCCCAACGATCCACCTTGTATGACCGAAGCTTCCAAAGGATGATCAGCGCCGAGCTCGGCCGTGAACAAAAGGGAAACGTCGATCCTATCGCAGGAAGCTCGGAATGTACAGGTATATATACAGGCTCTTTCATCTCGGTCGACCTAGCGATACACATTGATACATGTGAAAGAAATAAGCACGCTACGTACCGACCTCCATGTGTGACCGGATGACCCCCGAAGCTGATGTCAAGCCGGACGTGCACGTCAAGGACGAACCTGTAACTAAGACGCCTCGCAGTGAGTTCAAGCAACCATCATTCATCCAGATCTCACCGGGACATATATCTCTTGCTACCCCATCTGACTCGTCGCTCACACGTCCTGTCCGATATTGAATCCCAGAACAAAAACCCGTCAACTCCCCTTCCAAGCCCGGCAAACGTTCCCCCGTCAAGAAAGAATCCCTGAAAAGCAACTCGGCCCAGAAAGAAGGTTACAACCCGACGACCAAAGCGATGGCTTACGATTGGGTCATGAAGGCGTTGGATAACATGAACTCGTCTCCCGGGTTGAAGAAGGACTTGGCTGAAGAGTTGGGGGTGAAGCCGGCTAATCTCATCAACGTGAGTCACCAGATCTTGTTCGTGCGAATTCGTCTGTCATGGATGTTGACGGGGGTATTTGGCAGAGCTGGAACAACAATTGGAAGTGAGAATCTACCTCTCCTTCCCTTTTCTTTGAATACCTTCTTGTGTCCCTTCTTGTGTTCGTAGATTCAAAACCGAGTCACTCACCCACCCGTTGGATATTTCTATAGGAAACGTGTCGAAAAGGTCCTCCACGATGAATTCCGCGGGGCGACCTGAAAGCGCGCCACAAACCCTGGGATACTTTCCGACTTCCCCTGTGATGCCCTCGTATTTCGTCCTAGCTTCTCAATGTCGACGATATCTCGATCCGCTTATAGATGACAAACTGTACCGACGACCAGGATGATCAAAGATGTTGCCATGATCTCCCGCCTCCCTTTTAACGGCGTTTCATGGCTTTTGTTCATTCATTCTCTTTTGTGTTTCTGTAGACGCGCGCCTCGGAACAAAAGCGATAAAAGAGGCGAGAATCGGAAGATCGACCCCGACGGCGAACATCGTTGAGAAGCTCGACGACCGCTTGAAGTATATATGTAGACCATGATAATGCCACCCCTCGTGCATCATCCCCCCTCTATCTTCTACCCCTCTCGAGAACGTTCATGAACACGCCGTCGCATAGCCACTACAGCTCATTTTGTGATCATTAATATTGTCACCTCTTTACTACTGAACAATCTCGGATCCACTACGACATGTCTTCGCCCGAACGAGATGTAAAGCCAGACCTCGACCTCCCGAAACAAGTCTCACCAAGCAAGAAGGCGAAAGGTGAGCAGCTCGCAGGTGCTTGCGATATACCCACTTTCTCGCTGATACGTCTTACCTCCTGCCATGTTGATCTATCCACTGCGATAGCGCCCACCAAAAAGAGCCCTTCCAAAGCCGGTTCCCGATCCGTCAAGAGAGAAATCACCGGGACAGGCGACGAGTCCGGTTTCAAGCCTACTTCCAAGGACATGGCCTATCACTACGTCATGCACGCTCTCGACAAGGTCACGATCGAGACGAGGAAAGAGATCGCGCAAAAGTTGGGGGTGAGGCAGAAGAACCTGGATGCTGTGGGTAGTCAGGTTTCGCGAGTAGCTTGATCTAATCCTCGCATACCAAGCTGATCCTCCTAAGTCTCGCTCTGTGTGGGAAGTCCTGGTCCATCAACTGGAAGTGAGTCAGCTCGATGTGTTCCGTCTATCTAACCTGACAATTTGCGCCTCGACAATAGAAAAAGAGTCGATCAAGTTCTTCATGACGCGTTCTGCAAGTAAACTTGCCAATCCACGCCAAAGAAATCGGGTCATGCAATAGATACTGAATGGCACAAAAGGAGTACCCTACCCGGAAAGAACTTACAACGGCGCCGAGGATGATGCTCGCCTAATACTTTAGCCATATGTATTCATGACTCGCCAGATGAATGCCTTGGTTCGTCGAGATCTTCCGATCCGTGACGAGGTCCAAAGCTTCTGCTGGCAATGCCCCAAGAGTCTCCGCTCCTACCCACTGGCTATCGTCCGAAAAGTTGGCAAGACACAAGACAGACGCGTCTTTCCCCGGTCGCTGGTACCCGAGAACGGCCGGGTTGTGCGTCCTGAACCCAACCAGCCGGCCTCCAGCAAATTCCGGTGTAGCCTTTCGCACCTTGATCATCCTCTGAAATCCAGCAAAGATCTGTCCCGCTATGGAATTCGCGTCCTTCCGTTGCTCAAACCTGGCCAGATCAAACTTGGGCCGGTTGACCCATCTCGAATCGTCCCACTTGTCCGGTTCGGACATGTAAGAATAATCATTGAGTGTGCCCAGTTCGTCGCCAAGGTAAAGCAGAGGGATCCCTCCGGTGGACATGATGATCGAGTGCATTAGCAGTATCCGTCCGACCGACCCGGGCTCGCCGGATTCGAGACCGCTCAGAGAAGCGCACGTCCCGGCGATCCGGCAGTCCCCCTACGAAACGACAAAGCCACACTTGTATCAGTACAGCGTCATGGGATTTTCGTTTCTGGCGGGACTGACGGTCTTTGGGTTGTCCTGGAATGGTACCCCTCGAGCGAAACTTCCCGGATGACGATTGACAAAGAACGCATTGAGGAATTTCCTATGCTGGCCTCCTTCTTTACCTAGCTCGATAGCGTCTACATGAACACAAGATCGGCAAACAGCTTCAGCGCGTGTTTCAAATCTAAGATCCCGCTCGTATCTCGAATAGCACTACTTACCTTCGTCCGCGAACGTCCAGCCGATATCATCGTGCGACCGCACATAATTGACCCAAGCGCATCCTCCGACCAGGTTGTGCCGTCTTTCCAGCGCTTGGGAGAGCAACTCGACGTTCCGCGTGGCGAGGCTTTCCCATAACAGGCACATCTGTAGAGGACTACCATAGCATCCACGGCAAGCTGAGCTACGTCGCTGCATCATACACTGGGTGGACCACTCACTTGTACGAAATCTGACATTCGTAGCGATCGATGTACTGGACGATAAAGTCCGGATGAACGATAGCTTCCGACTTGAAGATTAGCGAGGGCGCTGCGATCCTGCATACGGCGTTGAAACAGCGAAGGATCTTGTGCGCTTCGGGAAGGGATTCGCAGGTGGTCCCAATCTGCTTCCAAATGAAGGCGACGGCGCTACAGACGAACCAATGCATCAGCACTAAATCTTGAGAGCGACAATGGACCCACTCACTCCATCCGCAAGATATTGACTCCAGCATTGGCGAGATAGAGCATCTCCCTAGCCATCGCGTTGAACACCCTCGGGTTCGAATAATTGAGGTCCCACTGATAATGATAAAACGTCGACCAGATCCACCTCCCATCTTCCAGCTGGATGAAACTCCCCGAATGGTCGTCCGGGAAGATCTCCCTTGTCGTCTGTTCGTACTGGTCCGGCATGGTCCGATCGGGAAAGATCCAGTAAAACTCTTCGTACGCCTTTTCTCCTGCCCGTGCTCGTTTGGCCCAATCGTGATCCCAGGCGGTATGGTTGAAGACAAAGTCTAAAGAAATCTATCGGGAGTCAGATGTCGGCCTTCCATTGTATCTCAAAGGCGCCTATCTTTGCGTCTCACCCAGAACAAGGGAAATCCCCGCTGCGTCAAATTCCTTTGCCAACGCTTTCAACTGTTCCATATCACCCAGGGCGGGTTTGACCCTTCGATAGCTGGAGATCGCGTAACCTCCGTCGTTTTTCGGCTCAGGGCTGTCGAAGAGCGGCATGAGGTGGACGTATGTCAAACCGAGCGACTGGAAGTAGGGTATTCGCTCTCGAACCGAGGAGAGGTCTGTCGCGTAGCGATCGACGTAGCAAACTCCGCCTAGAATACAAAGACGTAAAACTACCGCCCGAATGCGAGCTGTTTCCAACCAGCACTCACCCAACATTTCGTTGGACTGAAACCACTCTGGTTCGAGCTCTCGCTTCTTGTCGAGCTTTCGTAGATGATCCGGCCGTTCTTGCCAAGCTTCCGCGATGATAGTGACGAGCTCGACCAAGCTCGCCAAACAATCCGCTCGATACCCATACAGCTCAGATTGGATCCCGTAGATCGTGACAAAATTCATATCCAGCCGGTCCACAAATGCCTGGTCCTCGAGTAGATAGGCATGCGATTTGGACGCCTGGAGCGCATGTTTGACGTGTGAGAGCGCCGCCTGAGCTTGTTGAGTGACGGTGAGCATCGTGATTGACAATCTGGAGCGCGAACGAATTGATAGGGCAGTGTAACTCACGTTATACGGGAGATGGGCTCAGATGTGAGCTGGTGTTCATATACTAAGCAGCTCTGCTACCCTGTGAACGTCCCAAAGATGTATCGACCCGCTCGAAGATGCTGCTCTCCTGACCTTTTGACGGGACGGTCGGCAGCAATCGGCAACGGGATCACGCCGAAGATCGTCCATCGTCAGGTACCATCAGGGACTACACATCGGCGGAACCTGGTCGGATCCGGGACACCTCGTCTATTGGTTGGTAGGAAGAAAACAGAGATATGGGTATAGGTGGGGTCTAGTCTAACATCTATTACAGTTCAGAGTTCGCTTTGCAGTCGATGTGGTCGATACAGTAAAAGTTGGAGGAAATGCAGAATAGCGAGACAGCCAGGGAAAAAGAGCATCTAATCCTCCATGTGCTGTCGGCAAAAGGGACTCTTCTGTCGGATCGCCTTGCCCTTGTAGTAGAGGAACCAAGGGATCGGCACCAACAAGCAAGATACCAGGGACAATGTGAAAAGAGCCCAATTGTTGCCCAGCGTCTTGAACATCGGACGCGCGGCTGCGGAACGATGTGTTGTTAGCCGGATGAACGATGGTTTGTAAGCTGAGGAGGACTTACCCAGCGGCAGGAAAGCACACACCAGGTTCCTCGAGAGTACTACGCCGGACATGGCACTCGCCTGGTAGGCATCGAAGAGAAAAATCAGCCGGCGCACCCCCGAAACAGACCTCTTCCCAAACCCCCCACTCACCGAGAACGACTTGTACGAGTCCATCATGTAGGCAAAGATGCTGACGATGACCGAAAAGAAGGCAAACCCGAACATGGCAAATCCGATGAGGGGTACAATCCAAAAAGTATCGGCGTCCGAGGTCCAGGCGGCCAGCTGAAGACCGATGGGCAGGAGGGGTACGGCAAAACGACTGAACCACCAGCGGACTTCTGGGGAGGCGATGCCGTTGGGCGAAGCGGCGACCGATCGCATGTACGCTCGTTGCTGGAGAGGCTGGCAGGCGAATGCTCTGCAAGAGAAGGCATGTCAGGACCAGCTTGTGTGAAGCGCTTGTCGATAGCCACTCACAGTAGAGACCCGACGACATAGCTCAAGAACGTCAAGTTGATGGCGCCGTACGAAGTCCAAAGGTGACCACCGTTACCTCTCCCGAAGATGAGAGGGAACGCTTCGTTGGAGAGGAAGATCATGCCCAGAGCAAAGCTGCAAGAACAATCGATCGACATCAACATCTGCCAATCGATTGATCAACTGCGAGCGCCTCGGCACTTACGCATTGACGGCTCCGCTCAGATAGGTAATCGGCTCGGTGAACAAGAAGATGTATGGCCGGGTCAGGGACGCCTTCAAGAGTTGCTTGCCGGAAATCGTCGTGATCTCGGATGCAGCATAGCAGTTGGAAGCTACGTCCGGATACGTCTTGCGAATATGGCGGACCTTGACTTTGAGGACTGTTCACGGCAACTTCACTCGGTCAGAATTTGCTACGAGGGCCGTTGATGGAATGTGTGACCTACCGATGTTCTCCCTCGTCTCGGGCATAAATGCCCAGATGACGATGATATGGGCTCCAAAGACGATCGCGTAGATCCAGTACAACCACCTCCAGCCCAGCTTCTCTACCGGATACCCTCCCATGACGGACCCGAGGGCAGGACCGATGACCGAGGCGAGCGCATAGAGGGCGATGGCATAGCCGGACTTTGCGGTTGGGATAAGATCGGTGATGGTACCGGCCACATTGCTCAGGGGGGCGCTGCGCATGAGAAAAAGGACGTCAATATCGGCATGTGAAGTGTTTGTGTGGGATGAGGTGACTTACGATCCGACGAATCCGGAAAAGAACCTAAAGGCGGCGACCAGCGAAAAGTTGTGTGCGAGGGCGATCTAGATGAAACAGAGGTCGTCAGCTCTAATATTCTCAACCTGCTCGACTGGCTGCGAACCGGACTTACCGGGATCTGGCAAAGGCAAAACAAGAACCAGGAGACCAGGTAGACGGGTCTCCTGCCCCATACTTCGGAAGCCGGAGCGAGCAACATCGGACCAAACGCGAATCCGAGCTGTAATTCCCAGTCGTTAAGTCAACTTCCGATCACAGCTCGTCGAGAGTACCTGAACTCGACCTTCCGCCCGAACGAGACTCACGAGGTACAACCCCAACCCTCCAAAAGTCCCCCAGACCCACTCGTTACTGTGCCCGCTCTCCTTCTCCATGCCTTCCAGCTCGATCAACCCAAACTCGTCCCTGATCACATGAGCGCCCGTGCTGAACCCCGAAGCGCACATGCAGACGAGGATGGTGATCCAGGAAGCGAGGCAGACGATCACGGTCTTCCTCGCCGTGGAGAAGGTCTTTGGCATAGGGTGGACCGGGGCGTATTCCAGGTCGACGCCAATTACAGGGGAGTGGTCCGGTGGAGAAGCGATGAGGACGAATCGGGGCTTGTCGGAGACATTCATCGAATCGCCCACATCGATCTTGTCGAGCATCAACCCTTCCCTCTCCAACACCCGATAGAGCTCGACGTTATCCACCTGGAGCTCCTGATGAAGCGTCTTGGCTTTATCGGTACCACCTTCGGCTTCCTTGTTCTTGTTTCCAGCCTCAAGATCCTGGTCACCTTCACCTTCGGAAGACCTCATGTGGGACTTCGCCTGGCTCTTCCTCGAATCCAACGTCTCGAAGAACGAATCCACCTTGGTCATGCTCGAACTCGCCGTCCTCGTCCTGACCGTGCCCATCCCTCCATTCTTCTCCGTGGTATCCTCTTTCCCGTGCTCATCTTCATCTTCGCCGCTGCCCTTTTTCAGGGGAGTAAAACCCATGAACATGCACTTGCCATTAGGGCTAGAACCAGGGGTGCAGATCAAGGTCTTGTCGGTAGCCGACGATCCTCTCCTCGGTCCGTCTTCATCGTGCTCCTCGTCTTCAACATCATCAACACCACCGTCATCATCGACCGCATCACTAACACCCCCATCCTCTTGGCTATTCCCAAACCTATATCCACTCTTCACCCTCGTCATCCGTACCCCCCACGGACCTTCCTCCTTCGGACCCGTCGACCCAGCCCTGGAAGGCCCGACCGACGATCCCGGCGTAGCAGCAGCGGTAGTAGTAGTGCTGGGGTCCAAGTTGAAGTTGACCAAAGTGTTCGCCAAAGATGGTGCGAGGGAAGGTCGACGTTCGTCCGGAAGGAAGGCGATGGATGGTCTACGCGGGTTCAGAGTTGGGCTCAAGATTGGAGTTGAAGTGGGTACTGGGGTCCTTTGAGTTGAAGCAGAGTCGTTGACGTTCGAGGTAGACGTCATCGTCCTCACTTGAGGTTCTCGTCCTTGTTGTCCAGACGCAGAGTGGGTATGCTCCGAGCCTGACATCGTAGAAGGAGGAGGTGAAGAACGTCGTTTATATATTATCGAAACGCGAGTTGAAATCGATTCGGGCTGGTCTGGAAATTCAGACACGTTCGTCAGCCCAGATCGAAAGAAAGAAGACCGGCGATCCGTCGCCATTTATGTCCTCACTTGATCACTTACGTTGTAGCTCTTAGCTGGTACCACCCGATGCCTTATGTTTAGATGATGAAACGATCGTGTGTAGACAGCTGCTCGATAGCCAAGATCCTCCGGTGACGAGTGGCAAACGACAAGTGGAAAGGTGTTTGATACGGGGAGGGAGGAGAGTGAGTGTGCAGACTAATCGTGGGGGCCCAACTGAGGTCAAGTATATATATACATCGGGGGATAGGGAGCGAGGAGAGAAGTCTACGGAACAGGTCCGGAGAACCCGTTGTCACCTCCGATCACGGATCACGCAAAAAGATGGATTCACATTCGAAGGGAAGAAGTACGAGCTAAAACGCAACAAGGTCGGGAAGTCACAATCGCATCATCATCGTCGTCCAAGTCTGGGGCCTTGATCGCTTAAAAGTAGCGCGACCAAGACGAAACGTGGGGAAGCGACGACGATCAACAGAGAAGATCCGCAGCACAGCAAGGGTTAGCGCATGATGCGATAGGTACCGAAGTCTGCGTTGGATCACCGGTCGGGGTTTCACTTCGAAACTGATCGCTGATCATCATCGATCATTGATGTATCGAGGACGCCTCTGCCGCCTCTCACAATTGAACGTTCACATCAGCCGTACCGATACGATACAGGACCTGGTCCTGGCGACCTAGCCTTCGCTAACCAACGAACGTCTTTCTGAACCTCGACGTCCTTCTCGATGACGCCCGCCTTCTGTACCAAAAGTAATCTTCGTTATCAGCTCCCGCTCGCCTTTCGATCGCATCAGACACATGTCACGCCAAGAGCATCTTGGGTCCGAGAACAGCTTTTAGCGCGACCGGACGAGAGGCGTTCGAGCGAAAGATCAGTATACGATGTTTTAGTGGGAGTACAACGTCCTATGGTCCAACTCAATCTAATGATCAATATTTAGAGAGTAGCTCGCACTATACATCCCCCTCATTCCCTCTTCGTACCCTCGTCTCCACCGCCCAACCTTCTGCGCGCGACAGGGTCACCGCCCAATCTTCTCCGACCTCGTATTCGTCATCCCGATCACCCTTAACAACCAAAACCCTCAACTTCTTGGCAAAAGACCCAAAACCAAAGCCCGTAAAATTCCAAAGTCCCTAGATCCCGCACTAGCTGGTAGATCCCAAAGTCTATATCTATCGCCCTAGCTCGCGCCCGACTTTGCAGTCGTGTCTCGTATCGTGTCGTATTCATCGTATCGTATCGTATCTTCCTACCTCGCGCGTCAGGGTCTCTACTGTAGGGTCGAAGAGGATTATCGAGTCGGACCGGCGGAAGGTACAAGAAGAGGTACAAACCCGATTTACCCCTAGCTCTTGGTCGGTGAGTTGTTTTATACGCCTTGTTGCGGTTCGTACCGGCCCGGCCCGGGGACGGGGAATCTGCATACTTGATGTGCTGTGTATTGTCCGTCTATTCCCTATGATCTATGAAACTGGAGGTATGTTTGGCCCGATGCCATGTTAGGCGCTTCGAGGCCCATTCTCCAGCGTTGGACCTTTGTCACCCATACTATACTGTAGCCCGATCCCTCTTCTCCTCGCGCGCCAATCGCAATTGGAAGTGCGACGGGATGCCGTCCGATATTCTTCCATAGTCAACCGGGCTGCATCATAGTCGAGCACGCCGATACCCGTACACTCTCGCAAAGTGGACTATGAATCAATGTTCCGTCGAGTCGCAAAGATCCGTCATCCCAGAAGCCAGCGTTGTATGACACCAGGCTACCTCCTTAGTATTTGATATCGTGACAATCCAACCAAGATGATATGACGGCTTCCGCAAAAAGGATTCGAATTTGGGCTGCGATCACGTCCACCTGCATGTTTACCGGGATGGCAAGCAGAGCGGCAAAGGATAAATTGTATCCGCCATTTGCTGACACGATCTGGTCGGAAGGGCTGTAATTGTTCTCATTCGAGATGCCGAAATCCATCTGAGTAGCTTTTGAATATGTCGACCGCCGAGCGCGACTCGCTGACGATCTTCTCAGGTTCAGGCGCATGACAATAGGAATCTTGTATCACATGCGACACAAAGCGCTTGGTCTTCCCTGCCCCCGCCTCCTTCTTTCAGTTAGATTTCTCAAACGCAAACGGGCTTCAAATGTAGAGGATCACGCAATTCCAACGGGAGAATACACCTTGAGGTGTGCTCGCGCGTGTTACTTAAAACAAGGTGAGGGTAACCCGTGATCTTGCGTGACAACGGGGTTGTGGGTGAAAGGACGCGACCTTTGCTTGGGTATTGAGATTGTGTTGCCGTAAAACTGACTTGGATGAAATTAGACTACTATAATTCAAGAACTCGCCTGGCTTGATCTACCAGCTGAGCATACATGTCCAATTGATTGACATCACGGTGTCAATTCTTGTCTATACATGTAATGCTAGTTCGCTTCAGGGACAAATCCTTGAGAACGAAATCACGTCAAGGCAACCTCAACGCTGTTCTTCCTGCTTCCTTGCGCCCACTTCTTCCGCAAATGATGGATTGATGGTGCTGAAACGCGGAAAACATTGCCAATACAAACTAGCTGATCTCGAGAAGTGAAGTTTACGCTGTCATGTATGTGCGCTACCCGCAATGGCCAAGAAAACCAGGTAGATGAAACTGCCGAGGGCAACCCGTGCAGCTGCATGGCCAAAAGGGGCGAGGTTGAAAGGAGGAAATTCCTGCTGGGGAGTTGAGGCTGTGTGACCTCGTGACTTATTCAGGTATTTAGATACGATATACGACAGCTCTGTTGCTGTGGACCCTGGACTACACACCACGAGAGAAGCTCGAAATATCGCTGCTTTCCGTCAAAGAACCTAGTCCCAAATCCCTCAATTCGAATCATGGATCCAACGAGCCCAGCAAGCGTGAGTGCGAAGTCATCATGGGCTAGGTTAGAACCGCCTATTGATCTTACTCCACTGTCTGTACTTAGAGCGTAACCCTCTCTCGGAGCAGTTCCAGGAGTGGCAGCCCCACTTCTCGTGAACTTTCTGTAGAAACTGCTGCCACTGATTATCACGTAGAAGGTATGTGGGATGAAACGGTGAGAACCTAGTCAATGCTCAGAATCACCCTGATAACTGATAATATGTTTCGCCGGATGGGCAATGTTCCACCGGCCGCAGATCGATGTGAACAACTTTTACAATACGGCCGACGCTTTTCTACAAGCTGATGCGCAACGGGGTCAGCTCTATGCTGTCAGGACTCTTCTGAGCTTTGGTCAACGGCAATCCCAGAGCGGATCTGAAGTGGCTCCATCAAGTGAGGACGAAGACTACACCTCGCCGGACCATCGCGCCGCTACGCCACGTTCGGCAGCAAATTCGCGGATGTTCGAAGAGTTCTCCGAAGATGGTCAAGGTCCCGGTACGAAAGTGGTCGAGCGCTTTAGGTCTTCGGGGAAAAGGCGGATGCTAGACGATGATAAGCTAACACGCGAGGAAATAGGATGTTGGAAACGAGCAAAATGATACAATCGTATGAGTACGGTGATATCGAGCAATCAATATGCAATGAAGACCTGCGCAAATCGCGATATCAAACGATGAATTTTCCCGACGATCTGTTCGGCTCGTTTTACAGGTGGGTGCTGAACGTTTTTAGCGGCGCCGACCCGTATTCGGTGATACATGATACGTTGATGGAATTTTGCCCAGGCCACTTTGACCCTGCCCGTTCGTTGCGGTCTGCTTGGAAGCGCAGAATCTTGGTCCAGGCCGTCGCCGAGTCATAAGCTAACTGGTAACTGGTAGTCCACGAGCCCTCCCAGATGTCATAGATGTATGAATCGAGTTGCATCTTTTCAGAATATCCCTTGACGTCGTGTGACAACTCTGACGGTAGACGTAAGGAAAGCGCAAATTGACATGGAAAAACAAAACCGACTTTAACGGTCACATAATACAGCAACAGACGATAGATGGCGTAAAGTAGACTAGGTCGTAAATTGGCGTAAAGGAATGGCGTAAAGGCACTCTATCGATCCGACGACGGAGCCGAGGGGACAAAAGAGAGGTTCGAGACGATGTGCGGCCAGATCTCGGTAAACGCGTCGAAGCGCCCGAGTCGGATCTGTTGCCAGAGGTTGACCATGGCGTTCGAGTCCTTGATTTCGTTCCAGTGATGGAGGAAGAAGGCGATCTCCACCTGTATCAGCGGGTCGAATCGTCAGCCACGTTGTCGGGCTATGTCAGTGTGGCACCCGGCTCACCTTTCTGACCTGCTCGTAGGTGGCCGAGAAATTGGTAAAAACCTCGAACGGGCAGTTCTGGACGGTCAATTGGGAGATGATATGTTGAAACGCGCGCTGACGGAGTCGAGGCAAGTCGAGTTTCTGCGGAAAGATTACTACGTCAGTCTCGCTGGATCGAGGAAAGACAATAAGCGACGGACTTACATCAGCAAGCCGATAGATGGCCTTGGCACTGCAGGGCACCGGCTCTGGCGTCCCTTCCGCCCTCGTATCCATCTCAGTCATCCAAGTCTCGAGCCACTCTTTCCTCCCCTTGATCCCCTTCAAAATCTGATTCTCCGATCGATCCGTCTGCCTGGAGGTCCTGGCCGGTAATGCAGTATCGACCGTATCCGATTTCTCGATAAACGACGAAGACAGCGGGGCGAAGACGATGACGTCGGTGTAGAGGTAATAGATGAGCGCGTACCAGGTCCTGAATGCAGCGTCCCTGACGACAATCTTGGTCTTTGTCGGTCCGACAGCTGAGGACGCAGAGCCCGCCTGGTTCCTATTCTGTGTAGCGGGTCGGCTAGCGTCTCCCAAGTTTGACCTGATCATCGGTTCCTCGTCTTCGTCGTCCGACAAGCATTCCTCTTCCATATCCGAGTCCTCTGGCAACTCTTCATCGTCGACGTGCAAATCCTGAATGGGCTATCAGGTACCAAAACAAAGTTAGTGAAGATTTCTCGGCAGCATAACACCACCCTCTACTCACCGATGCCACCCCTGCGGTCTCGCTGAACCCGCCTTCCAACATCGACTCGAAATATTCGCTCCTCCTCAAAAACTCCTTGTTCGCCCAGATCGTCTTGTACCCCTTGTCTCCCTGCGCTTCCTCGCGCGTCTCGGTCGGCGGAGTCGCTTCGCCCAAGGTATGTCCTTGACCGGGCATTGCCGAGGGCGAGGACGAGAGGGTGTTCAGGTTCATCCCGGCGTCCGTCGAGACGTGTCCAGCTAGCGTATTCGATCCCGTCCCGGATAGCGCCCTGGCTCCGTCTTGCGGTACCGTACTGTTTCTACCGGCGACGACCACCTTTCTCCTCTTCCTGTCTGGCAAAACGAACTCCACATCCGAATAGACCTCTCGATCAAACGTCCTGGCGACAGCGTCAACGAGTTCCTTCGGTACCACCCTCCTCTCCCCTCCCATCGCCCCGTTACCCCCTCCCACTCCCTTCCAACCCCCCTCACTCCCCCTCCACCCAGATCCCGACGCCTCGAACCCTTTCGGGGCATACGTATACCCAGGAGAACCAGGATCGGTCTGCCAAGTCGAATTCGAGATGTTGTACCCCAACCAAGCACCTGCGGGCGGGCCCGAGTTGGCACTGACCGTGCAGGTGATGATGAACGAGTCGGATTCCCTGACGGCGGAGGGTGCGTTGTAGTAGAGGGTGTTCCGTTTGGCGAACGATTGCCAGCCCCAGTTGACCGTCTGCGACGTCGTTTGCGGCATCGAAATCAGCTTTCGTCTGTAAGTGAGGGACGTCCTCATAAAGCGACTTGCCTTGGAGCTAAATACGTGCGTTGCCGCCTCTTTGTAAGCTATACTCTGCCCTCCTTTCCCCCCACTACGCTCAAACCCCGAAAACAACCCCCCCCCCCCCCCCACAAAACCAAATCAGCCTCCAATTCTCCCGAGTCCTTCAACGATCACATCCGCTCCTGCTTGCGTCCCCGCCCGACCCCTGTAGAGAACCCCACAAACTCACACTCGCACATCAAACCTAAACGCCCAGATCCCCTTCCTAACCCACTTTCCCTTGATCCCGCTAGCCTGTTCCTCCTTAGTCGGGACGGCCGAGAGGTAGAAGGACGACATGTCCCCCGGAGCTGGGGTCGTTAAGGAATTGGGGGACGGGCCTACTGGGCCGGCTGTAGGTTCAGATTCCGGGGAGATGTAGGGAAAAACATTGTTGGGTTAGCGCTTTGTGGTCGGGCTGCGAAATGGGAGAAATGTAGTCGGATGCAGGCAGGGGACTTACAGTTGGGATAACTGATTGATGAGTTGGATGTCGTGACAGTCGATCATCAGCTAAAGCAGCTGAGTGTCGTAGCTAGGACCCGGGCCTTGGGCTTACAAGATGATCTCCCATAGATGATCCGGATCCCCAAAGACCGCGCTCTTGATACATTTCCTGTACGCACCAATACCATCATACAAGATTCAGGATTCCATGAACCCGTAAGCTCCCTATTTTAAATGCAGGAAGACTGCAAAAGATCGATACTGGACTCACGACTTGGTGACCCCCTCGGTGGATTCGTAAACATGTTTCAACCCGCTCAACTTCCATTCGAGCGTGACCGACTGGGTCTCTGCGAAATCCAGCGTGGGGGTATCTGACATGGGAAACGTATGCATCACACCTGTCCCTCATCGCAAAGGCATGTATGCACATTGAAAACAAAGGATGGGGGGAGATGAGACGGAGGCGTCAGCGAAAGAGAGCAAAGATCGAGCCTGAAATCGGTGCGGCCGTGACTGACTTTCCCCGCGATTGGTAGAGATCTGGCTGAGGTTGGCCATCTTGGCCGTAGTCTGCGTATGTTAAATGTACTCGCTAGCCTGCATGAACGAATGTTGATGATGGACAGGTCGTCATATCGAATGGACAAGGGACATGATGATATGATCATCAGATGTTCGCTGTCCCTGTGAGCATCTGATGACGAATATGCCTCGACGCCCTGACCGCGGACTCGTAGTGAACCGTATGCAGAAGACCTCCCCATCTCCCTTTGGCCAACGTTATCATCGAGGCGTAGAGCGATAAGTGCCTTTTTGGGAAAGTGTCCGCACATCGAGCATTATTACTACGTATCAGGCAGAGAGCATTCGAAGCAGATCGTTGTCGGTACATCGGTGTGGCCGACGTGTCGCGCGCCCATACAGAACCTGTTTTCCCTCGTCGATCCCTGCAGCAGTTCCTCTCGGACTTACAGAGCTCTCCCTCTCCAATGAGATTGAGGACCTACTGGGGACTTCCCCGCAACCTTTTCAGCTTGTTAGCATTTCCGCCAAATTTACGACGCCTTACGAGAGCGATCGATTATGATCTGCGATACACATCCGATGCGACGGTGACACCCGTGGCACATGCGACGTGCTTGGAAAACGTTCTTTTCCCGCCCTTACTGTAGAACGACGATCTACAGCTCGGTGACGTCCCGAGTATCCAGCTCCAGACTTCTCTTGGCAGCGCTCTGTCGGAAGGATTCTCGTAAGCTCGCCTTCGCCATCCTTCCCACCATTCTCATGGCCCCGCATGGTTCCCCTCGTCCGCCGTCTGCGCGCTAGAGTCGAATTGCTCCGGCGCACGTTTCAACCCGATAAGACATATTCAACTTCCTCTCTTCCCTCCTCCCGCTAGCCCGTCATCTAGGACCCAGCCATCTCCATATTTCTGCCTCGAACTTCATATCTCGACACGTTCGATTCCGATTTCTACGGGGCCTTACTTTTGCTCGGAGGATATATAAAGACCGGCCCAGTTTTATAAGATCCACGCTCACCTCCGCGCGTTCAACGACTTTCCACCCAAATACCATAGTTCCGCCCTGACTCCCTAAGTTCCGATAACTTGCGACAACGGTCGAGACATCCTCCCTCAAAATGCTCTCAACTACCACCCTTATCGCCCTCCTCGCTTCCCTCTCCCTTCCAGTCTCTGTCTCGGGCAAGACGATCTCCCCCCTGACGTACCGTACGGACGCCCGGAACCATACCTGTCAACTGTCTCTCCCCGAGACCGCCTGTAGGAACACGACGGCCGTGGAGGATACCTGTTGTGGTGCAGCAGCAGCTTTGACTCTGTATACTCAGTATTGGGATACCGTGAGTCGAGTCAAATGTGCTTGTGATTGGTACAGTAGGATGATCGGGAGGATGACGGTTGTCTCTGGGCGTGTTCGTAGTATACCGGGGCAGAGGAACAGGGGATCGTGCTCCCCAAGAACAACTGGGGTGTGCACGGGTAAGTCATCACCGACTTTAGACGTCATATGCTACCTTGAAGCTGATCATTCACCGGTCGATCCGATGCATGCAGTGTTTGGGCCGAGTAAGTCGGCTTGCCAATCGACTTGTATTCGTAGCCATACTGATGTCGCGGGATATCGATTAATTACTAGTTATTGTGATGGGACCTACCCGGGCTATTGCGACTTGTCCAGACAGTAAGTCACTGTCCGCCGCTGTCACATCCCCTGCAAAAACCTGAACCTGTTCATCGTGGTCCTTGCTAGATACGACCCCGAACCCTCCCCCAACTACACCCAAGGGTACACCTACACCCCACCTCAAACCGTCGAACCGTTTACCGGTGGGGATATCGTCACCCCAACCTTGGAGTATTTCGGAAAGAACGATCTCTTGAGCTGGATGAACAAGTATTGGGTCAGCCGGGGCGGGAACAATTACGTGTTCTGGTTGCACGAGTTTGCCAAACACGCTGTAAGTCGAAAGTCTCGTGTCCATATCAACAAGCTCTGATCTTCTCCTTCTTCTTCTTCTTATCTGACCCTGATATACTGCGATTCCGACGACTGCTGGCTTTTCGATACGGACAGACCTGCTTCTCGACGTTCGACCTCAAGTGTTACGGGCCGACTTACGAGCAAGGACAAGATCTCGTGGACTACTTCCAGACGGTAGCTGGTGTGAGTCCACACCTCCCTCGAATACATATGCATCTCCTTACATCACGTCCGAGACCCTGACCCAGAATATGTCGCCTTCTCGTTTCGTTACCCACGTCTCCCTCTCCCGATACAGTTCGAGATCAGGCACCCGACCTACGAATGGCTAGCCAAAGCCGGGATCAAACCCTCGAACACGACCACCTACACCCGGGCTCAGATCGAGGACGCTCTCATGGCCGGGTCGGGAGGGGTACCTTTCGTGAGTACAGAGAAGCTTGGCTTGCGAGAAAATTTGGGATCGACTGAAGCTGACGCGTGAAGCGTCTCTTGTGCTTGTGATTGGGATGGTATGGTAGTTGGGATGCCGAGGAGCTGACAGGACCACCTTGAACGAGAGTAAGCCCTGATTTTCCGCTCTTGCTACAGTCTGGAATCTCTATCAGATCCTCCCGATTGCTGAGCTAATTCATCACTCTCTGATCATCCTGTCCCTAACGCACTGCCCACCTTGGTCTGAACGATAGTCTGGTACTTCAACCACGCCGTCGGCCGGGTCCAAGACCTCACCTACATCCCCGTCGACAAGATCGGGAACTCTTCTTGTAACGCCACTGCCCGTGAGTCCATTCCCCGTCTCTACCACCATAAGTCTAGAAAATCGTTGCTCATTGCTGAAATAAAATTCTCTTTCGCTGTCTCGGGGTACTGCTCTCGAATTCGAATGAACGCAGCGATTTGGTATTACGAGAGGACGGCTGGGAGCGAGGCTTGATAGAGATACAACATCGGTATATGTGGAATTAGTAGCAAGGTGTTTGATCGTTCCGTTCGAATTTCCTGGCAGCCTGAGTGGTAGGCCAGAAGAAAAAGTGTTGGTTTTGTTTTGTAAAGAGAAGCGCAAGAAGAGAGATCATAATACCCGGTTTGCCAGTTGCCCGTTCCGTGCATGCGCTGGCCCCGCTGGCGATGCGACGCGTGTGTCACGTTACGAGATCTGAGACGGCTGCTCGGGCCGGTCGCATTCGCGATGACCGTGATGGGGCAATCGGGTCGCAACTCGACAATCGATGCGACCTCTACTTACCACGGATGGAGGTGTATAACAAGAGGTGTATAACAAGAAGCGTACCACAACGACGGCGATCTACCGAGTGTGCCGATGTCGATGTTAGATCTCTCCTGTTGGGTTTGGGATGACTCTACTGCCCTGAAACGTCGATCGATTGTGCGCTTCTAGTTGGCGTCACACCCTCTCATGCTCTCGCGCGTTTCGAGTTGGTTCGCGCGGAAGTGGTGTGTGCGTGTGTGTGACCTCGGATGGTGTCCCACCGACGTCGAGGTTTCAATCATCAAACACCAAATCGACATGCACACTGAAACATCCTCGGGACCTTCCTTCGACCTCGACCTCCAAACACTTGCCTCCAAGGACCTCTGGATCCATTACACCTAGTCATCTGTCAGCTCGTCCTAGTGACGCTTTCCACCCAGCAAGGCCTGACCTGTCCTTCCCCGGGCTGCCTCGCTCACCATCATCCGCGATCAATTCCCGACCACCGACCCCCAAAGCGGAAATCGACCACCCCATCAAATTCGACTCATCAAATCATCCTTTGTCCTCACACATCACCTACTATCATACCACGAATCCCCTTTCATACATCCTACATACCCAGGCTACTCACTGCCCACTTCGCTCGTTATCATCTTCCCCTTGTCCGGACGGAACCGGGTTCGTACTTGAACCTCGGACGTTACATCGACACGCTACACGTTACACGGGGACAACCGATCGTTCTGATACGCAAGGACCAGACCTCCCCCAACACCTCCCGACTTCAAACGCAACACCTGCACGTCGTCTTTTGGTCGCTCCGTATCCAAACTCTTCTTCCCAACTAGCTGCACCAAACCCTCGAGGTCTCGGTTGGATCCCGATCAGGTCCAGGCCATCACCACCTACTCGCGTTTGACAGTCGAAACTCGCCCAACGACCAACTGAAACCGCACAACCACCTCCGGGCTTCCGCATCTACGAGTCATCATCGTCAGAGCAAGATCATCATCATCATCAGCCCTAGAATCCATCTGATCTGGGAATCGGGAGCTGGTCGATCGAGGTTAGACATCAGCAAGATCCGGCTTGACTAGCAGTAGTTTTTTCTCTGGAGCACGTCTCATCACCCCCGAGTGATCAAAACACGTATGTCCCCCCGTCTCACCTTTTCTTACAACCACAACCATACCTCGACTCTCAAACGCAAAGGAGACACATACCACTCGAAACCTCGATCCTGATATACAATATCGGCTATGTGCCCGTTTCCCCCTCTCTCTCTTGATAGATCATGTCGGTCGTCCCTTCTCCATCAACCGCGTCCACTTCCGCCGCACCTCAATCTCAACCCCAACCTCAACTCACGTCAGGTCTGGACCCAGCCTTGAACCAGTCATCTTCCACATCAGCGACAAACACCCCTCTCGAGCTTCAACCACAATCCAATGCACCTCCCGGTTCCACACCTGTACCTTCAAAGCCACCTTCAGATGTCATCCTCGACCTCGACCCTCACCCTCAACCATCTCTATCATCCAATAATGACCCCAACCTCGGACTGGGAAACGGAGTCGGGATGGGGCTGAATACGGCCGAGATCGACGCCCTGGTCGGTGACTTTAGGGAGGCAGGGGGAAAGACCCCTTTTACGAGCAATACTGCCAATATGGGAGGACTCACTCCGGGTGTCTGGTCGGATGGGAAAGAATTGGATGGGTTGACGAACCGGCCACCCGGGTCTGGGCCTGGGCCTGGGTCTGGGTCTGCGGGGTTTGGGGATCCTACTTCTGGTGCTCGGAGCACAGGCACCGAGACGGGGATGGGGAACTCGAACTCGCCTGCGCCCAATCCCGGTCCTCGGTCGACTTCCCACCCAACGTCAGCAGGTGTAGGTGTGAAGATCCCTAGCCTCAACCTCCCACCCAATTCGTCTGCCGGCCAACAACAATACCCAGCCCCGATGTCTACAGGCGGTTCGTCCAACGGCACGGGGACGACCTCGATTCGTCCTTTGAACAGTACCATCAACCCCCTGAACCCGGCTACGGTGTATTCCAGCAACTCGAGTACCAACGCCAACACCGGGGTCGTCATCCCGCCTTCCAGCCTCCCACCTCCCCCAGCCCACGGACTACCCATCGGACATCCTTTACATCCGAACAACTTTCCTGGATCTCAATTCGGCAGCCCGAGTCTTTATCCCCCTTCGTCAGGACCTAGCGGGTCCGGCTCCGGGTCGCTCCAAGGTCAAGGTCAGGGTCAAGGTCAAGGTCAACCGATCGGACCGGGGAACAGGTTGTTACCCAACCCGAACCCTAACGGCAATATGAACCTGAACGTCAATCCTAATCAGCTGATGGGACCCGGTATGGGTATGGGTATGGGAGGTGCTCCGGGGGCTATGGTCAGCGCTGGAGGCAGTGTGGAGGGTGAAGGGGGGATGACGACGGGTACGAGCGGGTGGTCAGGTCGAGCTAGGTGAGTCGTGCTATTCTCCCCTAGGCATAATTTTCACCAAGGAGGAACCATCAGGCTGATCCGCAGTGGTTCGTTTTCGAAAATGTGATGCCAAACTGTGTTTGTAGCGGCTGGACGACCCCGAACACCCCCTTGCCTAATCCACCGGACTTGTTACCTAGGCAGTTGACAACGAGGGAAGCTCAGCTGGTAGATCATCTCGTCAGGTTACAGCTGGTAAGTACTGCTACAGGCGGGTTTCGATATGCCTGATATCCGGATACCAGGGCTGACTCTGACCAACGTATCTTTGTCGTATTTGTTTTAGTTTTTGGCGACGGCTCCGTCGGCTTGGCAACAGCACGGGACTGTCCCGACCGGTAGCGTGAGTCAAGAGCCAATCTCATCGATCCTCAACTGGCCGAAAGTACGAGACTGATCTTGGATCTCGTTTACATCCGCAGGACCCGTACACGCAACAAAACCCTTGGTACAACTTTCACAACAGCCCGAATAGCGAACCCGTCTCGTTCGTCTCGTGCCCTCATCCGGCTCTCAACCGGTTCTTGCTCCCCAACGGAGAGCACGTCAGTTGCGCATACTGGAACGGTCTGTACATGATCACGGGGACGGATATCGGTAAGTGTCATCTTCCCTGTTCGGTGTACTTTTACGATCCGGGTACTCTGAGCTGATTTGTATTTCTCGTCTGACTCTGCTAGTCCGAGCACTGGCCTTCCGTTTCGAGGCGTTTGGGAGACCGGTCAAGACGGCCCTGGTAAAGAAGTTCGAGGAGGGCATCTTTTCCGACTTGCGAAACTTGAAGCCGGGCGAGGATTCGAGCTTGGAGAAACCCAAGGTGGGTATTGTCTTTAACACAAATTTGTAGGAAGATGCTGACTTGCAATTTATCCCTTGCTGCAGAGCGAGTTCCTAGACTTGCTCTTCAAGTACGGGTGTATTAGGACGCAAAAGAAGCAAAAGGTCTTCTACTGGTTAGTCATGGCGTACAAGTAGCAACCCGCTTGCTAGTGCTGATCACGATTTTTCGCGCTACAGGTTCTCAGTTCCTCACGATCGGCTTTTCTTGGATGCACTGGAACGTGATCTGAAGCGGGAAAAGGAGGGCATGGCTACGACGACCGAAATTATCGGCGAGCCCGCCCGGAGTTTCAGGTTAGTTGCTGTGCTTGGATGGGTAGAACAGGCCAGAGGCTCATGACCTATGTTGTTATGCTCCAGGTGGGATCCCACGAAGACTCTCTTTGAGCAGTTTGCTGCGTCCGACTTGTCGGCCATCAATGCTACCACCGAGCCCGTAGGTAGAGACTCCACATTCCATCGTTATGGCCGGTCTCTAACCGATGTATCCCTGCTCACCAGCTCGAACCCGCTCAACCCGGTGATGCCATTCCACCGCCCGAGTTCCCTGGCCAAGAAGAGGTGGACCGGGACCCGCTTCCTCAACTACCCCTGCCAACCGGTGTCGACCAGCGCAACCGACCGTTCTCGGTAACCCTGTTTGAAGGAAGCCCGCAGTACAAGCAGCGCAAGAAGAAGGACGCCAAGGCCAGAGCGCAAAAGAGGTCGGCTCTTGGCCAGGCCTTGTCCGACCTCGAAGACGAGGACGAAGGTCCCGATCGACTCGGCTCCGAGTACTCGGACGTCAAGCCCATCATCCCGAGAGAGACGCCAGACATCGTCGAGGGCGATTCTCGAGCGCCTTCTTCGTCCATGCCACCTCCACCCCCACCGGCACACAACGGACCTACGTGGAAGACCGTTCAGGACGAAACAGCACCTCGTGTGCAAGAGTCCAACGTCCGCCAAAGCTCTTTCGCTAGCGTCGAATCAGAGGGGGCTCGAGGTCAGAGCGCGGCTCCTACGGCTCCTGGTGTCAAGATGTTCCGGTGCCCACTGGACACGTGCGGGCGGTATTTCAAACGTCTCGAGCATCTGAAGCGACACGTCCGAACGCACACCCAGGAGAGACCCTACGTCTGTCAACGATGCGGGAAACGGTTCAGCAGGAGCGACAACCTGACCCAGCACATGAAGACCCACGAACGACAGGATCGGGGCGATCGAGCGAGCACGCAGATGACCGAGGACGACGAGTTTGCTCGCATGCTCGAAGCCCAGGTCGATCAGATGGCCGCCGAGATGGGTTATGAAGGTTCGATGTATGGAGGAGACTCTGGTGCATCGTCCTACTACGGAAGCCCTGCCATGCAGCCGATGGGGAGGATGGGCAGCGTGCCAAACTTGGGCATGCCGGCAGGGTATATGGCACCACCTCCGCCTCCTCTCGGTCGACACCAGTCTGTCGGGCTCGGCAACGGTGGAACCAGCTACGCCAGGGTGTCTTCGAACGGAGGTCCGGATAGGAACACCTTTATGTACCGACGTCAAGCTTCGATCCCGGCTTACCCGAGCAATCGGATGCGGTACATGTCACCCAATCCCGGTACCGACCCGCGAGCTCGTTTAGGATCGCCCGGGATGCGAAACTTCACCCCGGTACCCCAGCGAGCCGTCTCGGTCAGCGTGATCCCCCAGCAGACGTACATGGCGGCGAGTCCGTTCCAGGGTACCAACACCTTGCCGCCCATGAACAACGGGTACATGGCACCTAGCCCGGCTTCGGGATACAACGGCCAGATGCCTTTCGGTCAGCAACAGGACCCGTACAACGGCATGCCACCGCCTTCCGCCTTGAACGGTCAGACGTACGCTATCGGACCCGACGTCATGGTCGGTGGCATCAACCCGCAAAAGGTCCAGCAGCAGCAACAACAACAACAGCAATTGGATATGACCATGACGGGCATGTTACCGAGCGCGACCAGCAGCGGTGGAGGCAGCATCCATAACCCCTCCATGTACTCGCAACACTCTCAACAGTCCTACGTCGGAGGCGGCGACATGAACTCGATACCGCCCCAGTCGTCCTTGTCAAACGAGGGGATCCCCATGCAATCACCAGCGTCGATGGCGTTCGGGGGGATGCTCAACTCGGCAAGCTTTGCACCCAACTCGGCCGTCGAATGGCCTACTACGACGTCGGCCAACAGGTTCCCTGATCCCGGTCAGGAAGGACGATAGGTCTCGCCGTCCCTCCCCTCGCTTCTTGGCTTTGGAAGGCGCTGGTTCGCCGGAAACGATCAGAGCCCTACCCAGCTCGTCAGGATATCTACGTTACACCTGCCACTACTTTTGCATTACTCCCACCATCGATCGATTGTCTTTTCCTCTCTTACGAAAACCTCGCCTGTTATTGCCTTTACGACCTCCCTTTTTTCAGTTCATCTTTACGTTTTTCGGCTTTTCGGTTCCTTCTGTATGTCCGTTCCTGTCTGATCATCAACCTTGTCATAGTGTCATGAAGTATTACGATCCTGCATGCCGTCGTTGCCGTGAATGATGTCTTCGTTTCGAATAGCCTTTGGGCACGTTGGTCGCCCCGCTCCGTCCACCACCTGTCCCTGGCCATGTGACAGCACAGGCAGTGCTGATAAACCTACCACGCGTCAGCTTAATTTTATGCTGGCCGCCCTTCTAAATGCGTCGCGCGACGAGTCGCGCGACAACACAAATCCTGCGTACGTTGGAGACCTTAGCAAAACAAAAAAAAAATCGTTCCCGCCTATAATATCATTTCCACAAGAATGTTCCCGTGCGAACTTGTCGCTTTCCCGCCCAGTCATTTGTGGCGTCTCTCTCTATTTCTTTCACTCTCTCTTTTCAATCTGCATTTTACCAGTTCCAAAATTAATCGATTATACCAAGATTGCATGTACAATGGATATTATACTGATTGTTGTGACACACTCGACAGTAATATACAGTAGTAGAGCAGAATACATACAACATAAGGACAACATCGCATACACTTCACCTTATCCCTACTTCTTGTTCTTTTTGGGCTTCGGCCTTTCTCCCTTCCCGTGAGCCCCGACCTTTCTTTCTTCCTTCCCGCTTTCACTCGCTGTCTTACTCTTTCGGTTGTCGACCGTATCCTTTGCGATCTCGTCATCATCGTCAGAGTCTTCGTCGTCTTCGGAGTCCTTCTGACCTTCCGACTCGGTTCCCGCTACGTCTTCCCAGGGCGATGTCATCCCAGCTGTCGAACCGGGCTCTTCCACTTCTCGAATTCGACGATCCATATCCCGCGCTGCAGGATAAACAGCTCTCGCGAAGATGTCTCCCATCCGCTGCAGATATTTCCGTCCGGCGTTTATTCCCGGCGATTCGAAAATCAGGATAGACGATGTTCCCTCCGAGAAAGCGCCCGTTGTGAAAGTCACGGAGAATCTTCCCGTCCGTTCAGCAATCTCGACGTGCTTGGTCTTCTGCATCTCGACGTAGTGCCCGACCTGTTTTGTTCGCTCGTGAGCAGCTTGCTGAACATCGCGCTGGTCGTTCGATCCTTTCGGAAGGCTGCCCGGTCCCACAAAAGCTTCAGGAAGCCAGTCCGGGTCTGCCATGGAGTTCCACACGGGCATATCCCGCTTCTCCTTCCTCTGGAGACCCGCATAAAGGGTTTTGGGATCATCTAATTCGTAGACGAAATCGCTCGCTTCTGGAACCCATTCTCTGTTTCGTATTAGACATGAGTTCTCGCGTTAATAGCCCATTCTTTCATGTCAAGTTCCACAACATGACTCACCCATTCACAGCTGGCATGTCGTCGTCGCCGGTCGGGCCAAATGCCTCTGCGACGTCGGTGTCCACATCTCCCATGCTATAACAAAGCTCTAAGTCAACCCGCAGTCGTCACAGACCCGCGAGCGCACTTACTCTATGTCGGCGACATCCTTGCTGGATGGAGTTTCGTTCCCGCGGTTTGTTCCTCCATTCCCGCCGGTATCGATACCCCCCATAGTAACATCGCTGTCGCTCTGACTCTCGACATCCGCACTTTGTCGGTCAGCGTTGCGAACATCTCTGCAAATATCGTACTCATCAGTAAGGGAAACTGATGATACATTCGCAGGGGAGACACTCACTTGTTGCCTCCCTGTAGCTCCCTATCCACCCGCTGCTCCGCTTCCAGGGCTTCCTTGCGCAGTGCATCGTTGTCGAGGTCGATCTCTTCAGTCAAGGCCGGTTTCGACCACCGGAATTTCTCTTCCAAGATTTGAGATTCGCACTCAACAACTTGCTCTCCGATTTGACTATCCAGCCTAGGATAGTGAAACTGGCAGACGTAAGTCCCCACCTCCCGCGCAATGAACATCTTCCCAATCACCCGTGCTAGGACCTTCTCGCGTAGACGACAGCGTGTTCCAAAAGTCCGGCCATCCATTGTACCGAGCCGAAGTTGCCAAAGCTCGCTGAGGTATGCCGCCCAAGTTTCGGTATGGACAACGATATCGAGCTTCTCCCCGATATGGGCCCGTAGAGCTTCCCTTCCAGCGCTGATGAGCGGTCTCGAAGCTAAGTTGCGAAGACCGCGCAGCGCTACCTCGGGATTGGCGGTGGCGATGCTGGAGTCGAAGGCTACTGGCATTGATACCGCTCCTCCTTTTCCCGTCCACAATTCTCGAGCGCGGGAAGCGATGTCCGCCCACCTATGTCTTGCCTCCGGTAGGCGTTTTGCGTCTTGCAGTTTTGACAAGGTAGTTGCGAGCCTTACTCCATCGGTACGACGAAACATATCCAGCACGGGGATCCATTCGCTCTCATAAAATCGCCCCGCTCCTATGAGTCGACGGAGATAATGCAGTTCCCCTGGAAGAGACGACTCTGCCTTGTATCCCGCCCGGCTGGCGAAGATCGTCGAGATGATTCCAGCAATGGTCATAATGAATGCGGGACTTGCGCCTCGCATCCATTCCCGTCCCATGAAGTACCCTTGCTCCCAACCAAACTGCCGAATCTCCAATCCCGCTGCGACCCTTGAATCGCGGGCTCTTTGAAGCAGAGACCTCGAATGCAGCCAAAGTTTCTTCTTCTCCGGCGTGTCGCAAGCGATCGGTAAGCCGTCGATGCCAAGTTGACCGCGGGTTTCGATGGGAGAGTTGCCCAACAATTCGTCTACGGCTTCAGCGGCTTGGTCCTCAATACGCTCGATCTCGCTGAGCAGCTCGCAAGCACGGTCGAGAACGGATAACTTCATTCCCGCAAGTCCATCCGCTCTCTTCAACAGTTCCCGCTCCGATACTCCACGCCAGTAGTCGTCCTCGGCTTCGATGACTTGTATCGCCATGCCGAGCGCCTGGTTCTCCTCAACGTCAAGCCCAAAGTCGCCACCCGGGCGGTACTGTCCGCCACCGCTAAATGCGCCGTCGTAGACTCCAGAGTCCCAGCATATCTCGTAGAAGTCGCAAAGACGTGCTGCTGTCGGACGTCCATCTGCCCCAGCCAACGCTGTGATCTTGACCCATTCTGCCGGGTTCCATCCTTCCCCAAGGATTTCTTCAACGCGAGCAATACCTTCCCGCGTCCACGTGTCAATCGTCGATTTCCTATTCTTCAAGTGGTCCCGTGCAAACCGAAGAGCATCGCAAAGACCGTAAGGATTCTTGTATCGAGCCGTGGGGAATGGCTCTTCCCAGCGAGATCCTGAACGGTAGATCGGTTCCCGCAAGTTTTGATGCATCCCGTATATAGCGCTGCCGAGCCAATCCTTTTCTTCCTTGTGCGATTTGGACGGCGTTGGAGGCTGTTGGTCGCGGTTCGAGGGGGCACCAAACTCGTCCACACTCCTCTCCCTACGAGCTCTCCCCTTCACTTCTACCTTCTCGGCCATGCCTTGTCTGGTTCTCACAGTTGAAGAACCCGGCAGCTCGAACTTGGATAGCGGGAACCGCTCTTGAAACTTCGCCAAGCTTTCCTTGATTCCCTTGTCGTCTATCTTGTAAGATGACTTAGGCACAGCTGGGGCGGGACGCGTCAAGCTGATCGTCGGTGTATCCCAGAGCTCAAATGGAACCGTTCCCGCTGGATGAGACAAATTTTGTATATCCTTGTCCTATGTATAGCAATCGCATACGCATCAGCACTCGCAATCACTTTCTAGATCCCCAAGAGAATATCGCAAACAAAAACTGACCTTTCCCGCTGGACCTTCTTCACTCTCACTTCTGGCCTTCGCGTTCCCGTCCTTTCCGGCGTCCAACTCTGCATCTTTCCCCGTGCTTGCTGCGGCGTTGTTCTCGGCGTTGCTCTTGCCATCTTTGCTTTGCTGACCTTCCCGTCCAAGATTTGCCTTAGGGATTTCATAGTCGAGATCAAACTCAAACTCTCCCAAAAGGTCATCGTCTAGGGAGGCCCCCAACGTTTGCATCTAAATTCCATTAACACAATCAATATCTCAATCGCAAGGAACGGCCTGTGATTAGCCTCGTCAACTTACCCCTTCCCTTTCCGCTCTCTCCTTTTCCGCCTCATCTTCGTCCATATCCTCCACCGTCGCCGCCAAATTCTTGCGAACGACCTGCAAGATTGCCAGGGACAATAGTTAATACACGGGGCAGGTTGCTGCCGAATCGAATCGCTCACCGGTTTCTCCTTCCTATCGTCTTCCCTCTGTCTGTCCGACCCCTTCTGGCTGGACTTCTCCTCCTTGTCTTCCGGTCTCAAGTTCTTTTCCAACTGCTCTCCCGTTCCCGCCGCTCCTGCTTCACCTTCCCGTCGCTCTTCCTTCGTGGTATCGATAGGGGGAGGCGGAGTAAGTGGGGTCGAGCTCCGTGAACGTTCATGCTTTCTTTTTAGCGGGACCTGGACGTCCTCCTTGTTGGGTAAGATCTTTACTTTTTTATCCTGGCGAATACATCAAGATACAATGTGATATACGATCAGTACAAACATCGATATGCCGTATACCTTATAATAGCACTTACATCGGGACCCTCAAGCGTCCCCTCTGCCTTCCGCTTACTCTGTCCCTTCCGATTCGCAGCGTTGATTAAGCACTGCTGTCTTTTGAGCTCTTTGAGTTCCTTCTTGCTCAGCTTGGGCTTGGGCTGTTTCACTTCAGTTCGGGCAGCGTTTTCTGACATGATGTGAGGATAATGAAGATATTATCGAGGCAGATACAGTTGTAAAACTATGAAAGTTCGCGATATGAGTTCGATTTCCTGCACACACGCACGCCTCGAGTACAACTCTCGAGCGGTGTTTATCAGCTCGTATATATGTATATCCTTCGACGAAGCCGATATACAGACTTACCTTCTTTGTTCCCCAATATTATGTCGATCCGCGCAGTTACTTTTGTCTTCTGTTTGAAGTTATCGATATGTTGACTGGTTAGAAGTGGTATTGTTATTGTGCGGGAAACACAAGTCTTTTGTTTTGATTGTGGGACCTGCCTTTGAGCTCTTTGTTCGACGACACGTGGGAAGCCGGAGCACCAGAGTTAAGGCGTTATTCGTCATTCCCGCTGATCTGCGCGGGAGAGTTCTTATTCCCGCCTACTGAAAAGTAAACAGATCAAGTATTGCAAGTGAAAGATTTGGCAGTCCGAGCCATACCTTCATTACCAAAACTTCGACAGTTGTTTTAGAGCACGCTAGACTTACCCATTCACTCCTCGATACTTGATCATTACCTTCGGCTCTGAACTATTTGAATCATCAAGATGGATCTTTTCCCCCATAGCCAAACCCTCGCTTCTGCATACGAGAGTGCTAGCCTGGTTGATAACCATATCGACCCCTTCGCTATCCCCAACAACGGACATGTCGACCCCTTCGCTATCCCCAACAACGGACATATCGACCCCTTCGCTATCCCCAACAACGAACATGTCGATCTCGTCACCACCGGCAACCAGTTTCAAGACGACCTTGACCTTGGGGAGGAATTGGATGTAAGGACTGGGAGAGCCGATCAGGTCGGCCAGTTAAACTACAATCTCGCTGTGCAAGACATCCTCAGCTCGCTGCGCACGCAGTGTTCGGAATATGCAACTAAGCTCAATGTCCGACCACAGAGACTACTATACTCTGTTCTTAATATAAGCGAGAAAGAAAAGAAAAGCCGCAAACTGAACGAGTGGCAAGCGTGGGTGCATCTCACTGCCAAAGACCTTAGTAAGTGGAGCTGGTTCCTTTCCCGTTCGCTCCCCCTTCCAGATTCCCGTTGCACAGAGCTGAAACTGGTTGTCGCCTTTCAGAACTTTCAGCTACCAGCGGTAATTCTACGCCAACTACCAATGCACCTTCCACCTCGGCTGTTGGCGTTCAAGAGCAGTTCGCGACCCTCCAGGCCGAAGCTAAGAAGAGAAAGGCTGCCAGTCATTGGTCACCCGATGTTATTGAGAGGACAGTACAGGAGTTGGAGAGAAAACGAGCGGAGGACAAGCGCCAATCCAAAGCCACGTTGCCGAAAATGAAAGATACTCGGAGGTTACAAGCGTATCGGGGTAACGCGGTCATGCAGGACGTTTCTTTACAGGTCAGTCAACGTCTTTACGTCGCCGCGGCTGGTACAACGCTCTGACATAACGGCGGGAATGTTCGAAATCCTCCCATAGCTCTCCCGACTTCACGAGAACTATCAAATTGCCGGCTTTCTCCTGCTTATGCCTCTCGATGCAGACCATCCTTTCATGCCCCAGGCTGTTGTTAAGAGTCCTTACCTTGAGGCGGTATTGCAAAAGCGCTGGGGCATCGGCGGGAACGACTCCGGACAGAGCCAGGCTGTTCTCCTGTCAATCCAGGCAGCGATTCATGAGCTTCGTGCTCGCCGTCGTGAGTGTGGCCTGGGCTGTCCCCATCTCTAGCGACTAAATCTCTCTCCCTCTCTATGCGCTCAACAGAGGATGCCTACACCGCTGCTGTGACGGGAACCGGCTCCACTGCCTCACTTGCGGTCCAGCATTCCCGTCTGTCGTTGCAAGCTCAGCGATCGCGATTGACAGAGGAGATTAATAATGTCATGAGTGCTGGACTCAGCAAGAAGATGACTACAGTTCCTTGGACGGGAATGAATGTGGTCTGTTTGGAGCGGGATGTGTGGTGGGAATGCGTTAAGGTTGACTTCGACTGGGGGTTGGTGCGTGAAGGGCGTAAGGAAGCGGTGCGTGTCATTGGCCAATAGTTTGGTAACTGCGCTGATCCGGGCGCTTCCCTGTTCTTCAGCTCTTGTACCTGGGTGAAATATATGTCAAAGGGCAACTTGTCCTCAAGAGTATCAATGATTACGATGCCGGTTACGCTACCGCCATCCGTACTGCATTGAAACAGATGGCCTTGAAAAACGACAACAAGGCTGCGATTAAGCGATTTTTTGGGAGTAATCCCCCATCCTTCTCGTCATCTGAGCTCGACCGCTGCATAGCACAGCTTCCCGTCTGTATGGACTTGTAGACCTGTTGGCGTCCTATTTAATAACCCTCACTTCGGCACTGAAGAATCAAACGTTCATGGCTGGCGGCGGGAATCAATACTCTCAGCATCTAATGACTGGGTCGACGCCAAGCCTTACAGCGAGGGTCGAGGTCATGTTCCCGGACTGACGAGGGACCGAGCCTATGGCGACGTTTACGTCGCCATGGACTCGGTCCAGAGGCGGTCCGGGAACATGACCTCGACCCGAGCCCGGGGTAAACGCTTACAGCTTATATATTACTGGCATAAAAAAGGGGAGGGATGCAAAAAGGTTCAGACGGTATATAGAACGACGAGGTAACCTCTGGCGCACATCGATCAAACAATGAACTATTGAGACCCTCAGTCATATGTTCCGGAAAGAACCACAAAGAGTCCTCGATGAGAGATATCTGGCCGTTCCCGCGATCCCCGGTTAGCGATTCGTGTTCCCGCAAAAATCTCGCGCGTTCCCGCACGCAAAAAGTTCATTCCCGTCGTCAACTCGAACCACGTACCACTTCATCCCAACAAAAAGGTCGCATGTGAAGATCGTTACTACTGCCCGATCGGTTCTTACGTGTTGTTTTACTCAATCTGTAAGGTGGATTGAGTAAAACGTGAGAAGGTCGTCGTCATGACATGTATATCTGGAAGCTGATGGGCATGTCCAGATGGCGAACATATATTTCTTGAAGGCTGATGTTACGGTCGGGCCTAGTGGTATCGGAAGGCTAGCCTAGGTGGAAAGGGTCAGTGGAAATCGTGCTGAGGCAGAGATACTCAACGTTTGGTGTTGTTATTGGTGTTGATTGTTAATGTTTGCGTTGACGTTGGTATTAACGTTTGTGTTGGCGTTGGTATCAACGTTTGTATTGGTAACAGCTGAGAAGTCGGCAGGTGTGTCGACGATCAAGATTTATCAGGTAGGCGCAGGACAGGATAAATCGACACAGCAGCGCCATCACCCCAACATGAAACGCCAGTCTCTACTTCATAATGAAACAATTGACCGAGTCGCATTCGATTGGTACCGCAAGCACGCTCGCTGCCGGTGCAACATATGTAAGTGTTATTGTCTTGTGTCCGAGCATCGTATTTGCGGCAGGTCTCTATTAGATCACGTCTCTCACGTACCAATGTCAGGCAGGCAACGGCATGACCGGCGACATCGAGGTGATGATATGAAACATTCCCGCGCGCTGGTGAGAAGCCGTGTCTCATCATCAGTCAAGAGTATAGTGCTTCATATTGTCGGGACCTCACTCGCTGCTACTACAATCACTATATATCTATATTCCCGTCTGTATATTGGCCAAGATAGCCTTCCCGTCCCTCGGAGATCACACGCACACACACGATCACACAAAACGCGGTCGGTAGACTTGAGTCGGTAAAGTCTCTGTTTGAATTCACTCGTTAGCCTCACTGGTTTTCCAGACCAAGAAGAAGTGAGCGTACCAGTCTAGCTCAACGGGCCCATGCGTCCGTTATGGAAGCAGGTACACCTCAAACGAGCCAGCCTGACTTCCTCCATAAAGACCGTCCAAACGGACATGTCGGCGGCGGCGGGAACGCGAGCTTCCACTTGCTCAGTCGAATATCCGAGTCGTCGGAGTCGAGGTCGCAAAATGTGGATGCGGTACAACGCCGCGGCCACAGCTGACCAAGACTGGGGAGTATGTTCTTTGCAGAGTTGGTGGTGCTGCATATGGTGAAACAATCCCTGCCCGAACCAGTAGATTTCTCGCATGTCCTCCCACCGAAGCGTCTCGTAATTGACGGTAGCCAAGATGTATTCCCGCGCATCGTCAATGGCCATCATGATGATCTCCTGTCGCACCAGTATTGCGTATATATCAGTTATCCATCAATGGCGGGGCACGAGAAGGAGAACGTACGTGACAGAGCCATTGGGTGTATGGCTCGTTGCAATACGCCAGCAGAGGGTATTCGAAAGGCCTCCTTGCGGGAGACATGAAGTCGGGCAGGGACAAATTACGAGCATGCAATCCCGGCGGGAACTGAAGCAGCCCAAGGTTATCGTTCCACCTTAACATAATTCGAGTGCCGTTATAAGGTTCCCAGATCAGACAGGGGATATTCTCCCGCCTGTTCTGCCATAGCTTGGGACATTCCGGAAAGTAAGCCCGGATGTAGCCTGGAGGGGGTCCCGGCGAGTATCGAGGGGGCTGAACGGGAAACAGCGGGACTCGCAGGTCGTTGGGCGGCTGGGCTGGTCCGTTCTGGTAGACGACGCGACCTTGGCTGTTGACCGTGAAAGGTCTCCCCGCAGCATCATGAAGGACAACACCAGGGGCAGTGGGTTCGTAGACCAAGACAAGGTCGTTGGCGCCGGCGGGAACGGACATCGTCGATATGTTGTGCGCCTTAAGTTACTATCTAGGTGGTGGGAAGAAGTAGGTGGACAGAAGTACACTTAAAGGTAAAAGTTGGTTGGAAGTGATATGAAGAAGTTGAAGGTACGTCGCTGGTACGGTAGATATATATAGGGTTTGCATAATCGCAAAAATGATGGTACGACATCATACTCCAAGTGGACCGTTCCCTTCTTCACAAGGGAGACAAAGGACCCAAAGGATCGGCAGTGTATCCGAGAAGCACGAAGATCTGGAATGTACCCTCCTTTAGCCTCACCAGGGCCCGACGAGGTGTTCTAGGGACCGAAGATCATTGCGTTCCTGGGCTCGGTTCGCAGTTGAGTACCCTCCTTTCAATTATTTCTTCCTAAAGGTTCGATTTGCCGCACCGATGCGACCGCGGGAACGGAATAACACACGGCGGGAACAGCATTACTCTGCAGCTTCCAGTACATCATCACCGATGTCATTAAGTCCAGGTAATTGTGCTTCATTTTGAGGGTCGTTGCCTTCCTCTGGCACGGCAGGTAAACGACTCGATTCCGGGAAATGCAAAGACATTTGCTCGGATGTGTATGGGTTCCGGGAAAACGATACTGCACGGTCGGCCGCGATGTGATATGTGCTCGGAGATCTCGCCGCTGAAAACATGGCGGGAACGTCCAACTTGCACAATTCTTTCTGCCAAGTGTCACTCCTCCGGTTTGCTTGCTGTAATTTCTCTTGCAGCCTGAGGAGGGCAAGCATAGGAATGATTGTAGTGGGATAGCGGTCCGGATTCACGCTGTCAGGAGATTCATCCCAAATTGCCGATATAGGGAGTTTTAGGGGGCGGGAATTGATGGCGTCAGATATTCTTTCTGGTTCCGACTTGATCCATAGTTGAAGTCTAGAGATCTCGATCTCTAATTGCTTCAACTCGGAGGTGGCGCAAGCGTGTAGTCGGGCTTGGCGAACTCCCTCCCGCATGGTAGGTTGCACCCAATCCTCCTGAGAGAAGCTGGCTAGTCCATCTCGAGCTACTGCAAATGCTTGAGAGACGGAGTCTTGGTCTCCCTTGAGAGCGTCCCGCTGCATCAAAGCTGGCTTATGTTGAAGTGGCAACTGTGTCCAGGCTTGGGCGTAACGTTTGTACGCGGCTTCGATCCCCTGCGTACGAGATCTCAATGCCCCTGCGATCTTTGCTCTCATTTTATAATTCGTTCCAGGTCGACAGCACCTCTCTGCCTCTGCGAACCTGTCGACACAAGCAAGCTCAAGCGCGTCCAGAGCCTGGTTGTACGCATGACGGAGGTGGAAGACCTTCCCGCGCTGACCATCCGGGGAGACTAACCATTCGGCCAGGCGGGAATCGTTTTGAAAGCTGGCAACCCGCCCTTGCCCACCAAGGAACTCGACTAGTCGAGTTTGTGTGTCATGTAACTTTTGTGACGCAGCAGCCAGTTGGGCAAATGATGACCAATCTTGGACTTGGCTTTGAATGATATCGAGGCTGTGGGTGATTGCGTTGGTTCTGGTAAGTGCAATCCACTGGTTCTTGGCACGTAGGTAATCTGTACCCAATAACCAAAGGCGAGCATGATTCAGACCGGAGTTATAGCTCTCGGTGGTGGCAGCGGATGCTTCACGTGCGCGAGCCAGTTGCTCTTGGTCCCAGAGGCGATTGAAATAGTCCAGGGAGAATTCTGGGCGACGATGTTGCTGGCGTAGGCGGGAAATGTTGGCCAGACTGCTTTGTTGGATGGTCTTTGCTTCCCGCCAACCCTTAAGTATATTGGTAGCTGCCAAGAACAAAATTCATGAGGGAACGATGAGCTATAGGGCCGGAAGAGTCTGCCTCACGATGGCAAACTGACCTAAATGTAACAGCTTGTCGCTATTCCACTGCTTTATGACCCATTCCAGCTGTTGATGCCGGTGGTATCGTGTTGCACTGCGTGTGACACCCGCAATCCCGTTGGTATAGGAAAACAGCCTTTCGCAGCCTTCGAAGTCCTCTAAGCCAGCTGTGGATGTCAAGCGTGGGTGATACCGTACTTGGCATTCACGATTGTGTGCATATCCGTGCCAAGCGCCAACATCTGTCCAAGTTACGGAGATTAAGGACTGGGAACTGACGGCGGGAACGGGAGGCGACTCACGGAACTGAATGCGGGAATCCGATTTGGCTAGGCGGGAAAGCAGTGGGGCATGCTGGAATGTTTTCGCAAAGCTGCATCCTATGTCATAACCGAAAGATATGCGACCAGAGTATCTCTCTCCGAGCCACTTGACTAATGCCAAAGGGAACTTCGCGTTTTCGTGCTCCTTGATCATGTCCGTATAGGCGAGGACGACTCCATGGCGACAGATGAGCGGAAACCAACCCATCTCGTCGTACCGTAGGGATGCTCTGGGTCGTTCTTTTGCTGCTGTCCAGTGGGAGGAGCAAGGTCCAAGGCTGTCCTTTGCTGCCGGCTTGGAAGTAGCCTGGCCAGTGCGAGAGGGACCCGTTCGCTGTGCAGAGATAGTCTGCCCAGCAAATTGATTGACATACTCAGAGGTCAAGCGGAAATTGGATTGATGGTCTTGATATGCTGTACCAGGCCGATCCCGCCGTTTGAGTGAGTTGTTCCCGTCCAATGCCGCACACAGGACGTAGTCGTCAATCCCTAACTTGCCGTCCGCGGGAAAGCAGAGTGGGCAGCTTTTTTTATCCAAGGGCAATTTTGATGGTAAACAGAACGCGGGTTGGGCTTCGTTTCCGGGGCGAACGCTGCCCAGAAAGGGGTCTTCAAGGGGCGCATTAACGGGAACAGCTGAAAGAGACGATGTTTGAGAAATGATGACGTCCTCCTCTTTCTCCATGTGCTGGATGATCCGATCGTACAGGTCAACGCAGAAGCTAAACCTTTCCCGAATACTTTCACTGTAGGGTATCTGGACAAGTGACTATGCCTCAGTGAAAATCTAGCATGGATGTGATAGTCAACGCGACTTACCTGATTGTAATCACACAGTGAGCGAACGAACGCAACTCGGGAGATTTGGGAGTGACAAAAGGAGAGATGGTAGAATTCGATTGTCCGAATGCTGAAAGCCAAAGATGGGCGATGGAGTTTTGATGGCAGATGGCCAAGAGCAATGACGTGGGCTGCAACACCAATGGGGCTCCGTTCCCATTCTGTGCGGCAGTACGAGACAGTACGGCAAGCTGGAAGATTGCAAGCGGGAATCAGTGACTGGGCATTCCCGTCAAAGATATCCACGAACAATATGTGTCGAGGAGGAGCATTGTCGCAGCTGTCGATTGGTCGATGGGCCCGCTGGGCCAAGTAGGTGGTTGAATCGATGGTGGTCGATAGCGGAACTTGAAGAATTGAATGACAAGGGCGGGAAGGAGGCTTTGCAGACGGGTTTGCTCTTGCTGTCGCTCAGATAGGTACAGGCTGAAGAAAACAAGAGGAGTCTGTCGGTTCGCGGATCAGGGTGGAAGCACACCTTCACTCACGATTGATTAGCTCCATCTTCCCCCATGTGATCCAAGTCCTGTAGCAGCGCAGCATAAGCGTCTGGCTGACGGGAAGGGGGAGGGTCATCATCGAATACAGATTCGAAGAAAGGGTTGTTGGGTGCGTCGTTTGTGGGTTGGAGTCTAGGTGAAGGGCCATTGGAGGACGTATAGTTGTGAGGACCTGTTCCATTTGGGCGGTGGCCTGCAAAAGATAGGGGAGTGGCCCGGTACTTGTGGTTGTTCAGCAGCCGTGATCGAGCGTGATAGTCGATCTTCGGAGGAGGGGTTGGTGTCACTGGTTCTTCCCACAGGGGGAAGAGATGGTCGCTGTTCCGACGGCGACGTTTCTTGGAGGGGGTTCTGGGAATAGGGGTGCTGGTAGATGCCATAGTTAAGGCAAGCAGGGAGAGTACAGTGAGATCAATATCTTCGATGATGGTGGATGTACGGAGTGAATATAGGTACAACGAAGAGACGATTCGAGGATGGCAGGGACGGTGGAATTGTAAACAAACTGAGATCGCATGACATAGCTCGCCGCGGGAACGTTATCACGAGCAGCGGGAAGCATAACTATCAACATGAAATAGACCACTGTACAAATGAAAATGGGAACATGGTATACAGCTTCAATACTCGTCGGTAACATGTCGTCGTTGAAGTCGGTTTTGGGCGAGTTCGATGGCCATATGTCGGCGAGCATCGTGTTTCGGTGCTGGCTGATTGCAGACAGCTCCCAGGTCCTGGATTCTACAGATGGCCTCGATATGCTGAAGCATGAAGACGCCGCAGTTTGAGGAATCTTCTTGTTGCGGAACAGGCTATTAAAAAAGCGAGGGAATATTAGGCACGATTGCGAAATAGACAGGGCCGTCCGATCTCGAGACAACTCACGGGAAGCGAGAACGACCATTCCGCCTGGACTAGTGGGGTACCCCGAAACTTTAGATGAAGCTCCGACAACCAGGTGCCGATCATCTGCAAGACCAAGAGCGAGGTACCAAAATCAGTCAAAGCATCCAACGCATACGCTGCGATACTGACCTGGAAATGCTTGCGGCAACGCGCAAGGGCCAGGTTTCCCGTATCACTATCCTCAGCGGCGATGTTGTTCTGACCCTCCAGAGCGGCGGGAACGTGAGAGAGCGAATCGAGGATCGCGATATTTTTGGCGGGAATGTCAATCACGACAGCAAACCAGTGAAACTGCGTGATGTTCCACGGAAGGGCGTGAAAGCGATAATCAAAAGGATCCAAATTTTCCTGTATGTGCAAGAAGAATGTGTTAATTCCGTGTGGCATGCCGACTACAGAATGAGTTGCGAGCTCACCTTTTCAAACCAAGTAGCCATCGGCACCAACGACTGTTCCCGCTTGGTATACCGAGTCTGAATTGCAGGGCAGATTTGAGACGAATGGACGAATGTGGGTACGCGACCAGATGGGAGTAGCTGATACGTCGATTGTCGCCAGTGAATAAGAGTGAGATATGCATCGATGACTTGATCGTTCAACCATTCTCCTTTAGCAAGACTCGAATAGATGCGAGGATATTCTTCGATCAGAGCGATTGCGGTCGGGGATGTCTGGTACCACGAAGGAGGGGATGTGACCTCCGGCGCCGGGCAGGTCAAGTGTGTAGATTCTGCACCAAAAACAGGCCGCTGCTCCGTGTCGCAATGAGCGATGAGGTATCTAGCCTGCGGGAAGGGAGAGCTGATTGATATGGTGTCAGGGCATGAGATAAAAGCAGGTAGAACTCACGTATTTGCGCAGAGTCTCCGGCAGGTCCGTGGTGAAGAGGAGAGAGGGAGGCGAGAGGACACGTTCGGCATTGCGGGAAAGTTGGGGAAGTTCGACTCCAAATAGGTCGGGTTTGACCGATGTGAAGCTCAGGGCGGCGGGAATCGATGGTAATTGAACGTGGAGAGATGGTGGAGGCGGTTCGGACGGATCGTCCGATAGCCGTGCTCGTCGGGCAGCACGCATCAAAGCGTTGTGGAGCGCCTCCGCGTCCGTTTCTGTTGGACGAATGGTAGCTACATATTGGTATGTGAGCTTTTGATCGGAGGGGGTGGCGGCAGGGGTAGCGGGTGTGGCGGGCGGTCGATCCCTCATAGCGGCGGGTGGGGGGGAAGAGTATCTGGCTCTGAGCGGGAACGCGTTGGGCTTGACGGCAGACTGCGCGGGAAGAGGCTTGATGGGGCGGGAATGCTCATCGCCCGCGAGTCTGTCTGTAACATCGCATTGCAGAGGTTAGCGGTCAACTTAAGAAGGGTGCAGAGGAAGACACAAGATACGTACTGAATTCGGAGAACAGGTCGACCGACAGTTTCAAATGATGTTTGAACTGAATAAGAGCTTCGCGGGCTGCGGGTGGCACAGGGTCTGCGGTGAGATGTATTGAAACCCCGGCAAAAGTCATAAAACCGACGTACCTCTACCTTCCGGGACCGGCAACTCCTCAGCACCGGATGTTACCCACGAGGATACTGCCTTGAAAAGTTCGTCCCTGGATTCGGTTGTCTGGTCTGGACTGTCGATGATGGCAAAGCGGTAGCCACCATACTCCGCAGGACTGAGCATGAAGTTGTATGGGGATCAATACAAACAACAGACAATGACAGCAAGCTCGTTCAGTCACTAACTCCAAGCCATTCAGAACCGTCGACATATCCGCCACCAACTTCAAATAATGGCGGGAACGGTCGACCTCATCCGCTGGTGGTCCGGTTGCCGCGATCGGAAGGATTACAAGCTCGGCCGGGTCTTGAGTCGGAGTTTTCGGACGATTGGACGCAGAGCCATTGCCTAGAATTGGCGGGAAAGAAAAAGTTGAGGTGGGCATATGTGAGTACCAAGATGATGCTGTTCCCGCATTGAATCCTTGGCTCAGACTGACCGGTCGTACTTGACATCGTTATAGCTTCGAGGTTATGCAGAAGTTATTTCAAGGGATTGTAAGGTAGTGAGTCGAGGCTGATATGCTGGTGCGAATAGAGAATTTTCCTCGAGGCTATGAGTGCATCTGTGCGTGTGTATCTGCGCATGTTTATATATACATCGTTCAAGCGATCGTACAGAGCTGCATCAATGGACAATAGAGAGGTACTATGGATATGCATCCAAACGATAGGAGGTCGTCCAGACAATAAGCAGATGGAAGACTCGCGATATGAAACGATTTAGAGTAAGGTTATGGAACGGTCGAATTAGCGGGAATGCAAAAATCGCTTATTGTTATGGGCGGGAACGTCATATCTCGACGGGAACGGTGGACAAAGCAAAACAAAAACAAAAAGATCAAAGGAGGTCTCGATAGTCACGTGAGGCTCTAGTCGAGAGACCTCATCGCGCGACTCGTCGCGCGGTGCTTTCTAGAAGGGCGGCCAGCATAGGATTAAGCTGACGCGTGGTAGATTTATCAGCACTGCCTGTGCTGTCACGCAGCCAGGGACAGGTGCGTCCACCGTTGAGCTTAGCCGAAGTTGACCGGATCCGCTCGAGCTCGCTCAAACCCGACGATGCTGACCTGAGGCCAACTCTTGAATCCTACTTCTATTCATCTTGCACGACCTCGAGCGTCACCTTCACTTGTGCAAGCCTATCAGATAGCGGACAGTCATCATTCACAGTCATCATCCTCTTTGAAACGTCATCATCGTCGTCCACGTCTACCCCGGGGTCGCGGCCGGTAACTTATCGAATCACCCTTCGAGCCAAGTCCAGCCCAGATCGAAAGGCCTTCTTTCACCGAACAACTACCTCGCCCGCTCGAACTTTCCCTTGTCCTTTCCTTCCCTTTGATGTCTTCCTCACAACAACAACAACACTGGTCTCGAGGGCAAGCATTCCAATACCCCATACCACCCAGGTACACTAACGCTCCAAACGCTGTGCCGGATCTACGTAACTTGCAACATCCTCCTTGGGCGCACCCTAGCCCGACGCAATCACAAACATCTGCGCAGCCGCCCGGTCAACCTCGTCCGGACAGAGGACCATCTTCTTCTTCTCAGGCAGGTACCGTCGAGCGAAATCCATCTAGCTCGAACACGAACAAAATCGTCCGGGAGGATACCGGGAGACCGCATGATCTGTGGCGCGACATCAGTAAACTCGATCCAGCAGCTGTAGCCAGGGTGATAGCGAACGGTCAGATGCCCCGATACCTGCCGAACACTCACCGACCAGTGAATAGCTCTTCCCACATGCAAGACCAGATGAGCGGGAGGTCCGGGTCGGGTACCGGTTCAAATCATGACCATCATCATCAAGGAAACGGAGGGGGACAAGGGTCGTCATCCTACCGAACTGAGCGAAACCAAGGACAACCCAGAGGAGGAAACAACGACTCGAGACGAGAGTGGTATCAGCCACAACAATTGCAACAGACCCAACAGACTCCCTCGAATCAAGTCTATCTTGGTGATCCGACACCAATGCATTCGCCCTACCGGCCCGTCTCTTCCAAGTCCTCCGATTTTTCGTACGACCAATTGCAGGCTGTCCTAGAAGGTTCGGCTCGGACCCCATCTTCGGCTTCTCAAACCAATGAGAGAGTACAAATGCAAGTACCTCAGACCGAACCGATCTCGCATGCCGTGCCCCTCTCCGCAAGGTCTCCTCAAGAAACGGAAACACAGCCTCGCCCCAACTCGGCTCCGTCCAAACCTCGGCTTCAAGTCACTTCGCCCAGATCTGCTCAAAGCGGCTCGGGAGGCTGGGTGGACGTGCTTCTTCGAGCCGCTGCTGAACCAACACCCGCTGCCGAGGTCGGGAATCCTATGGAGCTCGCATCAGAGGTGATTGCGGTACAGCCCGAGAGGTCTACCGCGAAAGATATGGAGGCTATGGACCAGGAGATTGTGATTATCGATAGACCACAGCAAACTACGAAAAAGCTCGGAAAGTCTAAGCAAACGAATGCTCAGACTGTGCCTGTCAATCAGGACGACGGTCAGGTGACCGGTGTTCAGCCTAAGCCGAAGAAAGTTCGCATTCCCAAACCTCAGGCCAACGGGGCTGTCAAGGCGGCTGCTAAGAAGGATCTCAAGGTCAAGGCCAAGAAGACCAATAAGAACAGGTCGTACTCCAGCGACGACGACTCTGAATTGACTTCGCTCTCGGACGAAGACCCTCGGATCACCCATGTTCAGTTGTCCCCGTCTACCCATACTGTTCCCGTGCCAAGTGGTAACGGTCGGCTAGACGTCGATCTTGGCAGTGATAGTGCCGATCAGCCTCGAAAGTCGAGTCGTCAACGCAAACCCAATATCCGACTGCTCGATCAGATCGATCACGCTACTGGAACCGACGCACGTCGGGCGATCAACGGTAACGGCGCACAGCCGGACGAATCAACTTCGAGACCAGGTTCAGGCTCCGGTCCGGGTTCAGGGGCGTCATCGAGTCGACCTAAACGGATGGCCTCGGGCGCAGCTCAAGTCAAGATCGAACAGGCCGTGGAAAAGTTTGGTCCGATAAGGTCGGGCTCGGCAGAGGTCAGATCGAGGACGGCCGAGCTGTACGAGCTCGAGCAAGAGTTGTTGGAGAGGCAACAGGCCGACCAGCTTGGACCGGTGCCTTTCCCGACCCCAACCTCCAACCAGGGTGGAGGACAAGCTATGGACGTGGATGTTCCCAAGGTATCCCCGTCTATCAAGAGGAAACGAATAGACTCGCTACCCGCAAGCCCCGTGATACAGCAACAACACGCCTCGCCCAAGGTTCATAATGGCAGACGCAAGGCTGCAGACGTCGATAGCGACTATACCGATACCTCTCGAGCCAGTCCGAAGAGACATAGGAGTAACAAGCACAAGGCGATTGTGCTTAGCGACTCCGAACCCGAGGCGAAAGCTCGTAAGCGTTTTTCCGGTCCTTGAACCCAAAGGTATACGGGCGATGCTGAATCATCTTCCTGTTCGTAGAGCGGTCGGAGCGATATACTTCGCCGATACATGGCAGGAGAAAGGTTCAGCGCCCGAATTACAACGAGGTCGATCTCCAGGCGCGATGTGAGTGAATGGCAATTCCGTCAACAAAGAACTGTAATCTCATGGCAACTGTTCCGGTAGACGATATGGAAACAACTGGAACGGTGGATCTGACTTTGGTGGACGCACCGATCGTCAGCGATACGACGCGGAGACGGTCTGATCCTGCCGTTAACAGCTCGATGAGTGGTCTCATCGGTGTTCAGCATACGGAACGTAAGTGGTAGTCACATGCGTAAAATGAGGATATGAGGGAGACTGATGGGCTGCACCGTGTCTGTCGACCGACCTCGGCAGGTGCCATTCAGGCCAAACCGGATGACACCGATATCGAAATGCGGTCGCTGCACGAGGACGGCGAGACGGTGGAAAACACGGTCAGATCTTCGGAAGGTGCAGAGGGTGAGCTCATTCCGCTTCGACGAGCCCGTACCTCACTTCGCGGAACTTATCGCCTGGACACCAATAGACGCAAACGACGATCTTTTAGCTTCAAACGTCTTGATCCAGAACAACCGCTGTCTGAATGGTTTGTTCCAAGGTTATCCTAGATGCGGCCCGTGTGTCGGGAAGCAGACCGGCTCCAAGTGTCTATTCATCAACTGGAGGCTCTTTCCTGTGGACCCACACTCGGGTGAAATCACCGGGCCGCCGTACTTTGGAAACATACCGCTCAAACCGTCGAATCCCCCGCAATACCCGACACCGAGCGAGTTCAATCGGAATCCAACCACGTCCGATGCCTTTCATCTGCAGCAGACGGTCGTTCGATGGCTTCTGCCACTGTTGGCTCGAGAGGTTCAACACGTGTTTCAGGACGGCGCGCTGTGCAAGCAAGACGACGATACCGGCCGGCTCATATGCGATTTTTGCGCCACAACCGTCTTTGGAGGCAGTTGGGCGTGTTCGCATTGCGCCAAAGAATACTGCTTCGATTGCAAAGGTTTTATATCTCAATTCAATACAGAAGACCTGGAGACTTCGACGCGAAAGTGGAATAGGGAACCCGCCGGGAGGTTACTCAGATGTACAACGCTTAACGGGATCTCGAGGTCACACTATGGGTCGTGCCTCATCCCTGTGACTCGCTACAGTCCGAGCGACCTCAAGAGAGACTGGGCAGCTCTGGTCGGTTTCGTAACCCAGAGCCGTACCGCTTACGACGAAACCTTGCCGGACTTGGCCCCCGACTTTCAGCGACATTTGCGAGCCGTATCAGGGGCGATCGAAACAAGCGATAAAGCGCCGCTTCCCGGACAAGAAGCCGAAGAAGCGCGCCTGCGTGCCACTCTGAAGGTGTCGGATGAACAGCTGTCATCTTATGCCAAGAGAGAGACGGGCCCGATGCAACCGACTGATCGCGCTGGTTTAGAAACCCATGCTTTCTTCCGCCTCGAGAACGACCATCTTTCTGACCCGATCTTCGATGCCATGTGGTCCAAGGGCGTACCGATCGTGGTAGACGGTATCGGCGAACGTTTCAAGCTGGATTGGACCCCGCAGGACTTTCACAGAAGGATGGATGGTGCACAAAAGAAAGAAGATCGAGAGTGCAGTGCGTGATTACGTTTCGCCGCTACTCTGTCCGGAGCTGACTTCGTTTCTCGCCCTAGATGTCGTGGACTGTCAAGCTCAGGAAAGGACAGAAGGTCATACGACAGTAATGCGCGTGGCAGACTTTTTCGCCGAGTACATGCTGGGCGCACAGCGTACGGGAAGCGTCGTGAAGAAGCTCAAGGATTGGCCGGCCGATACCGAATTTGGGAAGAAGTTTCCCGATCTCTACGACGATTTTCATCAGGCGATGCCTGCGCCAGACTATACTCGTAGGGATGGCGTCCTGAACATTTCGGCTCATGTGAGTGGCTCAGAGAACTGCATGAACACCGATATTGTTACAGACGCTGAACATCGACGCATAGTTTCCAAAAAGTGGCGGTGTACCAGATATCGGGCCCAAGATGTACAATGCCTTTGTGAGTAATAGAGGGGCAGGACATGGTCGCGAGCGCCGTATTAATCCGTCGTCAAGCCTTGTAGGCTGCTAAGGAAGGTCCTGGGGGACTTGGCTCGTGAGTGGAATCATCAGCCGAACGATTTTCGCCCACTCGACTGATACATCGCCTTTACTCGCAGCACACGACTCCATATGGACATGGCCGACGCGATTAATGTCTTGATGCACGCCAACCCACGAGAGGACGGGTCGCCTGGATGTGCCGTGTGGGACATCTTCCGACCAGAAGACGCCAATGGACTACGCGAGTTCCTGCTTGAGAAATACGGTAGCTTTTATGACAACACACACGATCCCATTCACTCGCAGCAATTCTACCTCGACTCGGAAGTCAGGCAGGAGCTGTTTGAGAAGAAGGGGATATATAGCTACCGGATCTACCAGTACCCGGTAAGTCGACCTTTGACCCGGCCGAAAGCACGTCGTTGCTAACTGGCAACTTGATTCTAGGGGCAGGCCATCATGGTACCGGCCGGTTGTGCACATCAAGTTTGCAATCTGGCCGATTGCATGAAGATCGCTTGTGATTTTGTCAGCCCGCGTGAGTCGCGCTGGATCGACGTTTATGGGGCAAGTCAGAGCTGATGCCACGTACTCACCTTCAGACAATGTCAAGCGATGTGAAAAGCTGAGCCGCGAATTCAGAAACGAGAATAATAGCAAGGTAGCCTGGAAGGACGATGTCTTGCAGCTCTCAAACATGAATTGGTGCGCTCAAGCAGATTCCAAGTATCGACGATACGCAACTCATCCGCCTTTCATTGCTTGCAGGCATGCATGGTGTTCCAGCCGAGCTCTTGCAGGATACAAGGAAGAGACGACATCGAATCCAACCCTTGACGCCGAGATTGAGACGCTTTTCAATAGCTTGCCGCGTGAGGCGCGGCTGACATGTACCCAGCTCAACCATAATCACAAGTTCGTGAAGGAAGCTCCATACAAGGATGGATTCGCCAAGGCGGTGTCGAGCAAGGCTAGCGGCGTCAAGCAACAAACGAGCGGCCGACGGGCGGCCAAGCGGCCAGATCTGTCATCCCGTGTCATCAACGTGGACGGCGAGGCGTCGAGCTCGCCAGGTCCAGCATCACCATTGCCCAGGCCCTCCGTAGCCTCCTCGTCGCGGAACGGCAGGCCGACGAACATGTCCGCGCCAGAGCAACAACCTAGGTGGAAGGCCCTGCTGGACCGCATGGCGGACGAGATGATCGAGGCCGGGTCCGTCTCGGACATTACGAATTGGAGCACGATGAGAGGGATGCTTGCCGTAGCCGTCAAGAGGAGCGGATTACTCTTGCCACCAGAAGGACCCGCTGCAGCGTAGTAAGAGAACGGGTTCGGGACGCTACTTTTGGAACACTTCTTGACAACGAGTTGTATTAGAAAGAGGTGATTGCGCGCGGAATGAACACTATGTACAATCGGTCTTGGCATCCGGAACGGGTCCATGCCGTGTATTGAAGAATCCCACACGAAGTCATTGTCTGCAAGCATGAAACTCCGAAATAGAACGATATCGTGTGACTTTCACAGGAAGCTTTTCCTTGTTGATCCCGGCGAGAAGGACTACTTTCCACCACATAATCATGTTGAGGACTTTCTTTGAGATCCACTTGTCTGCTCTGCTCTTCAGCAGTCCGCAATAACGGAAAGTAAAATTTGTCGAATTTGTTATCGGCTGTTCTTTCAGTTCCCGATTTTACGAGCGCGTCTTCGGGAGATGCGCTCGAGACGTAGAGTATCCAGAGAACAATATTCGGACAACTTCGGTATGGTATCAGAGATCAGTGGAATCATATCATGTCCCGTGTATGCATGAAAAGAAGCTAGGCTACAAAGTATTTCTCAATTTCAGAGAATGCGTATATATAGTGGATACATCGTGTACGAATCGGTTGCGGCGGTGAATTATAAGTTTGATGTGTCGACCACACGTTGATGCCCGGTCGAGGTTGTTCTACAAGGAGATATTCGTCTTCGTATGGTCCATGACGGTAGTCCGTTGGTAGGTCCATTTTCTCCGGCTATTCCGTTTGCCAAGGTGGATCCTTAGTATCGGCTGTCGCCCCGGTAGTGACTGGGCGCGACGGGCGCAGCCAAAGGAGCGGTTGTGACACCGGAATAAGTCCTCTGGTTGGCAAGGTACGAGTTGTTGTTGTTGCTCTCGTACGTGTTGTAACCCGTGGTAACGCCCTGGTTGTTTCCGGTAGACGAGTAGTTGGATTCGTACCTGGTCGTGATGGGTTGTCCGTGGAAGACGGCCTGGTTCTCCGGGGTCCTGTAGACCGCAGTGTGTTCCTGCGCTTCAGGGTAGGCGGTAGCAGGCGGCGCATAGGTGGTCGGGACGATCGGGGCCGGGGTGGGGGCGACATAAGTCTCCCTGACCGGCGCGGTGGTAACGGGTGTGACATAAGTCTCCCTGACGGGCTCGGGCTCGACATAAGTCTCCCTGACGACCGGGGTAGGGGCTACGTAGACCTCGTCGTGCTGGTGCTTGCCCTTGCGCTGACGGATCCATCCGAGGAGGACAAGGGGGACGGCGAGGAGCAAGCAGGCGGTACCGGCCAAGTGCATCCAAAGGGCCTGAGGGCATGACGAAAAGTCGGGTCAGTCCCGGGGGGATGTGGGTGGCATATATATCGTAGATGTGTGAGGTGACTTACAGGACCGTACTCGGGACCATTGTTGATATCCTCCAATCGCTCGTGAAGGGTGACGAAAGCGATCAAGGCGAGGACGAACGAGACGACGGCGAGGAAGGCCGATAGGAACTACAAGGTCGCCCACAACAGGTAATCGTAGTCATCAGCATTTGCAATCGATCCCGAAGAAAGTTTGACGACCGATACTCGACTCCGGAAACTCACGGTCAAGATGAACCCAGGGAAGCCGCCTCTCTGCCTAAAGATGGCGAACAACAGTCCGAAGAAGGCCAAGCTGGCCAATCCGGCCGAAATGGCGGTAATGATCAAGGACCCGGTGAGACCGTTAGGGTTACCGGGGATGAGGGGGTAGTTGTACTACAGAGTGAATGGCGCAAAGGAAAGAAAACACACGAAGCAGGACGAGGTAAGTCCACGGGCCAAGACGACATGGCGAACGAGACGACTAGATCGCGACTCACCCCGACTTTCTGGATACAACGGATAGATCCTCGTCTGACGCAGTACCCGAACGTTCCCAATCGATCGGCATCACCTCCACGAAGACCGATGTAATAGATGCTCCTGATGAACGGGGTCGAGAACGCACACAACCAGAGCAAGACGGCCCCGGCCAAGGTGAGGAGCGAGGCGAGGATATAGTTGATAGAGGGTCGTCGGCTGGTCGTCTCCGTGTAGGTGGTGGTCACAGTGCCCACGTCCGAGTTCTTTCGTCGGCCGAACATTGCGCGATGAGATTATAAAGTTCGAAAGGGCGGCGGTGCGGTGAGATTGAGTGGCTCGGACGAGGCTTGTGTGTGAGAGAGACGAGGGGGAGATCACGGGGGCCTTGAAGTCGACGCAAGGTTACTGGGACTATATACTTTCGACGGGCCGGTAGACACACATAAAGGATGACATCGTCTCCTCCTCTTCTTCCCTACAGAAAGAGTGACGACATGACTACGTCACGAACCGAAACGTCATCATCCCGTTGTCACCACAAGAAGCTCCCTCGAAATACTCGCAAGACGATCAGCATCATCATCAGAATCCGACGACGATCCACCTACCTTACCCCCTCTGCCCTGCTCTTCTCCTTCTCACCCTTCGCTCCAAGGCTCCAACGACAACAACCGACCCCGAACACGAACAGAACAGAAACGGACCGAAATTAAATCCCGGTGCCTTCCCTACTGCGAACCCTCGTTGAAACACCTTCTACGTAGGTCGTCGAGATCGTCGTCGATCCGAAATCAGCTGCCTCGGTATCGCGCCAAAGACCGAGGCCAGATGGAAGCGATTGGCGCCTGACGATCGAATGACGTAGAGGGCGTCGCGTCATCAGTCGTTTTCCCTCCTGCTTCTTCCGCCTGACGGGAGAAGCCACGCCAAGCCACTTTCAGCCAGGACGATCGGGAAGCACCGACATGTGCCTTTGATCTTGGACGAGGAGCGAAGAGGGATACCGGCGGTTCAGACCCCCTGGTTCGCCTGGACCTGGTTTCATGACAACCCTGTCGAACCTGATTCCCGCAAACCTATCCTGAGCCACCCTGCGGGCTGGGCGTTTCGGTTCGCCGCGTCTTCTTCGAACCGATACGCAATACGCATACCCGTGTAGCAAGTCGCAAGTCGCAAGCTCGCGAGTCCCAACGCAGCAAAAAATGGAAAACCCACGCAATCCTTCAGATCCCGCCCTCTAGCCTCTGATCTCTTGCGGGATCGAAATCGAGTTCACTAACACCTACCTCGTCGTCTCGGTCCGCAGGTCGGGATGCGATTACGTCCGTTCGGTGGCAGAAGGATCTCGCTCTGCGATGTGACATGTTATTACGGTGTGTATAGCGTTCGAACGAGACCCTGCAGCTCGTAGCTCGTACACCGTGGACCGTAGACTGTAGACCGAATAGGGTCGTGATTAGTTCAGTTACGAGCGAGTGATTGAGTGACAATGTCCAACTGCGATTCGTTGCCATGGTCGAGCGTTTCACTTGCTTTACACCACACTTAACGCAGCGGCTTTCGAATGTCCTCATCGATCATCGAATTCGCTGGAACACCCAATACACTGCTCAGACGGTAATCTCAGATGAACGGGAAATTGACGATGTGTATGGAGCATTATGACTACTATAGGATGACGTTCGATGCGCAATCTGCTTGCCGTTCGTTCCAGCCCGGTTCTGTAGCCCGTGGATACTGCTACCGTGATACAAAAGGGAGAGCAGCAAATTTATAACTGCAAAACGTTTCTCTTGAGAGAACGATCGTCCCATGCATTCGTCGCTGAATCGTCCGGGTGACCTTAGGCCTGAGGTCAACGCGATGAGAGACTATTCCTCGATTTCACGCAGCGTACTAGCGCGAGCGTGTTTGCTTACCTAAGCACAAAACACTCTAGAGAGCGCGGGCGTATCCGAAACCCCCCTACACCCCCTTTTAACGTTCATCACCATCATATCATCATATCAGCTTGCACCTGGACTGTAGCTAGCGAGCGACTACCTCTAGAACCTCCTTCCACTTTGTGTATCTTACCAGGACTATAGGGCGCACAGGCATCATACTAATCTCAGGACGCAAGTGCACCTCGACAAAGCCAAGGACTAACAACAAGCAACGAGCTAACGAGCAACAAGCAACAAGCGAATAGACGACGCGATCAAAATATCAAAGGACCCACCCAAAGGACCCAAGGGATCAAGGGACCCAAGCGAGTCAAAGTCATCAAAGGAGGTCCTTTGGCACAGCTTCTCCGGGATCAATCAGAAAGGCCAAGTGTCAGCAAGACACAGCACAGCTCGACTCTTATACGTCGCCACCTGCTACGAGGGGTTTCCCATCAAATTCCCTCTCCATCCCTCGAACTTTTCCCCTCCCTTCTCTCTTTATCATGATCCTATCCTACACTCAGACCCAGGTCGCTCACGATCCCAAGACCTGGCATTGGCTTCAATCTCTACAACCCGACCAGACTGTTCAGTTGATCAGTACTGCCGACGACCGCTATCGTATCGACGACGATTGTTGCCGTGACGGCGAGACCGACAGCATGGACACTGACAGATTGAGCCGCGTTACCGCCGGCTCTAAGCGTCATGCAAATTTCGTCAAACAACTCAAAAGAAACAACATCATACGCATGAGCAACTTCAGGTTGAAGATCCATCAGATGGACGGCACATTCACCGATACAGTGAGTGATCTCTCACAGAATTGTGTTTTTATCTCTACCAAGCTGATCACCCCGCATGTCCACTCGTACTGTCCAGGCTCTCAAAGCGACGACTTCCAAGCTCTCTCAAGAAACCCGAGACAAGATCATGGAGTCCCTGACCTTCATCGGAAATCGCTGCGATACAGGCGCATACAACGGCAATGAGCATCAGTTCCAGAAGATGATGGATCCACTGTTGATCGACATGATCGATTCAGAAGCTTACGCTACCGTACAGGATGGTTGGAAGGATTTCGAGGCTACCAATCCCGGGACCTGGAACCGTGGATCGAAGGTTCTAGAAGAGAGATACCAAGACCTGTCGCAACCCAAGGTCGATTTCTCTCTCGCGCTATCCATGCGACAGGATCAGTCTGAAGGACTGACCGAACAGTCCACCCCTCTATCCCGGATCTGCCAGCGTGTTCAATCTCGCAGCTACCGATGTCGGAACATGGAAGGGAGAGGGGAGGACGTCTCGTTCGAGCGGGCAATTCATTTGCTGTCGGTTCCTGCTCTGAGGCGGTTCAATGCTCATGATCGTTTGAAAAGGGTGAGAGTACCGCCTCGTCCGCCACTCACTTGACCTTGTTGAATATCCTGATATCGCCTTCCAGGTCTGCTTCGTTCACAAAACACGAATCCGAAACTTCGGGAATTATCCGATTTCAGTTTTCGAATTCAAGTCGACTAAGGAATTCATGGCTGTATGCGAGAATCAGATCGTGAACTCCTGTGTCTTCCAAGTCAGTCCATTCTCTCTATTTGCCAAACGATATTCGATCGCTGATTCGTATGCGTGACAAACAGTGCGGGAAGTTGATCGATCTTCTGTTTGAGGCGCAGAGTTTGCAGGAGGACGCCGATCTTCCAGAACGAGTTCTCTCCCTTGGGATGTGCATCGCTGGCAAGGAATGGAAAGTCATCGCGATCAGCTCGACGGAGAATGATGAATTGGGCGGGGGTTTTGTAAGCGATTACTCAACCCAGAATTCGCCCAATCTGACTGACGTTCCGAGCTCTTTCCCAGGTCTACGGCGAGATCTGTAATGGCAATTGGCACGTCAATCCCGAAAAGTTCATCGGAGCGGTCATTGCGATGCACGAGCATAATGAGAACAGGACGGTCAGATTGTTACTCAAGTGCTTTGGTATCTTTGATGATTGGGTGGCCGAACAGGTAAGCGACAGGAATCAGTTGGCCGGACTGCTCGCGAAGTGTTAGGTTGACCTGAATCTATCTCCTCAGCCTTCTCAACAAGATGATCCCAACATCGCTTGGGATCTGTTGTCAGAGAGAGGAGTTCCTCAAACGAAGAAACTGGAGACGGTGGAAGAGGGGTCTGACGACGAGCCTGACCAACAGCATCAGGCGGTCTAACCGGCGCGGTCACCGCCAGGATACTGAGCCGAATCTCCAATCGTTCAAACGACAAACACGGCTACCAACGTCAATCCGGAACTCTTAGCCGGATGATCACTCGGAACTACAAGCTGCATAGTTGATGGATACAAACTACGATATTTACGACACCTCAAAACCAAGAAACATCACAAGAAAAAATCTAGGATGAGCAGACGCCATCTTTGTATTACGCCACAACGTTCATGTCTTACGTTCCCTATCCATGTCTCACTTCCCCCCCCCCCCCCCCCCACACACGTAACCTATGTCCCGGTACTTTGATGTCTCGTCGTGCGACTTGCTTCACGGAAACGGCATGACGTGGCCCGGACATATATTTGCTTCCGAACGATACTCGTTTCCTTTGTTCTGCCGCTGAAGCAAGTTCGACTTGTTCTCTCGTCCTAACACATAGGACCTAACTAGATACCTTAGCGGAGAATCTCATTCGTCAATCCCGTACTGAATCATACCGATCACGACGACGTCAATTATGGACATGCTCGGATTCCTGGCTGGTAAAGCCAGCTCGATCGTACAGAACCCGGCCATAGACTATAAGAAGTTCGCTCTCGGTGCGAGCTGGGCCATCTTTGGTCTGGAAAGCTACATCTTGTGGGTACCACGAGATACTTCTTTCCATTCGGATAGAGCTAAACACTTCCGCTTGACCTGTCAGAACCCGTCAACTCCCTTGTTACTCGATCCCCGCCCCGCCCGCCGCGCTCGCCGACCATATTCCCGAAGACACTTACAAGAAATCTCAAGCTTACGGCCGAGACAAGACCCGATGGGCTCTTTTCAAACAGGTCTACAATCAGACCCTTAACGCTTTGTATATCGGAGGAGGAGCTTATAAATGGGTCTGGACGCTGACTGGCGGGTGGATGGCCAAGATGGGTTTCGGCGGTGACCGGGTCGTGAGTCGCAGCGTGGCTAGTTATTAGCATTCGTTGATCATTCAGAGATGGACTGATTGAATCCTGTTGCGCTACTACCTGTTTCCGATTTTCTTCTATGTAGATCACCCACTCTTTGCTTTACGCCGGATTCTTCACGATCGTCAGCTCCATACCTAGTCTACCCCTTTCAGCATTCGCGACCTTCGGTATCGAGGAGAAACACGGCTTCAACAAGTCCACCTGGGGTCTATGGATCACCGACCAGCTCAAGAGCTACGCCATCGGTGCGGTCATCGGTCTGCCCGTCCTCGCTGCTTTCTTGAAAATCGTCGATTATGCTGGAGACTGGTTCATCCCCGCTCTCATGATCTTCTTGTAAGCAGACTTCCAAGCTTTTTGCCGCCCCGCTACTGTCGACTGACAAACGGGTCCATTCCTTGTTACCGACTAGCCTATCTTTCACCTTTATCATGCAACTCGTCTACCCCATCTTCATCCAACCCTTGTTCAATAAGCTCACCCCCCTGCCCGAAGGTGAGCTGAGGGAGCGGATCGAGAAACTCGCCGGATCGCTCGGGTTCCCTTTGAAGCATTTGTATGTGATCGACGGGAGCAAGCGGAGCGGACATTCGAATGCGTGAGTCACCATATAGTATCGGGGCCGTAAGTTAAATCGCAGGCTCGTCAATCAAACTGATCGAGACATGTGCGTGTTGTTTAGCTATTTCTACGGATTGCCTTGGTCAAAGCACATCGTACGTCTTTTAGGACCAGAATGGATTTTCTCGCATTTGCTAAGGTTGTGTTATGTGATCTTGCGAACAGGTCATCTTCGATACCTTGATTGAGCAATCCAAGCCTGAAGAGGTCGAGGCCGTTATCGGTGAGATTTGAGTCCGGCTGTCTACGATAAACGGCAGAAAATTGAACTCTTTCACTGCAACAATAGCCCACGAACTCGGACACTGGAAACACGGTATGCACTCAGTCGATCTATCTAGCCTAGAATACGAGAAGAAGCCACTAACCTAGTATCGGCGCCTGTTTTCAGCTCACCCTTCCAAGCTCATGGTCGTCGGACAGATCAACCTCTTGATCACCCTCTCCGCGTTCACCCTCTTTATCCACAACCCTGCCATCTTCCGCTCTTTCGGATTCAGCGAGGATGTGGCCGTTCGACAACAACCGGTCATCATCGGCTTCTTCCTTTACCAATTGATCATGAACCCGCTCGACCCCCTCATCAGCCTTTTGATGAACTCGGTTACCCGGCGGTATGAGTATGAAGCCGGTGAGTCATCTCTAGCTTCTCTGGGCGGGACGCTTGCTAGATAATATAATGCTGAATCTCCCTCTGTTGTTTGCAGACCGCTTTGCTTGCGCCTTGGACCCCCGATACAAGGCTCTCCTCTCTTCGTCCCTCATCAAGCTGATGAACGAAAACTTGTCGAGCCCTCACCAAGACTGGCTGTACTCGACTTACCACAACTCACATCCTAGTCTCCTGGAGAGGCTCAAGGCGATGGACGACTACCAGCCTTCGGAGAAGCTGGTCGTCAAGGATGAGATCAAGCGGGAGAAGGACCTGTAGCTATTCAAAATGTTGACGTTTATTTGATCGAGCCCAGTAGAGCATGGGCGACGCGCCATCTTATCTGAAACTAATCAGATGAATACATGGCTATTTCGTGAAAATGGCATGGTCTAGCATGAAAGAGACGTAGGTATAGCGTGACGGAGCTACATCGTAAAGGGGAAATCGTAAGAACACTCGTGACCAGGTCGTCGCTCATCAAAGGCCGCGTCGAGCGGCTGCAAGACATTCCTCCTCCATGCCCTGAACGCTTATGACCTCTACTCCAGCTTCTCGTAGCAGTCGAACGCCCTCGCATTGTACATAGTCTGGCGGTTCCCGCACTCCCTGGAATGAATGTGTGCAGTTCGGGTCAGTCTCATCTCTGTAGATGCTCGGGTGATATAACGCACCATGTAAACCCGCTTCAGACCCCAGTGAATGACTTCGGCAGTACAGTCCCTCAAACCGCTTGTCCGTTTGGAACAAGGTTCCAGCGTTGTGTATATCCACGCCTTGCTAAGGATGCTTCGAGCAGTGTCTTCACTTGACGCATCCACAGCGATCCCGGTCGTCTTCTTGATAGCAGAGTTTGTATCCTCTGGAAGGTTCTTGAGATAAGCTACCAAGTTGTTGATAGCGTTGGCCTCTGCGTGGGTGTTTCCTGGAATCTGGCGAGAGTAGCCGTTTGATAGGATGAGACCCTCTCGGTCGACGGGTGCGAAGACCCCTGATAACAGATCGAAAAGAGGCACTGAAGCAGATCTAGGGAGGAAAATGACCGCCCCAACCGAAAAGGCCGTAGGGGATACTTCGCACAGATAAGAGTAAGATAAAGCCTCCCGCATGAGCGTCAAATGGAACATGGCTGCGAGAATAGTCGTCTGTCAGGGTCCGCTTGGCACAGGTGCACGAGCGAAATAGACATACCGGTGGTGGTGGTCGACGTCGTGCTGGTATTTTGACTCAAAAATGACCCGTTGCTGATCGTGCGATGAATGCTGGAAGTATTGCTTGGCTTCGATTTCGACGGCGGAGCGATGTAGCTGGCCCTGTTGGAATCTTGCTCATGAACAAGCTCGGCGTACCTACAGTAGTCGAATCGATCCGTCTATTAGCCAAGATCGCCTCAGATCTGTCTCAAAACAGCTCGAACCTACATGGTCTTGTAGCGGATAAGCTCGCTTTCCGTCGCCTCGTTGTCGATACGAGCTTGAACAAGTTGTTTGACCATGTCCACGTGCTCCTCGCTCCTGCAGTCCGCATCGGTCTTGGTGAGAAAAGGTCCGGGTACATCAAGCATTACGTCACTACTCACATCGCTGCCATAGCTCCTTCAAGTTGTTTACTATAGAACAAAATCCGATTAGCAGAATCGATAAAAGCTCGAAACAGGTCGTTCACTCACACTTGAGCAGAAAGGACACGGTTCGCACTCCTGAGCGTGTCCATCTCGGTCGCGTGAGCGTTTGCGATACGGCATAGGTCTTCCCACTCGTGCGCATAAGAATCCAGCATGAATGGTGTTCTAGAACAAATGAGGAAAGAGCCATCAGACTCAAAGCAAGCCAGAAAACGCGCCGACTGCGCGACTCACATTTGAGTCGCATAAGCGTCGCGAACAAAGTCGTTGGCAAGCCAGTCGGCGTCATCTTCCTGTCCTGAAACCCCGATTTCCGCTGCCGTTGTTGTCTGATATATGGGGTTATCAGCGAGACCGCCAGCGGGACCGGCAAAACGTGAACATGCCGACCTTGTAACAATCAAACACCTCGTTGCCCAAGAACTTCAAGATTCCCTCAAAATCGAGGGCGAGCAATTTGTCCTCGTTCCGTCGCATCAAAGCCAGTGAGAAGCGAAATATGGCTTCAATACCCTCTGCAAAGACGATATCAAAGATCCGGTAGACCAGCGATAGAGGGAAACTGGGTCAAGTAGAGGTACGTCTTCTCAGTGATCGTCTCGCAACTTCAGAGTAAGAATCTCGTTCTTACCGATGCGTGAACAAGGTCAAAAACCAAGTGCTAGCATACATCGAGCTCTTGACGCCCTTTCTCACGAAATGAAGATGCAGAAGAGGTAATAATTCCTCCAATAGACGCTCGAACTGGAACATCCTCAGCTGTAGACCAGGCATTTCGGGTAGATAATGCGTTCGCAGGTTGTACTGCAAGGACGCAGAGAGGAACTTATCAGGTTCCAGGGTATTCAGGCGTGTTCACTTGGGGAGACGCGCACTCACCGATTCCATCAATCGGACCAAGACGCAAAACGCCTCTTCGTCCGGCATGTTGAGCAACAAAGCCGCGACGATGAAAGCCACCCCCTGGGTATACCCGACCTCAACATCATACCTGCAACGAGAAACACCCGTGCATGTCAGCCGTCGCCTAACCTCTAACCTCAGCTCTCCAGGAAGAGGATTACGCGAACGTACAGACTGTACGCCTTGACGACATTGAACAGATTCTCTTGCCCCACCCCACCCCCCTGAGCGAAATACCGATGCCCCGGCAAAGTCCTCGCCAGATCCTTCTGGATCGCCCGTTCATGCGTACTCTTCTCCTTCAAGAGCCCGGCATAAGTAGCTTCCAACCCCGGGTTCTTGCTGCTCGACATCAATTGCCAGATGGTGCCCCTCACCACGGCGGGGATACCCTGTTGGATCGCCCGGGAAAGGTCACGGGGACGACTCCGGGCGATGGCTTCGTAGTCGTTCATGACGCAACCCCAGAAGGGCCAATCCACCCCGTCCGGACCGAGTTCGGGTTCTTGGTCGTCCGAATAGTCCGTGGCTTGAGGTGGAGGTTGTGCAGGCGCTTGAGGCTTCGTTGCTGTATGTGGTCTGACGGACGACCTCCTCCGAACGCCAACTCCCAGCCCTTGTCCATGCTCGTCCTCCTCATCCTCCTCGTCCTCCCCTATATCGCCATACTCTGCCGCCTCCCTCAACCTCGTACTATAACTATCCCTCTTGACCCTCTCGAACCCTTCTTTCAGCGCGACCGACCCACCCGCTTCCACACTCCTCCTCCTCTCCTCCTTGGTCGCATCGAGGTTGTGCAGTAGGAAAGCGGTACCAGAGGTATCCGTCCGCTCAGGTGCCGGCCTTGTGCCTTTTCGGAAGGGAGAAGGGATGCTAGGAAGCGGGTTGGAAGCGAGGGACGAGATGGAGACTGAAGGTGACTTCGAGCCAAAGTAGTTCGTAAACGAGGACGTCCACGACCCTGACGCCGCAGGAGGTGGGGGAGGTTTTGCCGAATCGCTAGTGATAGGTACGGGATCGTTAGGTACGGGCGTCGACGAAGAATCCTCATCCTCCTCCTGCGACGATCCGGTGGAAATGAATTGTCCATTTGCGGCGTTCTCCGCAGGACTACTGAAACCCCTTTCGATGGGCTTCGAAGGAGAGGTGGAAGTAGAAGGTAACAAGGACGCAGCGTACCCGAAAGCCGAAGTCAGACCGAGCTTGGCTCCGATAGACGGCGATGTCTGTTCAGAAGCGCCGGGTCGTTCAGGCCGTAAGGTCGTAGGTTTCTCTCCTTTTGCTTCTTCGATTTCGTTTTCATCGAGCGAGACTGGCTCTAGATCCAGGTTCTCAATCCGTGTAGGGTGAGGTTCATCCCGTGGTCCTAGCTTGCTGACGTTCTCCTCATCTGTACTCTGTCGAGGCGGAGCTGAAAAGTTCTCGGTGGTCCCAAGCGCAGGGCTAGAATTGAGAGATGCAGATGCAGACGCAGATGGAGTCGACCTGAAAGCCATGGTAACTCTCCTGTTATTCTTCTTCTGGTCCTCGATAGAAGACGATGAAGGCGAAGGCGGCCGTAACGATGTAAAAGTCGGTAGCTGAGCCTGTTCTTCCTCTGCTACCGCTACTTTCAATTCGTTCTTCTCCTCGTCCTTCTCGATTTCCTTCTTATTCTTCTCTGATTCGGACTTGTCATCGTCCAGATCAACCTCGCCAAAATCGTCATCGACATCGGACTCTTGCAGCTGTTGCTCTTGCTGCTTCTCGTTCTCATTCAGGTCGATCGACTCGACGTTCAGCTCGTGTGAACCATCTTCAGAGCTCTTTCGAGCGGACTGATCTGTAGCTGACGGTTCTTTTTGGTCCTCCATCTTGGGGATAGGTCGAGGTGGGGACCAGTTGCGTGGGTTGGTGTTGTTGATGTTTCGATGATGCTGCTGCTGCTTATATACCGCAACCTGCCATATCAGAGCGGGAGCAATTGCGATGTCAATCAAGCTAATTAAGCCCAAGACCTCGCAAGGTACATCGATGATGTTCATATCGGTCTGTTCGTACTCCCCATCTCAATCTCATACCACACCAAACCGCACACATAGATAATTGTCCAGCTACAGACACATCTCTACATATCTCCTCACGACGATGAACCCAGCCACTCCCGAAAACCCAGCGGGCGCGACGACGATCTCCCCCTCCTACTCCCCACTCCACCCGCCGTCGGTCCAGCACAACAGCCTCATCCTGACAAACCTCTGCACCCTCACCTCGGTCTTTTCCGGTACACTCGCCGGCATCCTCGGCTTACTCAACTTTAGCGGGTTCTTCCTGTACTTCTTTGCGGCGTTCTTCAACGCTGCGGTGATCGCCGTCTTGAAGTGCAGGAACGAAAAGACGGGAAAGATCGATCTGGAGAGGTTCTTGCCGAGTCTACACGATGTCAATTCGTCGACATCATCATCGTCATCATCAGCATCGACAAAAGGATGGGATATAAAGTTGACGGGAAGGGCTTTGTGGAGCTTGATGGCGGTCGGCCAGGAGAACCTCTTGACCTTCTTGCTCTTCTGGATCGGGTTCTACGTGAGTGCCCGACCGATATCTTCTCTTCTTTCCTTTCGCGAGGTTATAAGACTCTATCGCTCTTGCACCTCGATATCTGACTCTTCTTTTCTTGTTTTTTGTGTTGGGTGTTGTGAGCAGGCCATCATACATGGTTCGTCCCTACTTTTCACCTACCAGAAGGCGTTCCTAACACTTAGCAACTTACTGACACGCCGCCCGTTCTCTCGCCGATAACAGTGTACGATTGATCGTCCTTCGTCAAGCATCAAGCAGCAAGCTCTCGTCCCAAATATACAAGATCGTCATATCGCCTTCGACACGAACCCATGTAGAACCATATACCAAACCGACGACCATGATCAACTATCCGGGGACCGATGAACTATCAAAATTATTAGATGTCAGAGTGATACAGAAGCGCAGAAGCTCATATTCCAAGGGTTAAGGGGTAATGGGGAGAGGGTAGGATCAAGTTGAGATCGAACGATGGATAAGTCGTACCCTCTGAAGTGAAAGTCCTTGTTATCTATCACGAACGCCCAGGGCCAGCCGGGCAGCTCAGACTGGGCGACCCCGCATTTCGCTATCCCGAGCTTCACTCGTCGGATCACTAGAATTTCGATATTGACAGGCCTCAGGTACAGCTGTTGTTTCCCCATAGCGCTCACCCAGGGAATCGGTGAGAAACCTTGATATCAAGTGTAGGTTGGACCTTGCTTTCTGACCATATGACCACGAAGCACGAAGTAGATCAGTCTCGCTTAGAGCTTGGATTCGTCGGGTACGTTCCCGTATCCTTGTCAAACGCTAGTAATCTGCTGGATCTGTGACTGACCACTCTGAGCGAAAGTCTGACCCGGGCTCATCAGGTACTCTGCACTTTTGACCGTCGAGTAGCAAATCACGCACCAGCTATCTCGATAGCGATATTTGCAACTTCGGACCGCCTGTCACGCCAGTACGTCTCTCGGATCTTTGCACAGCTTGGCAGAGCTGAACGGGACCTCCTTACATGTGCACGTGTATGACCTGACACTCATGCGTCAACCACACAGCCCATCCCATCGCACCTTCATTAGTGCGGCTGTCATAACCAGCAAACCACACGCTGGTCTCGTTCAGCTGGTCTCTGTGATCGAGGTTTTTCGATGCTCTCCTTGTCACCTCCGAGTAGGAAGGACGTGGTCATAGCGCTGGTTGTTCATATTATCACCAATATCCTCGCTATCGCCTTACCGATCATCCTTGAATACCATCCAGCACCGCACGGTCTGTCTAGATTTTGGCCAATCTTGGCCGTGGTAGCTGTTGGGCTAGTGTTCGTCGGGTCGACACTGGAAAGGCTGGTCAGGACGATGCCGAAGCAGGGAATACCGTAGTGAAGGACCCTACTAGCTACTATGTAACATCAATTGAGCGAATGTGATGACGAAATAGAATTCAAACCGATACAATATCGAGTAGGCGGCGGAAAACAAATCGCTGAGGTAGCTTGGATGATTCAAGAGACGATTCGCAGTGACGTACGTGGTGCGGTACGGTGATACGACATGAGGTCAGAACGACAACATCTCATTGCCGTACAAGTTCAAAACTGGACAGAGTATCGAACATATACAGTTTGGACGTTTGCCGAACTCGTCTGATCGTGTATACTGGACCGATAGTCTCTCAACAAGCGCTCCAGTACGAGGGAGGCCGAACACATCCGCCGCCGAAGGAAGCGTCCCGGCCGTATCGCTTCAGGCGTGTGCATCTCGTTCATATGTACGATGTATGTATGTGTATATGCTACTGTTTTGGTTTTCGGTTTGGGTTTTGACATTGGTGTAATACACGTCGATCGAGGCGCCGACAACATCGGGTTGCACCGCCGAGTAACGTAATCTCTCGAGCTCGAGCGCTCGGTCCTGTCATATCGTATTGTGTAGTCTGCGGGTATGAAATCCGATCAAGGCCGAGGATCTGGCGTTGTGGTTCGGATCGGATCCAGGTCGATTGCCGACCTTGCACATCTCCCCCGTCCACTGAAGCAGGACGGGGAGAAGTACGAGGCGTCGGGCATCCTATAGCGCTCTATTCCTTCTTGAACTCTATTGAAAACCAACACGAACGGTGTATTCAGCCCAAGATTCTCGGTATCGCGCTATGTGCGAGCCGCCACTCACCCGCCAAGACGGTATAGATCTGGTTGAACGCCGTATAGATCTCCTCCCTGACCTTCGCCCCCGTGATGACGATCTTGCCAGAGACGAAGATCAGGAGTACGACCTTGGGCTTGATCATACGGTAGATGAGACCGGGGAACAACTAGGTCCATGCCAAGCCAGACCAAGGGGGTTGGCATCTCAAAATCTCGGTTCCCAGCAGATCGATTAGAGCAAACACAAAAGATGGCGGACGACTCACCTCGGGTTCATAACTCGAGAAAGCTTGATGGGCGAAAGCAAGCCCTTCCAACCTGATCGGGAACTTGACATCACAACTCCCGACGATGTTCTGGATCTTGAACTCTTGGAACCTCGCATCGAACCCTAGCTTTTGGATGATCCTCGCATACTTGCGCGAGGCGAGACGAGAGTCGTCTTCGGATTTGGCTCCGGTGACGACCATCTTGCCTGATGCGAAGATGAGCGCCGTGGTCTTGGGATCACGGATACGCATGATAACGGCGGCGAATCGCTGTAGTGTGTCGGAAAAGGGGATCACGGCAGCAGTAAAATGGTTGAGCTTGGAATGGTAATAGGTACATTAGCGCGGCCAGAGTAAAGCGTACCTTGGGATTGTATTCGGCGTTTCTGGCATGCATCGCGATCGTCTTCAGATCCAACCTGATCCCCAGGTTCACGGTAGCGACGATATTTCTGATAACGACCGATAGGGGGACCAGGATGGGTTAGCTCTCGATTGAAGGAAACACACGCATTCAATGGCTCAAGGAGAGACAGGATGGCAATCGATCGAGATGTTTATGGTTCGGTCCGTTTCGAAGTCTTTTGCGACTCGGACAGAAAGCGCTCACAACGGGAAACCCAAAGGTCATCGAGAACAGACTGGATTCGATCGACACTCACTGTAAAGTCGGCACGATCCCCTGGACAGCCGTGATCTCCGGTACGCTCGGAACAACCTCGTTCTTCCCAACCTCCTCGGCCGTCTCGACCACATCCCCTTCGGCACCCTCGACCCCGTTCAGGATGTTCCCTTCACCGTCGACGAGCGCCTTGGCCGAAGCGGCGTTGAACTGCTTGACATTGTTGGCCGAAGACGATGATGGGGTGGGGTGGTTGAAGGGAGCCGGGGTGGAGACGAGACCGGAGGCCGAAGGGGTAGGGGCGGTTGCGTATGAGGGGAGAGCTGGGGGAGGCATGGCGACTTTGGAAGGAGGTCGTGCGGACATGTTGGTAAGATTCCTGGTTGATGACGAGTCGGTAGTGTAAGGTCGATTCTATAGTAGGTGCTGCTTCTCGTTATGACCTTTCTCTCTGGCTGGTGATCCGCCCGTTTCTCTTGACGAGACTCTTTCCCGCAGACTCGTTCCGTGCTACCGCTTCGATCCTCCGCTTCGACCGAATATATGCGATCGGTTTCTTTTCCCTCTTGACTTCGAGGTTCCAATCAAGGATTCGTCGTAATGTTCTTTCTCGTCAAAAGCTGCAGGGCGTTTGACGTGGTTCCGACAAAGGGATGGGAAAGAGATGGGTTGCGAGGATGCGACGGAGCGAACGAGTAGGTATGAACGAGTCTGTCGTCTGTGATAGACGTTGGAAATGTGCAGATGGAACGAAAGAGGGGATCGAATGTCGTCGAGGTCCAGGTTCTGAAATATGACAAGGCAGAAAGTAGTTGATGGTTGACCAGTCAAACTGTCTCGGTGGCGAGACGACCTTCGAACGACTTGAGCTGAGACTTTGCGGTGACCGACGGGCACAGCTCGCGCTTTCTCACGCGTTTTCTCTGTTCAAATCGCTTCAACTGAAACCTGATCTTCTGAGACGGACCAGCCGCGTCAGCCGTTCGTTATTTACGAGCGACGAACGTCAAAGAGGAGAGTTCCCGCCGTCCATATGATCTGTTAGCGAGAAGTCCTCTTCCAACGGAGACTTGAACACTTGCTAAGGCAGTGATCTACATGTTTTGATTACATATTTTACAGGGAAACAACCCATCAACTCTTGTTCAACTCGGCGTGTCGCCACCGGACAGACTCGAAAGCCCAAGGCAGGCCCAACAACCCCGCCGACAGTATCAACCACGGAGAGATCCCCCACCAAATGCGAATCCCTCCAGCTTCCAGGGATTGAGACTTGTCGACCCCCTTGTAAGAGGTCGCTGAAGCTAGGATCCCAGCGATGGTCACAAATGTTATCCAGATGGCGAGGGTAGTGGCGTTGGCGAAGAGTAGGTGGAGGGAGATGAGCGTGTAAAGCCGTTCCTTGGTAGGGTCGGGATCTTTTCTGAAAGAGTACCTCGTACCGTATGCTTGTATGAACGTGGAGAGGATCAAGAGCACAAAGCCTGGGGGTTTGCAGGACAGACTTTCAGCGTCCATACTACGGTCCTCCACGAACGCGGACTTTAACAACGACATCCCGGTCGACTCACAAACCAACAGAAGCGCAGCACCTTTACTCAAGCTCGTACTGACCGCCCCGGGAAGCCCAATCCCAACAGCCTGCCTGTCGACCTGATAACTCCACCCGGCATCCACGCACCCAAGGGGATCATAATACCTAACCCCATCTTGCACGGTCACGTTGAACCCGCAGTAATCTTTCGGTCCGAAACGGACTTGGGTGGTAAGAGAGTTGGCGGCGGCGAGGTGTAACGAAGCGGCTGATGACCAGGTAGCGGCGCAGATCAGGGCGAGCATTATGATGGGGTAGCCGAGGTGCCAGGGGAGGCCGGTACTTCGGGGAGCGCCCATGATGGAAGGAGGCTAGTCGGTTCGAAACAAGGGGTATGAGAGGTTGGAGTGCGGTAGGGTTTGGGGTAAACGGAATGGGATAGTCCGAGAAATCGGGAGAGATGAAGTAGACTGTTTGGAAGGGAGAGGATTTGAGAGTTGCTAAGGGTTTAGGGGAAACGGAACGGGGTGAGACTACGAGAGATGAGCGGCTAGATTGATATTATGGCGCTTGGAGCAAAGTACGAAAAGGGCTGTGCGGGAGATCTCTCTACGACTCTGACTTCACTCTGTGGCTCTTATAGCCATGAATGAACACAGCCTCTGTGCATGGCATGATATGATGACATCTCTCGACCAGATGAAACACGTCAAGAGCATAAAGGAAGCACAATCTCGCGATTGGAAGGACATGAAAATAGACAATGTCCGCTGCGAAGGATCCACGTACTAATGATTCCGACTCTCTTTCTACGCAAAGAGCCCGATGAAGATCGTACGACAGCCATGTCCCTCTCATCAGCAATCCTCTCGTCAGCAATCGGGAACTACTTTCAGATCAGTTTCCAGCCTGCCCTGTGATCTTTCAGACTCTGCAACGGAACGTTCCTCGCGCAGACAGACATGGATTGTGGATCCTCTCTGACCTTCAAAAGCACTTGTCGTCCGGCCAGCCGGAAATACCAAGCGCAAACCAAGATCTCGGCCCTTCTATAGTCTCGGATGGTAATTTGGGCGTCCTTCTCGGGTACCGAGCGTTCTCGCGCGGCATTCAAGTTTCAGATTGAAAATCCCGTTCTTTTGCTTCCCCATAAACAAGGTTTCGCGGTCCCTGTTCCTAGATCGATCCGCGGTCGAAACCTTGACAACCTTTCGAACAGGGCGATCGAAATCATGACATTCTTCGAACACGGCATGACGTGCCGGGTTCCTGATGGTCAACACACGGATCGACTTGAAATCTCAGCATCGAAATGGCTGGGGATAACCGGCAGGCTTCCGGCTGCCGTCTTTGTGCTTCCCCAACTCGGGGTAACGCCGATGAGCTTGCAGTGTATAAAGGCATTCAAGGCTACCCATCCTGACTTTCAACTAGTGAAATCTGCTCGCAAAGCCTCGCGACCGATCTCCTCAACTTGATGCAGGCCTAGCTTGCCTTTGATGCTAGGACTCAGAAAGTCTTCATACATCCTCTCACCTTTCGGCACATCGCGACAACCACGATCTCCGGTAGAAGACACGATCGGGTAAGTCTACCTCGGATCCACAACGAGACACCGCCAATCGCTCACGAGTTTGATCTTTGGGCTCTTCTAGCATGCCCGACGAATTGACTGTCGTGACGCGGTTGCCGCCGATCAAGATGGATACGGTCATCTCCAAATTCCCGGACGATAAGCCAGCCGTCAATGGCGCCGTTGTCAACGGTGATCACCATCATCATCACCAACATGAGCACGAAAGTCATCACAATGAGACTGTAACCATCACTCGTCATGCTTCGACGACGACTGAACACCACTACGGACACCACCACCACAATCAGCACTCGACCGAATTTGACCATATGCTCGAACACGCTGGCACTGTGGAGGGCTTCCTCGACTTTGTCGCATCCCTCCGGCTCAGACGCATGCCTCACAAGGGTAGCAAGTGGGACAGGGTACTCTAGTGGGCGGAGTTCTTCGCCAGTTCGGTAGCCAATTACGAGACTTGCATGCGAGGCTCAGTCGCATACGATCAAGAAGCCGCCAAGACGATCTGGTCCAACTGCAGGATCTTGCTCGAGCTCGGATCGTCCCATATCGTCGTCCTCGAGCAGGTCTTTGTGGTATTTTACAACGCCGGGATGGTCCTGGTTGAGCTCTCGTCCAACGACAAGATGTTTTCAGCTAGCGTGCACATCCGACGTGCGCTCGGTGAAACTTTTGGGCATTTGATCCACATGGTCGCCGAAGTTGCCGCCTACTACTCTACCCGCAGGCTTGTCATCACAGCTTCCGACTTTCACGTCGTCTTTGGTACCATTACCGAGGCATTTTTCGGGTGTCAACATACCATCTCTGAAGCCATGTGGACGTACCAGCTCTCTCAGAGCGGTGTTATTGGAATCGGTATCGAAGAGATCAGGCGCTTCCTATCGCCTAACGACCGGGTCATCGAGATGCTCCTGTCGAACCGGCTTGGATCCCGAAGCAAGCGCGAGGAATACTCGTGCGAATGGTTCGACCAACACCTACGTGGCTTCACGCAAAGCTCTGATAAGACGTTCCTCGTCACCGGTCAACCTGGTTTCGGTAAGAGCGTTATCTCGGAATGGATCGTTGAAAGGCTTAGGCGAAGCCGAGGTCCGAAGGCCTACGACGTCTTATCGTTCGCCGTGTACGCCGATATCAAGAGCGAGAGGTCGTCCCTTAGCATTGTCAAGAACCTACTCCTGCAGTTGCTAGACCGCAGTGTTGGGGATGTTGAGTTCTACACTCGAATGGCCCGGATCATGCGTGATTGCGATCACGACAATGTCAAGACGGAAGACGCGCTATGGAAGACGCTGGCGGCGACTATGGCGTGTCGAAACAGGAACACCATGATCGTTATCGACGGACTCGATCAGGTGGTGGGCACAGATGGTGCCGACGTCAAGGCGCTCGAGAGGATCAACGAAGCGGTCGCCGCCAGCGCTGTCCAAGGAGCTAAAATTCGAGCAATCGTATTGAGTAGGCCCGTAGCCAAGGCCGGCAAGCACCACGTTCGCTTGTTCAAGATCGAAGAGCAGCACATCGTGGCAGATGTTGAAAAGGTCATCAGAACCAAGCTCATGGCATCAAGCCTGTCCGCTTTGGCTCACGGCCCAGCGCTACAGGAGATCGTCGATGGACTCTTGTCATTTGCGGATGGATCCTTCTTGTGGGCAAAGATTGCGATCGAGGTCCTTCAGCGCGAGGCCAGCCTACAAGGTGTCAAGGCTACCTTGCGAAAGCTCCCCAAGAACACCAACGACCTCGTCCGGCTATTGCTGAATGGCTTGAACCTGCAGTCTCAAGACACTCAAGCCGTCCTTGCCTGGATCTCAGCAGCGAGAAGACCCTTTACCACCGCCGAGTTGAAGGCGTTCTTGAGCATCGACATCAGCAAGCCAGCTAGATCGACTCGACTCGGCAACATCGAGGACGAAATCGTTCGCTGCATCGGACCTCTCATCGTGGTCCGCAATGGCGTCGTCCGCTTCCGCCACCACGCCATCCGCAAGATTATCATGGAGTTCGATGGCCAAATCCAAGGTCTACCCTCCCGGCAACCGGCCAACACGGACTTGGCCATCAGGTGCATGGCTTACGCTCGGCTCTGCCTTGCGGACCGTATGGTCCCTTCGAAAGAACACCTCTCGAGAGATGTGATGCTCGGCATGTTCCAGAAGCACGAATGCCTCGAGTACGTCGCCCGTTATTGGGTCGTACATTTTCAAAATTCGACACTGTGGGGCAAGGGTGGAAAGCACGCTTTGACAAACGATTTCAAGCGATGCTTTTCCACTTCAACAACTCTGGCTGTGTTGGAGTATACATGCTGGGAGACGCAATGGTCAATGTCCGAAGCCGTCAGCCGTCACGAAGTGGCATTGTCCGTCCGCCGACTGCTCGCTGCAGACGCCAAGGAATGTCTCCTCCAGACGATGATCAGCCTCGCTCATGGCTACCAACGCCTTCACAAGCTCGAAATGGCATGCGGTATCTTCTACGAGGCCTACAAGATCGGTCACGGCATGTTCGGCACGTCGAGTCACCTGGTTGCATTCCTAGCTATGGGCTATATCGACTGTCACGGCACGGTCACGATCATCAAGGGGTCGGACGTGGCGATACGCCGAGAAGAACTGCTCATCTATCTCATGAAGTTCTGTAAGCATACTCACGGGGCATCTGACGGTATCACCATCAAATACACCCGACTACTGGTACAGTACTATTTGGACATCAAGGCGGTCGACTTGGCCGTCGTCATCCAGAGGGATCTCTTCCGCATGTGCATCGAGCATTTTGACCGCGCACACGAGCACACGGTGGAGAGCTACACAATTCTGATCAAGGTCTTGACCGAGTGCAAGATGTACGAGGAAATCACCTTGCTCGAGATCGAAAACTACGAGTACTGTCGACGACATCTGTCCTTGTCAGAGTTTTCGGTTATTACCGCTGCTCTGAGCATCATCCGATACTACGAATCGATCGGCGAATGCACGAAGGCGGAACAGATCCTGGTCGAATTGTGGCAATCCATCTCCCACGCCGTGCAACACGAGTGCACGACAATCCTGCTCGAGCGCAAGATCCAAGTCGCCATCCACTATAGCGAGTTCTTGATTCGCTACGAGCGAACGGAAGAGGTCAAGGGGATCCTAATCGGAGTCTGGTCAGAATACAAGGAGATGATCTCCAGCGAGACAACCATCTGCTCCGAAGTGGTATTGAGAAGCATCCTCGTCGTTGGGCGCACGCTCAAGCAGTGCAAGGTATTGACAGTTGCCAAGAGCATCTTCCAATCGATTCACTCTTATTGCAAGCGGACCCAGACCTTGACGTCAACCCTGGCTATCGAGTGTTCTATTAGTTTGACCGAGACCATACAAGAGATTGTCGAAACGCGGATGACCTTGACTTCAACATCGGAGTATTCCAGCGAAGAAACCGAAGAGATTACCGAGATCTTGGAAGAAATCTTCGAATCGAGTCTTGAGTCCGTGACGACCATCGAAACGGAGACCACCACCGAAGTTTCTCGCTCGAGTGAGACGAAATCGACAACTACCAGCTCAGTCTCCGTCTCGGTGTATACGTCAATCACCAAGATCGCCGAGACTCTGTGCACCATACACATTGAAAAGAAGCAATGGCACGAGGCACTGACCATTTGCCGAAAATCTCTCGAGACCGTATGGAAGTCGCTGTTCACGCAGGGCAAGGTAGAGATGTGCGGACACGCTCGAGCGCAGTCCTTTGTGCTCGCCAGGCGCATGGCCCAGTGCTACTTTCACACCAAACAGGTCACCAGAGCTGAAAAGATTTACGTCCGCATGTTCCAAGCTTGCAAAGGCCATCTTCATGCGCATGATGAAGTGCTCATTCATGCTGCTAACGAGCTGATTAAATTCTACGAAACGACCTATCAGTTCGAAAAAGCCCTGGACATCCTGGTTCAACTGTACACGATTCAGAAATCCTGCAAACACGACCACGATATTACTATCGGTACGCTCTATCGTTTGGCACGCTATTGCACCGAGCTTCGCAACATGGTTCTCGCCGAGACTTACTACAAGGAGATCGTCACTATCTACACAACCAGTACCGGCATCATCATACGCGCGGGAATCGAGGCGACTCTTGCGCTGTGTCGTATCCATCGGGAGACCTGCGCGTGGGACTCGGCTCGTCACTTTTACGGGCTCTTGTGGAAGACGTTCACGATCTGCACGGAAGGATACGACTGGACCGGACTGTTGGTGGAGGAGATATTCAACGAGTATTTCGAGGTGCTGGATGTCAAGCTGCGCGTGGCGTACTCGGTCTGCCTCGAGGTGTCGGAAACCTATCGGTCCCGATGCGTAACCATCTTTGGTCTACATCAAGAAACGACCATCCGGGCTACTCTCAACCTGGCTTCTGTTTACGAACGCAAGGAGGAGTACGTGCAGAAAGCCATCACCCTGTATGAAGAGGTCATCAAGACTACGACGCCGACCAAGACCACTACCACCGTTTCGACTGCAACGCTGAAAAAGATCACTCAGTCTCGAGAGCGCCTCGCCAAACTCTATACCAAGAAGAGCAGTACCACCTTCAAGGGACTCGTCATTTACAAGGAAGAGTTCAAGAAGACAGTCGCCAAGCACAGTTACTCGTCCAGCCAGAGCTTGCTTCAACTCCAGGAAACGATCGAAGCCTTCGTGTCCGTCAAGACAGAGGAGACGATCACTCAGGCAATGGAATTGCTGTCGGAATGCGTCAGTCACATCATGACCAAAGAATCTCATTCCGAGACGCTTTTCGAGGCTGCGCAGACGATCGCCAAGCTTTACATCAAGATCGAGCGCAAAGAACTAGCTCTGACCATGCTCAAGGAGATGCGGCATCAACTGATCAAGGAAGACTACACAATTACGACAACGGTCAATTTTTCGCTAAAGGGTATCGACCGACGTGCATACGCATTTCTGGTGGCGTTCGAACAGACGCTACACGGCTTCGAGAGCCACAGTCACTTCTCCGAAGTCATGGCGCTCTTGGTGACTGAGACGATTCTTTACCAGTCATACGCCCGCGCGATCAAGACGGGAGGAAAATACTCTGTGGCTTTCGGACACGGCTGTCGATTGGCCTTGTTCTACCGATCTCACGAACGGCACGAAGAGTACAAGGCGCTCGAGATCGAGATCCTCCAAGGTTTCGCGGCTTTCCTTAAGATCAAGGAGACTACGGACCATTTCCGAGTCTTCTTCCTCGTCTGCTTGGGAGAACTCGGCCAAGAAGAGAAGAGCTACTCGGTGTTGACGATCATGAGCGCTCGGATCCTGGGTTGCGTCAACCGAGGCAGCTTTACAGAAGCTTACGACTTTGCCGTCTATCTCGACAAATTCATGCACGAATACGAGAGCTTTAAGACGCAACGTGGGATCATGGTCGCCTTCCAAATCGCATGTTACCTCGCTGGAAAGCGTCGTATCCAAAGATGCACAGACACCAGCGTACGAAAGCGTATGCTCAAGCTCTCTGCCGTCATTCTCAAGGAGGCGCTTGAGGGTATGCAGACGGTCGAAGTCGACTTTACTAGCATGTCGATCGAGTTGGTGAACGAAGTGTGTGGCGTGCTAGGACAGAACGGAAACTACGAGGCTCTGGAGGTAAGCGCTTGCGTTCGGTCAACCAATGTCTTCTCTGACATCGTTGACGTGTTCTTTGCACTCTCCAGATCATCCTGTCCTCCTTATGGACCTCACGTCATGCGCGATCATCATGGTCTTCTTCCACCATTGTCGCGATCGGTCGCCGCCTTGTGGAAGTCCGCTTCACCCTGCCGAAACGCGCTCTCGCGATCGACTTGTGTATAGATATCTGTTACAACCTGCAGCGCGTATGGGGACGCTTCGACCCTACGACAGTGGAGATGTTCCACCTCCTTTCGGCTCTCTATGCTGCCGAAGGAAACCACGCCAAGGTCATGTCGTTGCAGCAAGACTTGCTGAAGGACCTCCTCACCGCTTATGAAGAAGACGGCACGGTTGAGAGACCTCGAGCCGCTGTGATCGCGGTGGACGAAATGCGAAGGCTCAAGCGAACGTTCTTACGGGCTGGAGGATGGAACAAGAACCAAACCGAATGGAAGGGGATATTTGACGGTCTTCACGAAGCTTTCCACGGAGAAGGTTGCTGGAAAGCCAGCAAGACCGTCAACCTCGGTTTCCAAAAATGGGATGCCAGTGGCGCTTTCAAAGCAGACGACTTGGGAATCTGGAGACAGCCTTTCGACTGGGAATTCCTCCTCACAGAGGAAGGCGATGCTACAGCGTTCAAGCACCACAACAACCTCCGCAAGACCAGCGGGTTATTGCCGGTCAAAGTAAACCGAGGAATTTCGGGCTCGGTGTCGGTACCGGCATTTCGACATGAACACCGCCATCACGACCACGGTCTCTCCAAGGGCAATGTACCGGACGAAGGCATCAAGAGGCATCTCAGTCACAGCCGGTCAGTCGGCGCTATACAAGAAGACGTTGCCAACGGTGGCGACGTCGTGGGAGAGCTTCACGCCCACATAGACTATCAGGCGCCTGCAAAGGTAGCAGTACCGGCCGCCTAGCTCGGAGGGGTCCTGCATTCGATCCGAGATGGATGGAGGAAATTGTTGAGGTCGTGGTGTTGTTGCTACACGTCTTGCGTGTGCGATCGAGGAGACGTTTGCTCAGAGTGCGAGTGACATTTGATCAGAGTGCGAGCGATGTCTGCTCAGAATGTGGATGCGAGGCGGAAGACGGGTGCGAGGACCCATTCGGGTGGCTATTCCACCGGTTGTACAATGGGTTTGATTTTGGGTTTATCGAGGTCGGTTGTAAAGTATTTTATCGGATTTAGACAAGTGTATGCCGTATTCCAGTCCTCGTCTATGACCTCAGATTCCGATCACCAACCAGACTATCGTCGACTGTACCCCAAACGCAATGTGTACGCCGGTCCGGTTTCGCCGAGGCTTCTGAAACCGGGCCCGCTCGTTTCACATCCAGGTTCAAGTGCCTGGCTGTATGTTTTGACGAAAATCGGCTCGTATTCGCTCGGCATCTGATCCCTTGGTATGCAGTGGCCATTTGCTACGGATTCAAGCGATTGTGAGCGATCGTTCGACCGTACCTGCACATCGAAACAAGCTCTCGTTACTTTTTGTCAGAAAGCCAAACTCTATTTCGCTTCCGAGCCCGCCATCCCGGGTGCCTGACGAATAGAAGCTTCTCTCGCGTTTCAGCATCCGAGACACTTTGTCCGCGCCGAGATTCATACAGGTCACTTGACCACTTGACCATTCATTCGCCTGGTCACAAAATATATAGACCGCACGATCACCTTGACAGTTCAAAGTCTGTGTCTTCAGCCTATTATCATCATCGCTTCTCGACAACAAGAACCATGTCGAAATCAATCTCACAGCCTTGCACCGCCAAGCCGAAGCGTATCATCATCTGTTGCGACGGGACGTGGCAGTCCGCTACCGGACTCGACCGCAAGACCGGTGCTGCGTCCAATGTCGCAAAGCTATGCCAGATTCTGGCTTCAGCTGGCACGGAGAATGGCCAAGAATACCAGCAGGTAGTCTACTATGATGCCGGAGTAGGCACCGGAGCCATCGGCATGGTCATGAGCGCTATTCAAGGTCAGTCTCCGACCCTTGTGAAAGTTGCTTTATCCGTCGGTTCTGATGTGGGCGAACCTTTACGAACAGGTGGAAGCGGTTCGGGATTGCTCGAGAACGTCATTGAAGCCTACAACTTTATCGTCAACAACTTTACCCCCGGCGATCAGCTCTACTTTTTCGGCTTCTCTCGCGGAGCCTTTACCGCTCGAGCCACGGCCGGTCTGGTCAACGAGGTCGGAATCCTCCGACCATCGGCCATGCGAAAGTTCATCCAGAAATATTCCGCGTACGTCTCCAAGGGGGTCTTCGAGCCTGCCTTTGGTGAGACCGACGATTGGAAGGAGTTTACCGCCCCAGAGCACAATCGGGTTGTCGTCGATCGCCATACTCAGGAGATCAAGGTTATTGGCGTATGGGACACTGTCGGCGCGCTCGGGGTGCCTGCCATGGGACACGTCTGGCGACGAGAGCACACCGAACATCGCAAACCGTACCAATTCCACGATGTTGCTTTGAATCGTAGTGAGTAACGGTAGCCTGAAATTTTCCGATTGCAACCGTGTATTGATCAGGTGTGGTACCGTAGGGGTCTTGCACGCTTTCCAAGCTCTGGCTCTGGACGATCAACGGGAATCTTTCCATCCCTCGGTCTGGAAGGTTAGACCGAGCAAGAACTCTGTTACTGAGCTCGTTCAGTGCTGGTTCCCGGGCGTTCACATCAACGTCGGCGGCGGCAGCTCGTCCAGTGCCGGAGAAGGCGATTTCACCGAACAGCTCGCCTCGATCTCGTATACGTGGATGCTCGACCTTGTCCGCCCTTACTTGGCGTTCGACGACGCCGAGCTGGAAGCTCAGAAGAAGGACTGGAAAAACGCTACCAAGGATAATATGCCGGACCAGGTCAAGGAGAAACAAGCTGTCAAGGACGAGCGGAACTTGTTCTCCAAAGCGTGGGAGTGGGGTCTTTCGTTTGGGAACAAGGAGGTGAAGAAGCAGGAACATGGATACGCAGTCGAAGAGATCGAGGACAGCCATGGGCTTCTCTACGATGTCATGGGCAAGCCCAAGGACCGTGTCCCTCAGAACCTCTCCGAGGAGGACATCGAGAAAGGATGGCGAACCAACGAATCGGTTCATTACACCGTCATTGAAAGGCAGAAGAAGTTGAAGGATATGGGGCGTCCCGACTACGTCCCTCATGCGATGAAAGGATGGGTGTACGACGAAAAGTCAAAGACTTGGTCCCTTCCCGGTTCGAAGAAGGCCATGCCAGAAAGTCAGCCTGGGAACGGTCTGCCCATCGAGCACAGTATGGAAAACTGGCTCGTCGAGTTTGGCAAGGGCAAGGTCAACCAGTGATTGTTCACGTATCGACAGCAGTACTTCTGCGGATGTTGCACTGCGCGAGCAGTCAGGATATATTGGGTATTGTGACGGAAATTCAAAACCTGGGACATGAAGTCGAATTCTTTGTATAGGGTGTACTAGTACTATGTATTCGGGAAATAGCGAGATACTGCTGGTTCAAGCGAATCCCACCATCGAGATTCTTATCGTGAACTCTATACATTGCAAGCTATCAGGTGTTGGGAAGGCTCCGTACGTCTCCATAATCTCTACAATAAAGCTTCTGGTGCAGCGACGACGTTTTGTGAGTTCGGAGCTGGAGTCGGTGCTGGAGGCCAAGGGAAACGCTCGTAAGTCATTTGGAGAGCTCGGCTTTGACTACCTACGTCTGTCCACATAACTGCATATCGAGCTGATCCCAGGTTCCTCAATCTTCCAATGTGGGCCGAGGAAGAGAGAGCACGACGATATGGAGAAGCATTGTTTTAAATCCCAATATCGTGAGTTTAGACCTGATTCTGGACTTGTCTTCGATCTACTCCTGGATGCTGATACTGGATCTTGCCTTACGATAATTTGGACAAGTGAGTCTGTTTTTCTTGGATAAATACTGGAATTTCATCACTTGCACTGATACCATTGTGCGCGGTTTGTGGGCTTATTTTCTAAAACACGAACGAAAAGCGTGTTTTCTGCTACTGCAAGAAGCTGTGCACTGCCGAGCTATAAGACATGTCGCATTACCGCAAAATTTGTTGCGCTACCGCGAACCATTGACTCTGAGGAAAACTACATCCACCGCTTACCCTCCGAAACCTCCCCGTCGCCGTTTCATAACCTGGGGTTCTCCGTCGTTCCCAATCTTGCGCCGCGTTTGTTTGCCCTCGATGTTGGTGTCCAGCTCGTCTCCATCCTCTCCACGTGCATATGGATGAGAAGGCCGCTTGTTGCAATTGTGGATCCAGCTTATGGTGTCTATTTGCTGAAGAGAACTATAGCTGAACGGTGACCTTCAGAGGGCATGATCTCGTGTGGGATAATGGCGGATCTGAATGTGACCATGTCGCCGGGTTTGTACGTGATCCGATATGGTTTGCCCATGATATGAATGACCAAATCTGCGCCAGTGAATATACCCCAATTAGACACGATCACAAACCCCCGTCAATCATTGCCCAGGTCAAGATGGGTCTTGATCTGAAGGTTGAGTAGTACCGCCATTCCCAAGAAGCTTGTATCCAGGCCGAAAGGTCCGAATCCCCTGACCCATCGTTTAACTTTGCGGATGATACTGAGGTGCTTCTTGAGAAGTTCCTTGTTGGCAAGGCGTTCGAGCGTTTCAGAGGCTCGCTCCTGGAAATCCCAGCACGATTGGACGAATTGCAAGACAGCCTCGAAGCGAATAGAGTCTGGACACATGTCTGAAGAGACGGACAGACCTGTGAATAAGAGGACCTTCACGATTAGCTACCTAGCTCCGAACGAAACCAGATGACTGAAGCGGAAGATCTCACCCGTCTTGTCCCGACCCACAGGGATCCAGTAGCAGAAGTGAAACACCCTACATCTGGATTGTCCGTAGTCATTGCGCATCGTCTCAAACTCATGGTGTCTGTAGTCCGATGGTAAAGGTTCCGGCAGCTCTTGACTTGACGACACCACCCTGAGTGTGGAAGGTAGGCCGGTGCCGCAGCAGAGTAAGCAGGTGCCGCAGCCGAAGCCTGATGCTGATCGACTGACCTCCAGCCGCTTGTGCGCCCAAGTTTCTCTCAGATCCCCAAACGCCTCTGACACAGGTTCGACTTCCATGATTTCCGACTGCTTATCAAAGACAGTCTTGCCATCCGAGGTCTTGATACAGATATCCCCATCAATAACCGTTAGGCTCTGAATAATCTGACTGGTCTTGTGAGAACAGCCCCAAAGTCTGGTCGTGTGCGTCGAGTTCCGTAGGTGGAGTACAAGTTGCTAGAGTTGACACAATAATGAGTTGGCCCAGGGATTAGCTTGGGTCAAGAACGAACAAAAGAGCCGGATTTACGAGCTGGAGAAGAGGTCGGATATCTTTGATAAAGAATAACTTAATACCGGCAGATACTTTGGCTCAAAGTCAAGTGATAGGCGGTGCCAGCACTCGGAGGGGACAACCAGTGCCTGACCGTACTGTGCAACGGTGGCGGTGGTTGGAGAAGTCTGTGCAACAATAGAGGGGGTGGTGGAGGCGGTAGCGGCAACAACGGAGGCAGCGGCCTCCTTCTGAACACACATATAGCCGAAATTCATAGAGATCTGGATCGATATCACTACCCTCGAAAGCTTCGATCTTCTCGAGATCTTCTTCCTGACATTCACCGAATCGCAGCTTGACTCTTATCACAATCACCTCATTTCTGCCTGTCAGCTTCTCCAATCCAGACAGCCTAATCGTCGCCATCTTGTCTCAGGAATTGAGCTATATATGGCGTCAAAATTCGAAACACCAATATCACTATCAGATCGAAGCCTCTGACCCAGACGACGAGACTGAGCGATATATGCAAGTCAACCAATTCAGGCAAAATGAATGAGCATAAAAAGCATTAAGTCAAAACCCCCGGGAAAAGAACGCCAACCGCAAGCTACAATGATCGCACACTCTAGTGGTCGATAATGGCAAGGGATCCGGTGACGAGCTCTGTGAGCGCAAAAAGATTGACAGTCTGTAAGCACTCTCTTCACATAGAAGGGAGTGGTCGAATCGGGTCGACATACTGTTCTCGAGTCGGGAACCGTCAGGGATGGTGATCTTGTTACCGTCGGTAGCAACTGAAAGCGCCAAGATCCGTCAATCTTGTCATCCTAGTGTCTCAATATTTATAAGGACTCACTGATGATGACGGTACCGGCGAAGGTACAGTTCTTGCCGATATGCACATCTCCCTGCGAAACGCGAGCGCGAATACGAGTAGAGACCCAAGGTCAGCCGAAGTACTCATCGTCTCGTTGCGACGGCGAGCAGACGATACTCACGTTGACGGTCAAGTGGTCGAGCTCGACAATGTTGAGACCTCCCTTGACACGACGCTCAAAGTCGGAGACCTTCTTGAATTGGTCGCCTGCGAGTTGAAAGCATCGATTGCGAACATTAAGCAATCCGTTCGTACCGTCCTTGAACATAGACAGAGAGTGGTGGCAAATGGCTCACCGAGCTTGATGACGGGAGTACCCGAGAACTGCCTGGCCTTGTTCTATTACGGAGTGAAAACCCGACACATGTCAGCCCTCAGTCCGCTACCGCGAGGAAAACTACTCTGCGAGACGAATGACTCACCATGGTCAACTGTCCGTGCTCCATAGTGTAGAGACCAGACTTGCTGTAAATGGATTCGGCCGCAAAGCCCAGGAGTCAGCGATCAAGCTCATCTTCACACGGCAACTCCAAGAAGACCAGGACGAGGGACTCACATCAAGAGCAAGTCGGAACACGACTTGACTGGCAAGAATCGGGATCGGGGGACGTTGACTCCGATGGCGTTCCTATCGGCAGCAAGCGAGCAGACATGGCCCAGACGCTCGTCAGTAAACTCGGATCGGAAATCCATGAGATAGCAACCCCGCGCTCGACACTCACCTGAAGTGCTTGATGGCGGCACCGATGGCGGTCTCGAGCTGGATGACGGGTTCTCCCTTGGGGGTGACCTTGTTGTTGACAATGATCTCCAAGTCCAACTCGTCGTTGTCCAACACGCGCTTCATCGCGGTCAACTTCATCCACACCGAGTTGGTGTTGAAGATCTTGAACTTGTTGACGTTCTTGAACTCTTCCAAGTGATCCGAGGGCACCTGGGCGACTTCGAGCAGACGGAGGTTGCCCTCGTAGTCGATCAAGGTACCTCCCTTGACGTCGGCCTTGGTCTTGTCGGTGAGCTCCATGAGGTACTCGGCCTGCGAGTTGATCATCTGCTGGTAAATGTTCAAGTCGACGGTGGCACCCAAGTTGTCAACGTTGGAAACAAAGATGTACTCCTTGCCAGCGGCGATCAATTGGTCGAGCAAGCCCGAGTTGCTGTGGAACGTAGCAAACCGATCAAGTTCAGCCTGCACGAACACACATGCACGACACCCTCTGCCCCTGCCCAGCAACCACTCACTTGAGGGCGTCCAAGACGTTTCCGTGTCCGGGAGGGTAGAACCCGGCATTGTCCGAGTCGGCCTCCTTGGCGACGGGCAACAAGGTGTCCCTGTTGACTCGGGGGTACTTGGACTGGTTGAAGGTGAGGATGTTGATGTTGTGGTTCTCTGTGGCGTCGAGACGGGGAGCGCAGCGCGATGTAGCGAAGCGGCGTGAAGTGGGATCATGGTAATGGTGCGGAAAAGTAGACAAATCCTAGATCAGCATCGAACCCAGAGCGAAACCCGCCAGCAAAGACTCTGAAGAGCAAACGAATCCCCAAGCACGAACCACACCCGACTTACCGTACTTCTGGATGACCCGGTCGGTATCATCGGCAGTGTTGAAACTCGACATCAAGATGAACGGGACGTTGCTGTTGGGATGCGAAACGGAGGCAGGGGCAAGAGATGTCAAAAGATATGTTAAGAGAGGGTGATGTGTTGTGTCGTGTCAGCGAGAGCTCTTCCGTTAGAGCGGAATTATACGCTTGGGAAAGAAATGGGGGTGAAGAGGCTTACACGTTGTAAGTCTCGTTCAAGTGCTAAAAGACGATTCCGGAACGAAGAAAAGACGATATCGGAGACATGTGTATCAGCCACCAGCCCTTACATGCTCTACTCGCCGCCCACCGAGACCTCTCGCTAACTCATCGACGCCGACTCACCTCGATCTGCCTAACACAAAGGTCCAAAAAGGTCAACCCGTCCCTGACCTCGATGACCGATTTAGGTCCCTGACAGCCCATCGTCGTCCCCAATCCTCCGTTCAGACGGAGGACGACGAGCTTGTCGAGCATGCTAGGGTCGAGAGAGTCGAGCTGCTGGTAAGGCAGGATACGCTCGGCGGGAGGAGAGTTCACTTTGTCCCATTCGCTATAGGTTGGGGTTGGATTTTTTAAGGTTGAGGTTGAGGTTGAGGTTGAGGTTGAGGTTGAGGTTGAGGTTGAGGTTGAGGTTGAGGTTGAGGTTGAGGTTGAGGTTGAGGTTGAAGGCGGGACGAAATCGAGCGTCAGTAAACGATCCCCCCATTCCTCAAACTCAAACTGGGACTCTGAACGTACATCTTCTCCCCCTTGGCCTTCTCCGTCAAGTACCTGTTGAACAACAAGAAGAAATCTTCCATCTCGGCCCCGAAAATCCGCTTGGCCTCGGGGTCCTGGATGTTGTTGGCCATCCGGTTGAGCTCGTTGCGCATGGCCTTGGCGGCGACACTGCGGTGTGGTTCCGACGAAGACGACGTTGACGATGAAGATGACGATGACGATAACGATTCGAAAACACGAAATGCAAGTGCAAGGTTTCAGGAGGTGAGGTGGGAGTGCGGTAGACGAGGCATCAAGATGAACATGAGAGGAGAAAGGATCAGCTTCCGAGGTCAGGGTAGAGGTGGTGTCGTTGCAAAAGAGACTCACCCAGTGCTAGCGGTTTGGAAGTCCTGAACGAGGACGGCCACAACACGTTGGACAAATCAGCCATCAAGCACTCGAGTCGCCTTCACTGCGACAAAAGGAGGTAGAGCGGGAAGGCCTTTGTACTGACGATAGTGGTGCTTCCACGGTTCCTCTTCGAGGCATCACTGGGCTTGAGTTGGTTGGACATGGTTGATGAAAGTAAGACGGGTAGGTTTGATTTGCTTTTTTTGTGTTTTCGTGAGTTCTACGACAAGAGGTCGAGGTCGGGGGGAGAAAGGACAGTAAGTGTTACGAGGACGATGATGATATCTCTCTACGTGGTCAGGAGAGGTTGACGTCGAGGATGGGATTGATGTTGACAATTCCCCCCCTTCCCCCTTTTGGCTCCAGCTGGCACTTGCTCGCTCGCTTCCCCATATTCCCATTCCGCACCAACGACAGCGGCAGCGGCACGAGGGGAGCAGCGGGCGGATACAAATTAGACTTCTATGCCGGCATGTCATCCCCCTCGGTCCCTTGCCTGTGCTGCCTGGTCTCGGCTCCACGTTCCGCGCTAGTTACTGGTTATGACGCGTGGGGGAGGCAGCAGGCAGCAGGAGAGGGGCGACAGAATGAGGAGAGATGAAACGAGAAGAAAGGGAGCCTTGATGGGGGTTGATTTATCGATCGGTGAATTCGGAGGTAATTTCAGGTAAATTGGCGCTATCATAATAACTAGAACAGCGATTTATGACGTGTCTTATTATTTATTAATTGTTTACGTTCGTCTGTTGATGAAGTCGTCTAAGTCGATCAGTCGAAGTCGATCAGTCGATTTCGACATGTTATCGACGTTATTACTATACTACCGTTCCATCATCTGTCTTACTACTAGTACCACCTAAACGTCGTCTACGCCATCATGTACCAGCAATCACGAACCCCCTACAATCGTCAGCAATACTACAGCCGACCTACAGGTCAGTCGACGTCGACGTCGACTGAAATCCACGACTCTTTCGCTACACTCCCTTTCGATCAATACCAGCCTTACAACCTCCCAAATATCCTTCAGCAACCCTTCTCAAGACCACTAGACCTTCCCTTAGACTTTGTCGACGTGCCAGATCAATCGACTGATGAGGTAGTCTATCTGGGCCGCGATACCATCATCCAAGAGATCAACGACCGATCCTCAGTGCAAATTCCTTCATTTTCGTCGGGCCAAGGGGGATACAACAACCCCTTCGATACACAGCCTCTGGCATCAAGTTTGCAGTTACTAGAGCCCTCTGCAAAGAAAGGTGCATCCCGAAAGGTCATTGTTGCCGCCAAACAGGCCCGTAAAGGCAACAAGGGTCGATCTCTTCGACACGACGAAGGAATCGACCCTTCGACCGCTCTAGAGGCCTCGCAGTCTATCGTACAGTCTCACCTGAGGGCTAAGGGTACAAAGAAGGTCTATCAAGGCTACATGAAGAGGTGTAGAACATGGCTGGACCTCTTTAACAAAACACGACAACCTGGCGACCCAAATCTCGAAGGAGCGCTAGACGTCTTGAGCGAACGTTCTGCCCGATGTGTTCACCTGTTCATCGCTCACGGGGTCTCAGGCAAGAATGGTACGAAGCCACACAGCAAAGACACATGCGATGGCATCAAGGCCGCGTTGCGAGCATACTTTCAAGAGACGTTCGGCAATCAGTGCTACGTGAGTGAAAGATCTTGCATTTTCATTGAGTTCCGTGCTGACATCGTCAATTGCAACGACGCTTCCTCAGGGCGAATTCTGGCACCAGCGAGAGAACGGAACGTGGCATGGGAACCCTGTGTACGCTGGTGAAGTCAGGGATCTGATGAAATCGATCAAGAACCGGGTGTCACGAACCTAGTAACACCCGACGACAAGGTATCACGAAACACGATTCGACATCGGATCCGTCTACAACCAGCCTTTGACACGTCATGGAGGTTATCACGCGCGACGAATCACGAAACACGAATCGACAAGCGCGCGCGCGCTTCAGCATCCGTCATCTCGTTCATCCCGACACTTGACACGTCATGCGATTCACAAATCGACCTTGTCAAGTTATTCGAGGTAACCGACCTCACCGGAGGTGACAGGTACAAGGACGAAATCAAGAACGATACGTTGGGGAAACCGACATCGAAGGAACGGACGTCTGCCTACACAAAAGACGAAACGACCTTAGACAGGGACGGGAAGTAATTACAAGGTCCAACACAGGGACGGAAGACGGATCGACAATCGTCGATCAATAAAAGACAAAAGCAAAAACAAGGAACTATATCTGACTTAGACGATACGCCGGTGTTACGGCGGATGTCGCTAATGGGCGATAGGTCCTAAGTCGTAAGGCGTAGGGTGCTTAAGGTCGATCGCAGGTAGTCGGGAGAATGTCGCAAGTTCGCTTAGATGAAGCGGGTTCGGGTGCGGGATACGAATCCAGAGATGTATGGATAAGGAAGGTGATCACTCGGTGTGAGGTACCAGATTCGGTCTAAGGTAAAACGATGAAGCGTAGATACTTAGCGACGTCCTTGAGTTGTAACCTCTCCGCAACACGTCTTGAAGATGTTGTAACAAGTCAGATAGGCGTGTATTGAATGTGATATCGGAACTTGACCTCTAACTATTACAGAGCGTCCTCTATCGAATTCGGTCAAGTTCCTCTAGCTATTTATACGGAGACGAGTACGTAGACGAGGCTGGCGAACACTGAAAAGACCCAAGAGAAAGATTGGCGAGAGATGGCGAAACTGGAAGAACGAGATGGCGAACAGCCGAATCCTGTCGAGAGCAACCGGATTCGGTAGAGAAGGCGAGTTTGAGTTCTCATTCGTCCCTAGGTACGTCGGGTAAGGTTGTCGAGGTCCTGAGTAGAGTTGTCGTGTACCTCGAGGTCCCTGTACCTGTTTGTGATATGTGTCGGGAAGGTTTGTTGTTTCGGTGAATGGTGAAGGCGAATAGTAGGGGCGACCGAATCTGCTCCGAGGGAATCGGATTCGCCTCGTCGAGCCGGACTTAGGTGTATGCTGATGTCCGTCGATCGAGCCTGTGTGTCGGTAGTCGACTCACGTGATGATCCCGTAACAGTATATCCCCCTCCGGAATGGCGCGCCCCGAGCCATTGTGTTTCAAGTATTGATCGCATCAATTTGTTTGATGATTGTCTACGACGCGTTTGTTTTTATTTGATGGCGACCGATTTTTCCATTTCGCTAAGGCCCATCGACTCGCGTCGAGTGGGGGGTATAAGCCGGATCCGTTTCGATTGAAGCGAATTGTGCCCTTCCTTTCTCGAAGATACTCAACGATGCCGTCTCCTGACGTATCTCCCAAGATTGAGGAACGCTCGACTCCTTCTCGAGCCTCGACCGTAAATCCAGGAGACTCGGCTTCTCGTTCGTGCGATTCGAGTCGATTCGGTTCCTTTGCGTAAACTGACCCAATTCCGCTTTGTGTGTAGAAGTCAACCAAGTCTTTTCCGGAGGAATTTTTGATTTCGAAGAACTCCGCAATATGGACGACACGGACGAGGTCGACCAGAACCTGGCCTCGAATATAAGGGGGCTGTCGGTGACCCGATCGGGGTTGGAAGGTAAGCAGATTCGGTTCCGAAAGGCGGTTTCGTTTCGCTGAACTTGTTGGGTTCTTCGCAGGTGGTGAACCGGCTCGTCGGGAAGGGCTCTACGGGGAAGCTCGTAGGCCGACTGGACGTCCGATATCGGGCGAGGATGTTGCCATGACCGGGCAACCTTTAGATTCGGTCGATGAGGAACCGGTTGCGGGGCCGAGTGCGGGTGAGTAAAGCGAATCTGCTTGGATTCTGAATCGATAATTCGTAACCTGATACTATATCTATTCTTGCCCAATTGTAGCTGTCGTGTCGCCGCCCAGGACTCCTCGAGGGAGGTCGATTCAGCGGAGTCGACAAGGTCGACACAGCGCGAGGTCGAGTCGAGGGAGAGGAGCCGCATCGGCGGGTGCGAGGGTCGATGTCGAGAACATCGATTTGGGGGGGGCTCTTGTGCGCCAACGGTCGGTGAGCCCGGAACCCGGTAAGCGTTTTTGTTTGGTTTCTACCGGATCCGGTTCGACGAAGCTAATTTGGATAATCGCGTTCCAGCTCGGCCCATCGACTTCGAGGGCGTACAGCCGACTCGGCGAACGGGTGCAGCGCCCGCCAACTTCTTTGACGACCTGTCGGAGAAGAAGAAGAAGAAGAAGAAGGTGGTGACGTCCGAGGATGCAGATTCGGACTACCGCGACAGCGGTGTACCGGGTGAGTCGCCCGACGCGTCTCCAGGGTCAGCGTACGAACGGCAGATCGAGAGTCGCTATCAAAGAGCGTTCGGGACTCCTGAATTTGCTGGTTCGTACTCGGTACCCGTCGATCGAACTCGTTTCGCTGAACCAGATTTGCTTGATTTTAGCCGAAAGCGAGGGGGCCGACTCGATCATCGACATTGGGGATGAGAGCGTGATCAACATCGGCACGGTCGGCACTGAGGGCGACGAGTTGGCGTCGACGCCGGAGCCCGAGTGGTGGGATAGTGAGTAATATTCGTATTGTTTAAGCGAAACCGTTTGCTTCGAGCTAATCCGCTTTGTAGCCCACGCTGGTATCGTCAACGCTACCGACCAAGAGATCATCGATCACGAGGCGAGGCCCGGCGAGCCTCCTTTCTCGACTCGAGTTGGGACGGCCAGCGAGGTGAAGACCAGGAGGGCGGTGGTAAGCTCGTTTCGCTTGCGTTCAAGCGGATTCGGCTAAATCTTGTTCGTTCCGGTAGTTGCAATCACGTCGCTTGGCTCGCGCTCAAGCCAAGGAGGGTATCGTGAACGACCCTAAGTGCGAGGACTGCGAGGGCCTCGGGGATGAGGAGTTGAGTTGGGGATGTCGGTCCAAGGTGAACGACAAGTCTGGGACTTTGAAGGGTTGTGCGGAGTGCACTGGTCGGCGAAACACGTGTTCGCTTACCGGACAGCCGATTCCGGAACCTCCCGGCCGAGTTCCCAGCCCCAACACCGCGGCTGCTGCTAATGCAGCACAACCGACTACTCCTCCGGCGACGAGTAGTCTGCTTCCTCGAGCTCGATGGGAAGCGCAGATGGTGAGTCGAATTTGTTTCAACGAACCGAATCTGTTTTAACGCAACCGAATTTGGCAGCAATCGGCCAGAGACCGTATTCAGGTCTACGCCGACATGCTCGAAGATGCGGGCATCAAGAAGGGTCTCTCGAAGGCCTTGGAAGACCTCGACAAGGTCCGGGAGGCGATCGCGGCGGAAGGTGACGCGGCCTTCAAGAGGGTTATCAACCCGTTGCCGGCGCCCACGCCCAAGAAGAGGAAGACCGGAGTCGTATCGACTCCGAAGGATTCGAAGAAGTCGGGGGGTAAGTCGACTCCGAAGGGCAAGGGGAAGCAGAAGGAAGCGGATCCGGACGAGGACGAGGAAGAGGAAGAGAATGATGGTCGCCCGCCGAAGCGGGCCAAGAAGGATTGAAGCGGTTCCGCTTCGTCTATAATTTGTTTTTGGGTTTTGTATTTTCTTTCAATCCGAGTCGTTTGATACGATGAATCCTATGCGAGCGAGAAGTCCGAGACGAGATCCAGAAGAGTTCAGAACATATGTTTATCCGTATCTCGGTCCAGCCGGGATCGGTTCAATGAAGCGGATTCGGGAAAGTTACGCTTCCCAACCCGGAGGCTTTGGCTTAGTCGGGAACCGAACGTGGAACTCCTCTTGTGCCTCTGCTGTGTTGTTGAGATCTTCGAGGGGTACCCAATCTTGTCCTTCAGGTCCTGAATAGCCTTTCCATTTGATTAAGTACGCGAATTGGCGTCTCCTGATCCTGCTGTCGATAATCTCTTCGACCTCATACTCGTCATCGTGAGGAGATTCGACAATTGGTCCAGGAGTCTGTACTCGCCCACCAAATGGGTTCTCGTAATGTGGTTCCAACATGTCGATGTGGAAGACGTTGTGAACCTTGAGTGTGGCCGGCAAGCGGATCCGGTACGCATGAGACGAAATTGCTTCCATAATTTCGTAGGGACCGTATCGCTTGTGATCCAGCTTCTTGGTAGGTCGCTTGGTCGCGATGTATTTTGATGAAACATAGACCTTCGATCCTACGGTGAATTCGGGAGGGTTTTGGTGTTTCTGGTCGAAATACTTGGCAGCTCTTTCGTTAGCTGCAGTCATCTGTACTCGCATCTGTTCCCAAACTTCTTTCATATCCCTAGCTTCGATCCTTGCGACGAGAGATTCAGCCCTGTGTTTGTCGAGACTGACGTCGAATCGTGGTTCGTAGCCAAAGGTTGCCATGAAAGGAGAAATACCGGTAGCGCTATGCTTCGCGTTGTTGCAAACGAATTCGGCTAAGGGAAGCAGATTCGCCCAGTTATCTTGGTGGTAACTGCTATAGTGCCGAAGGAATCCCTCGAGAGACTGGTTGACCCGTTCAGTAGCTCCGTCACTCTGAGGGTGGTAGGCTGTAGTCAGGTCGCTCGAGATATCGAGAAGCGCGGTAAATTCTTTCCAGAATTTCGAAGTGAATTTGCTTCCCCGATCCGAAACGATCCTGTCGGGTAACCCATACTGCGTAAAGACCTCTTTGAGGAAGATCTTGGCTAAGTCCTTAGCTGTAGAGGTTGTCGTAGTAGGGACAAACTTGACTCGCTTGGTGAATCGGTCGGTGATTACCAGTATCGAGTTGAATCCTTCCGAATTTGGTAGTTCTTCCACGTGATCCATGGAAAGATCCGAATTCGGTTTAAACGGAACCGAAAGTGACTTCAATAAACCGTAAGGCTTGTGTCGATTCGTACGGTCCCGTTGGCAAACCTCGCACGATGCAACATAGGCCTTTACGAAGTTGCTCAAATCGTTCCAGTAGTAATCCCTTGAGATAAGTTCGATAGTTCTTTCTCTCCCGGGATGTCCAGCCAGTGAGGCGTCATGTCGTGCTTTCAGTACACAGAGCTTGATCTTCTCGCAGTCGGGGACGTAGATAGCGTCCTTGTATTTGAGAATTCCGTTCTTGGTCCAGGACCAGATTTGTTCGTCCGAAGCGGCTTCGCTTCCGGTAACCAGATCCGTTTCGTCCTGTTTCCAGATTGCTCTGAATGCCGTGGAAGCGAATTCATCAGTCAGCGCGATTGTTTTTACCTTGCTGATGATGCGGTCGATGAGATCTCC